CCCACATCCATATCCCACATCCATATCCCACATCCATAACCCGCATCCATGTCCCGCATCCATGTCCCGCATCCATGTCCCACATCCATATCCCGCATCCATATCCCGCATCCATATCCCGCGTCCATATCCCACATCCATGCCCCACATCCATATCCCACATCCATGCCCCACATCCATATCCCACACCCATGCCCCACATCCATATCCCACACCCATGTCCCCCACCCATTTCCCACATCCATATCCCGCATCCATATCCCACATCCATACCCGTAGCCGTATCCATATCCGCATCCCTATCCATACCCATAGCCACCCAACACCAACGCGCAGCACTTTTCTCATTTTTGCGCATGTTTATAAGGCGCGCGCTTTTTTCTGTGTTCTTTTTCTTTCGTCGCTGAGTAGTTTTTTCTATTTTTTATACCTCAGGCCTTTTTTAACGTCTAGAAAGATAACAGAAACCGCGAGCGAAGCCCCAAAAGTCTAGTACCTACTCTTTTTGATGAAGTTTTCATCTACAACTTAAAACTTCTTTCAGGAATGGACTATCAAAATAGCGAGCTCATTCTTGCCATGCATTTTGCATTTTGTAGAAATGATTTTTACTAGCCAGTAGGTCGAAGGAAATAAGGAATGAAACTGTACCTGGTTACAGCTTTGCCGTCGTCTGGCTTTTCTATATATGTCCGACGTGACTCCGACTTCTTCTTGATGTGTTTGCTTTCGATGCTTCTTGGACTCTCGCTGCAACACCTTCGACAAAAGATTTCGTGCTACTTGCGACGCGATGATGATTTTTGATCCATCGACGTTCTTCTGTAAAACTACTTGCGTGTGATGAAGATACCTCTGTAGCAAAATAAGCGATCTATTTTCTTTAATCCTTCGGTTCTCGTGTGGAGGTCTTTGTGCTCATGAAAGAACAACTCTTATGTAAACTACTTCTTCTATCGTATGATCCTACTACTCAAAAGCGAACAAATGCGATATCGATGGATATGGGTCGATTATTTTTGAATACGAAATATTACTAGTACGCACAGCTTCTAGTTCTATGTTCTTCTACGTTGAGGGTTAGGATACAGTAAAAAATTATATGTATGAGAACCAACTTGAGCTTCCGTGTGATGATGATGATGATGATGATGATAGATTATGACGTGTGCAACTGTTGTGGGACTACCTCTAGACCTGGTGTTGATGCATTTGAATAATAAATTCCGTATGAAAACTGTTTTTCCTAATGAGTGTCAATTTTTTGAATGACTGAGAAGGTGAAAGAGAATGCTATAAATCTTTTTAGAGTACTAAACTAGACCACGACAAGGGTTAGATAGTATCAGCACGACAAGGGTAAGAGGATATCACGAGCTCTGCTCTTCTCCTGGAATTCGTGACTAAGGTGGGTTGGTTCATGGAATTGATTGATTCATGAAGTCAGTTGGAGGCGAGGTTCATGGAATTTATTGATTCATGGACATGGAGTCGGTTGATTCATGAGGCAGAGTTATGCTGTGACGAAATTTCCTTCGATCGTGAAGTTGAAAAATAACGTAGATGCTGTAAAATCGCAACGAACAATGAAAGAGAATCGAGGACTGTGATAGAAGAATCGACTGCGAGGATCAGAATGGTAGTTGCTGTATAATAAAGTTGTAAACTTACATGATCAATACAAACAAGAACATGAAGAAAATGGAGGTAAAGTCATGATGATGAATAAAATGTCGAGTACTCTAGAAACGGGCGTTGGGATCCATACAACTTCTTTTCGAGGTATAAGTGCTTTAGCTTCCAAAACGACCAGCACCGAGGAAGTTTGTTTACCGAACGACGACACCAGCACAAGGGATTTTCTCTCACCAGTCATGGAAAACCGAAACCGAATAACTCTTGCTTAGACAGAAAGAACTGATGGCCTCTCAACGATGCCTGAGATCTATGGTGACGAAGCAGAGGATCTTCTCTCTCGTTCTCAACATCCACTCGTGCTCGTTCTAACTTTATTCACGATCTATTTTATTCGATAGACCTATGATGAATTTATTGGAGAGCAAGAACAGAACCACTGACAACTCGTAGAATTCTTACGCAGACGCTGACTGTGTATATTTTTCGGACATGACGGGGGGACAAGGAGAAGCGCAATTCGTGGCATCAAGAGTTATTTCCATCCAGCAGCACAGGTATTACACACCACACACAACATTTTCCGGTGAGTATCCGCCTATCGGCTATAAACAGTAAGTAATCATTTTCATCTCGAGAGTTCGTTGTACATCGACGTTGGATATTCAGAACAAGATTTCATGAAGACAATACGAAATGTTGAAGAACTGCGTTGCTACACAGCCCTCTACTGACGCTAGTACTTAAGTACACTACGTCGATCCTGTTTTGAACAAACTAGTAGGATTTACAATAAGAACAAGATCTGAAAGCAAAGCCACTGCCTCCGAGTAACGACCGAACACTTGAAAGGAGCTTTGGCTTGAGTTGTAAGGAAAAGGAATTATTTCATCTCTGTTATCTGAAACCTACGACGTAATCATCAAAGTGGTGGTCACGACCACTCGCAGCATCAGTTGTTAGAGGATTCTTCTACGTTCAACAACTCGTGGGACGAGTAAGGGTATCTACGGGAGGTACAACTGAGATCCATCGACCTTCAGAGAAGCCAGATGGGAGAGAACCATTCAAAAATGCAGTATGGGAAATTATGTGGTGTTCGTGATCATATGTCAGAAAACTCAAGAGCTGTAGTGCGATTCATGCTGGATGTTCAAACTAAGTACGAAGAAACGGGGATGGGTCGTGTAGCAAGTGGCTCTTCTTGCTACACGTACAGCAATTAATTCACACTGACACTGCACGGAGTAGAGAGGGCAGCAGTAGGTGGATCACTTTGACTCCACATTCGATTGCGCGCTAATTCAAAAAATGCATCTACATCAATCATCTTCTTCATGTGTTCAACTCACGAAGAAGCAATCATCTGTAAACTCCACCTTAGTCCAAAACAGCATCCCTTTTCCTCCCAAAGAATTCTCCTCTTCCCGGAACATCAACTAAGTCTGCGGATCCACCTGAAAATCGGATGTCTCCTCCACCAAGCTCGTCATCTGCTCCATTGCTGCTGTAGACAATGTAGTCTTCACTGTGGATGAAATCGTCCGCTATCGTGAAGTAAGTGAGCAGATTCAGCACAGCCGATAAGAGAAAGCAATCCAGTGCACGCCCAATCGCATTGCTTTTCCCAATCACCTGCATGTAGTGCGCGACTACGATCGGAGCGAAGCCTTTGCCAAGGTCGTCTGTGAGGGTCACTAGGCCAGAAACAGTGCCTCGCATGTGACTCACGTTGACGTTCAGCAAGAGGCCCTTCACCGTTGGCCCAGTGACCAGTCCGAAGCCACAAAGAAACGCTAGGAAAACGAAGATGAACAATGGCGTGGCTGCTTCTTCATCCCCACTGAAGCCAGACGATCCACCTAATGGAGGTGGTAAGGCCGTAGAAACAGCTCCAGCAGCGCTGATGAAAGGGTCGTTTTGGAGAAACCGTTCTGCCGGGACTTGGTCCTCTAGAAGGACCGCTGCATGTGATTCAGGCAGTACTGGATACCCTGAAGAGGAAGCACGAATACCTGTAAAAGCTGAGGATAAAGATGAGGCACCTCCAGCCGACATCAAACTCCTTCTCGTTTCATCCGATGCCATTGGATGCGAAGACGGATGTGATGAGCCGCCTGATGTTGAACCACTCTGTTCAGCGAAACTTTCTAAGGAACTTGTTTTAGTCACTGTGTTGTGGGAGGACGCTGGAGCGACAGCATTCACTCCTGCAACGGTACCTGCACGACCTCCTCCTGACAGTTGTACATGATGTGGATCCATCGACGTCGACATTGATGTCAAATGTGAGCGTGATGGTGGTGGTAGTGCTAGCAGAAGCCGAAAAGCAGCCCAGACAATCACAGCTGGAATCGAAGACAAAAAGGCCAGCTTCCTAGGTTCGTATTTGCTAAATTTCGTCGCCAAATAGCTACTTGCTACGACCATGATCCCACCAGACACCATAAAGGTGCCGATGATATACGTCGCTGCCTGCAAGGGGTAATGCAGGTCGTGGTGCATGTATTAGGGCTACCAACGTGCATCCCTGAGGCCATCCCTGGATCCATTTCCCTCTTGAAAATGAGGCCAAGGATCATGCTGTAGGGGGATGCTCGCTTGGTAGCCTTAAATGTAGTCTAGGATGTAGACCTGGATCGTGGCCCATGGGATACACCCAGGTATCGACTGGAGTAGGCATAAAGTCGTGGTTCCATTCGAGAAACAACCGCGATAGAGTCTCTTGTGAAGTTGCAATGCGTGCATGTTGTAGTTTACCAGAACGGAATCGCCAGAAGCAGACCTACTAGAATGAAGATGACGTTGAAGATTTGGTTGAAGAAGGTCTTGATGATGTGCTCCCCCATTTGCAAGTGCTGTCCTAGAATTATTTCTTCCATTCGTAGTACTACTAGGCATATGTGCACCACCGCCACCTGTTTCTAGATCTAGATCCGAACTTGACCCACCCGGAGACATCGGCGCCGCAATTGCACGTGGTCTCGATGAGCTTGAGGCTGAGCCCCCAACTTGAAAATTCATATTTGAGCCGAAATACCCGCCCCCTGCTCCAGATGAAGGCGGTGATGCGTTGGGTGTGGTTTTCTTGTTCCTAGTAACTAGGTCAAGGTCAACATCGGCTACGTTATTCAGCCTCGTTTGAGCTCCTTCTGAGGCATTCACCCTGTGGTCTGATGGCGAGGAAGCGTGATGTCCGTTGACGCCTCCGGATGAAACAGAAGCTGAAGACAACATCGCACCTGCAATACTTCTATCTGCGCTTGCTGCTTTCCTCAGCCGCCCTGAAGGACTGAGTTCCGTTCCAGGAAGTCCATGCTGGCCAGAACCACTTGCACCACCTAGTATAAAGTCTTGCTGGTCTGCTGGCGTTCCACCCGCTCCTCCTGGCAAATGCGAGTAGGGCAGAACCCGTTCTCGCTTCGGCTCCACTACTGTGGCCAAAACCAGCATGGAGACAAAAATACTCGGCGTCGCAACAGCGCAGAACACAAATCGCCAACCAGTTTGCGTGCCTATAATGCCACTCAAAAACGTGCCAGCACCAACGCCGAAAGCTGTGCCGGTCGCGACGAAGGTTCCGATCAGAGCCTTACGATGCGCAGCAAACATGTCCGCGAGAAGCGAGTAAATTATGGGGTAGGAACCACCAACCTAGTATGAAAACGTGAAGACGAAACGAGATTTATGTAGTAAGATGATGAGAGGTTTTAGAAGAAAACGCGAAGACGAAACGAGATTTATGTAGTAAGTTGTTGTTGTTGTTGTTTGTTGTTCTTTTTCGGTTTAATTACAATTGATAATGACTTTGTTAAGACAGAAACATCGGTAGATAGATTGTTCAGTATAAAAATACGCTGACTCCCGTCAGCACCCGCTGGCCCATGAAGCAGTAGAATCCGAATTCGCCATTCGGAATAAACAGTGTGAGCAAACACGGAAGACTGCCGATCCACACGACTAGAACAAGCAAGCGCACACGCTCATATACATCTGCCATAGGGCCTACGATCAGTGTGGCTAAGCCCCCTAAAATGAAAAAACCGAATTGGGCTTCGCCTCCCAGTTTTGACAGCTTCTTGTGGTCAACGCAGGCATTCTGTTTTTATTGTTGAGAACAATACTAGGTACTCGTAATTCGAAGGACAAAAATAGGCGAAGCCGAAAAAGTGCAGTTTCTCCAGTGAGGAATATTCATTTTATTTTTCGGCCTTCACATTTTTTTCTAACAGAAACCCTAACAGTAAAAGTACCTGAGCCTTCGTATCCGAGGGGTGCTCGGCTATGCAACCCCCTCGGAAAAAATCCTCCGCAATGTCCGACAAATGTGGCGCAGCTAAGTTCTGATCTGCTGACAGCAGGATCACGGAAAAGGTAAGTAAAAAGGCAGCGTAGACCATATAGCGTGAATTCGACTTGTAGACCGACATATTGGAGGGAGATGGCGTTGGTGTTTGTAGGCTAGAATTTTGTTCTGGAGAGGGTGAAATCGCTGTGCCGCTTCTACCTGGTGCTTGTATTTGTTGATGCTCGAGCTTGGTGTGCTCCACCGTCGTTGAAGATGAGGTCGCTTTAGCACCTGCGGCTCGCGTCGCAGAAGATACAGGAACAATCGACTTCGAGGACGCAACAGCACCAGATGACAAAGTAGCAGGAGTCACTTCCAAAAGACCAGGAGGTCCTGCACTCGTTACGAATCCCTTTCCCTGTGGAAGTCGTCCAGACTCCTTGATGTTACTCACTTGCGACCCTGGTGGTTCTTGCGTTCTGTTGGCAATTGACGTCGATTTCTTCTCATCCTTTTGCGCGTCAGAGGACATTCCCCTCCAACTTTTGCGTGTAGTTATATGAAGATAGTTCTATCACTGTAGTGGGGCTCCTACTAAAGGTCGTTGTCCTACGTAACTTCATTTCCGACTCCAATCACGGTTTCAATCGCGTAGTAGTAGAGGAACTCACTCGTACGATGCACAACTGCGCTTGCTCAGGAATCAATAGCCTTTCTACCCCTTCCCGTCAGTGCCTGCTAGGTTTTGGTTGTTTAGTTTGTAATCGCTATTTGATGTAGGAGTGACTATGAGCCTCCGATTCAAATTCGCTTTCCGAATCCTATGTATAACAAGGAGCCCTATGATCACCAGATTGACGCTGTTTTCGAATGCGATGAGTAGACCTTCTTCGAACAAGCCCTGAGAACATTCTAGCGATTGACGAATCATTTTCGATATGCGTCAATGAGCATTTTTAGGGCGGAATCACGGCAACATTCATTGCTGTGAAGATTCGATTCATTATTCTTGCATAGACTAGGAAGAGGGCAATGCAACAGTGCTTTCCTCTATTTCTATACTGATTTACTAGTTCATTTACGGCATGAAATATCATCCGAAAACCCGATGATCAGCTCTACTTCATATTATATATTTGGATGCGTTTTCTGGTACTTTTCGTATGACAATGTCGTTAGTTGTGAAAAACGAACAGGCTGTAAATTTGAAGAAGGTCAAGGTCTTTGGTTAAGCGCAATGGGTATCTATCCAAGGTGCGTAGTAGGGGAGCCCACAACGTAGTTCAGTACAAGAAAATCGAAGCTGTTGGCAAATCTACTTATGAAATGTTTGTAACTTGTCCGTAATAGCTAACTCAGTTGTCATAATGTGCGTTTACTACTGAAATGTTTAGGTGTGTCCCCTTCTATCTGAGGACTTGATGAATGTAAAGCTGTATTGTCAAGAGGACGTGAATCACGATGGAGTTGAAGTTCTCAGTCATTTACTACAACTAAATCAAGTAACATCTTTCGAAGTTTCAAACCAGTTAATAGTTATCTGGTGTCTTCAGAGTTGAGTCTGGCTTCAGGATATTACTGAACTTCTTCCGGCTCGCGTCCTGCTCGCTGGCAAATACCTCTGCTGACTGGAGGTTACCTGGGGACATTGTGGGATCATGGTGAGAAGACGTGTACTTTGTATGTGAAAGACTCTGACAGTGTCTTAAGAAAGCTTTCACAGTGGAATGGGGGTGTGAAGAATTCAGAACTAGTACTCGGAAAGCCGCGATCATGCCGCATAACATTAAAACTGATGTCAAATAACAGCAGTATGTTGCACTACTTGAGGTAACATAGTAAACTTTAACTTAAACTTAGTAAAACTTCTGATGTCAAAGAAGTACTAGTAAACTACCTCTAGTTCTAGTACCACAATTATATTGTTGCAAGGGAAAAATCTCTAGAAGTAAAAACTAACCGGTTGTTCTATTCTAGTACCACAATTATAGAGATGAACGGTACCGATCTTATAAGTCGTCCCGATGACATTTGCCGCTTCTTTGCGTGGGATAAACCCGCTGTATCCCGGAATAGACGCAACTGGTTTAGGCGGGATGTCCAAGACTCCAAGTCGCTTTCGTTCCTGAGTTTTCGTTCTCAGTACTACAGATTATGATTCTAGTTGTAGGAGTCGTAGATTCTCGAAGTTCATTTCAAACATCCCAACAAGAAACATTTGCAATTCATGATCAACATTTCATGATCATGAAGATGTGAATCTATTCGCCAAGAATCTGCAATGATAAACGTAAATAAGCGGGTAAACCTTAGATAGTCAAAAAAGTTCCACATGAAAATAAATAAGATAGTACATCTCCCATTTTTATGCTTGTGGCATAGTGGTATTCGCACAGCCTCATTTCGCGGTTCTTTTCGCGAAGATACTCATTCTCCTTCTCTTCTCCAGCCAACCGTTGGACATCTGCTTCGGTTTCTCTTTTCAGAAGGAGAGTGCCCTGTTTGTTGATTTTTTCAAAAAATTGGGATCCTGTAGTGAGATTCTCAGAAGGATAGCAAAAAAGAAAAACGACCCTTAATAAGTTGTACTTAATTCATATGGTGGGATGAGCGTGAGCGTGTCGTGGGTGATCATGAATGTGAGTAGTTGTGGATTCATTTGTTATTGTGAAGGATGATGCATATCAAATATATCTGACTGTGATGGAAAAAAGTAATTGAGTTCGAGATAAAAATGGAAGTGTTCATTGAGATAATGTGTATGTGATCGAAACAAAGTTGTGTTAGACATCAAGTTTGTCCTCTGCCGAAGCACAGAAAATCAATTCTTCTACGCAATTCTACGCAAACAGTCATAGAATACCGCAATCCCTTGATGAAAGCGTGCGGTACCACCTTCGGCCTTCGCCGGCTTAAAGAGTCTGCCTGAGCTCTGACTCAGGAAGGTTACACTTTGTTGCGACATTTTTTTTCGTTCTTATGATTATAGCTAATTCTCTGATCGATGTAATATGCAAACTGTTACCTTGATGGAGAACCTAGAATAAAATTCTAATGTTTTGGAAGTTGGGAAGGGAAGTTGGGAAGTTGGGAGGACGAGGATCCATTCCATATGGGAGGACGAGGACCCATTCCATATGGGAGGACGAGGACCAATTCCATATGGGAGGACGAGGACCAATTCCATATTCAAGCATCTTGACGAAAGAATGCCTTCGAGACTTTGACACTTCTCCAAGGAGGTGTTATCGGGTAAGCATGGGGGACGATGGGTCTTGAGAGAATCCTGGTCACGCTTCCATCGATAGCCCGATTTCACTAACCTCCTCGCTCACGACACCACTTCTGGACCGACACAGAGAAAAAGAAACGAGATTTCGCAACCTTTAGACGAGGACACATCTCGTGGTAACTTGCCATTAGGACAAGCTGGTATTTTCACACACTGCTCTTCAATTGAAGAAATTTACTTCTTTCCTCGTTCATTATCATCTAGCATTAATCCTAATGTAGCGTGCTCCTGTACAATACATGTTGGACGTGGTTCTATGACATCTTGAAAAACTCGAATAACCGAGGAAGGTGGGCTATCAAATTTGTACAATAGAAATGCGTGTGCGTTGTGCAACTCGGTTATTTATTTCGTTTCTCATGCAACAAGTACACAGTTTTTCACAGCAGGTGTAGTTCTTCCAATAATCTCAAATTCATGTTCAACCAATCTTCTAGACTCGTCAAATTCAACTTTCTTGTAGACTCAAACCTCACCCAACAAAATCGATGCCGCTAGTTCCTGATTCCCCTTCGCCTGCTTCAATGCCTGCACTGTTTGAGCTCTCGGAAAACCCAAGGCCATCAAATCATCAAGCTTCTCCTTTTTCTTAGAAGGAATCATTAGAGATAAAAGTTTTTCTCGAGGACAACATTCACCCTGAAACTGTAACATGAATCTGAATCTCTGCCTTGATTTTAGCCATAATTTCTGTCTTTGCAGGCTTCGGCGAGTCGTCCTTGGGAGTAGGGTTCTGCAAAAGCTGTAGTGGTGATGAATAATGATAAGCGTACAGGTCAACGCCTAAAGCACTAAGCCAACTGCTCAGCCAAATAAGTATTTAAGTGGAATATTGTTTCATTTGTTCCTGGGTCGAATGGACAATAGCGCTTAGGATGAAGTATAGATACATTATCGTCCTCCATGATTGCTATTTGTTAGCAGTTCCGTGATCTCAAAAAAAGTACCCAGTCCATTGCTTTTTGTATGTCCGAGTTTCCTGTGGCCAGAGCTGCTCTTCCAGCTTCTTCTTCCCCAAATCCCATAGCCACTAGCCCTGAGACTATGTCGGCGCTAGGCTTTTCTTCTGCGGATATGAACATGGGGTCAGGGTCATTTTATTTGATACAACATGAAAATGAGCCCTTCTTGTGAAGTAGTAGATAAATCACATTTATACATAGTAGACATTTCTGTTTCTATAAAAATTTATCCACAAACATAACAGAAGCCGCGCTATCCCTTTTCACAGTAGCCGCACTTTCCCTCTTGGCAGCAGCTGGCGGAGGCGCGCCTGATGTCGTCCTAATACCAGGTGCCTTGAAAGAACTGCTTCTTTGCTGGGCTTCAGTTGGTGCTCGGGGTGCAGCTGGTGAAATTAGAGAAATGGTTAGTCGTGTACGAAATATTTAAATCTATCATGTCAAGTCGAACTACACAACAAGAGATACAATCTGGTTCGACTAAGTAGGACTACAGTAGCCATAAAGCGTCTTGACTTGTCTGCCTTTGCTTCTTCTCTTCCTCCTCTTCGTTTTTTGGGACATCTTGGCTGTCGTCAGGAGCTACGGACGGCATATGCGGATTCGGCATGGCAGATACTGACGTCTTCGAGGGTGCAGTCGAGTTCTTACTCTCCCTCTTGCTGGCTCTCCCTTGGATTAGAAGGTCGCTGTTGCAGGAGAACGAAGACTGTAGTGCTAAAAAGTGGAAAATAAAAGTCCTTGTGACTAGCCATAAATCTTGCGATGCCTCGAGTGAGACGCGTTTCTCGTTTACCGATGGACTCCCTATTTCTGTTGGTGGCCCGTGGCTGCCGACGTCCTGAAAAGTGTTGAATGGTTAAGCCATGAATGTGAATGTTGGCTCTTCGTGAGAAGTTAGTACATGAAGATGACACTGATGTGTGTCCTTCAAATAAAAATTCAAAAAAAATTCTATGTGAAGAAGATTCAAAAAAGTAGCTCGTTCTACTCCTCCCCCACCGCCCGCATTCGAATCGCTATCATAGGTCACTGGCGCAAACAAAACTTCATCTTCCGGGTCTCTGCGCTCGTTTTGTGGTGTTCCTGCCATATCGTACACGTCTACCATCACCCGATTGCAAGTCTCCGTACATCTCGTAGGCATTTGCTCGAGGTCGCCAAATAGTCCCGGAGGGACCGGGATATTGCCCATTTTCTTGTTGGAGGCTGCTGTGAACGGAGTCGACTTTGCAGGATAGAAGGACTTTGCAGGATAGAAGGACTTTGCAGGATAGAAGGGTAGATAGATAGATAGATAGATAGATTTGTGATAGCAGGAGGATGGTTCCAGGAAGGACGAAGAAGCTGCCCTGTTTTCTAAAAATAGGGACTGCGTGCTCGTCCTCCCACCTGCTAATAATATGCCCCTTCAAGTAGAGATCTGCAAGAACTTGGTTCACCTATGCTTGTCTTCTACTATCATCTTCAGGTAAATATTTCTTTGTTCTATTTCAAAAACTCTTGTCAATTCTTTCTCCATTTGTCTTTTTGTCCACTTTCATATTTTGGCCTTCTTCCAAGATGACATCCAGCATCACAAGTAAGTGACTATCTAGACAACCAGCATCAAATAAGGAAATTATATCTTGGCTCGAGTGCGAATGGGTTGCCCATTCTCTCTCACAACTATCCACCCTCTTCCCAACAACTACTTCCCCAGTCGTCATTGCCTACCGACAGTAAAGGAGATCGCCCAAAGTAGATGAAGGACAAGCAGAAAGTGGGATTTCTTTTCTCCCCAAAATCATGATTTCATATGATAATCATGTGTATTTATTCTATGCAATGGCTATACTGTGTCCTTACTTGGTACGTGGCATTTTGTATCGCAAGTTGTAACGCCGGTCGTCATGCCGTTGTTACTTAGTACTGTTCCTCATTTCAAACTGTGCAAGAAATGGCCCCGTCTTTCCAATAAACTGTGCAATGGACAAATGTGCAATGAAATTCTCAAAGCACAATGCTCGATGCGCACGCAGTTCTTCAACATTTTCGATGACCGTTTATTTTCTAATTCCATTCTCGCGACATTGATGCTTCGTTTCGTGGCGTGCTATGCAAGAAAAAGACGATAATTACACGATTACGACCTATAGATGATACGATAACATTAACATGAACATCGGTATAACAAACAATATTCTCAACTAATCTTGTGATTGTGTACAACAAAATGAACATTAACTAAAAAGTATATTGTTCTCTAATCTTGTGACTGTGTACAACTACAGCAAGTACGACAAGGTTTCTACTTCAATATTACAAGACTCTTATTTGTTCATTTTAGCTCCAAGCGCGTGCGCCAGACGGCAAATGTAAGTGATGCAGCTATGCGTAGCTCCCTCGCGGCACATGCGCTCCAGTCGCGCTTTCTTCTCGGATACCACGTCACTTGCGTGTTTCTGATACAAAGTCCGGATCCTCTGCAGTCTCTGGATTGGTTGGTGGTCTCCAGTCAATTTATGCGGATTAGAGAACAATGGACAATCTGTCCTTCTATTAAGCGATAATTATATTTTTCTATGATCGTAAGTGCCTGTACTTCTAGTACTAAAGGACAAAAAAGTAACTCGAAGATTCATGAGAGACTTCTTTCCTCATCATAATCTTCGTTAGTGTCGCAACCGCGGCAAATAACTCGTACCAACTAAAGCCTGAAAGGATTTCCCGCACCTCGTTCTCTTCATCTGCGTTGGAAGCAGCTGCCAGATAATGGGCCTTGTCTTCGTAGTCTTGTAGATCATGCATCGAGCCAGCGATCGCCACCATCTCATGCACGGTAAAGGCGCGACCGAGAAGCTTCAGTTTTCGCTGTGTAGGTGCTTCATCAATGCTTTTTTGTTCGATCTAGAATCACTCCACGTTTCGATCTATGCGGTTTTACCAATTCCAAGCAACTTTTTATGATGATCCCTCATTGATTATTTAGATGTATTTCTATTTTTTTACACGTTGACATTCTTATACTGACATCAGTCACAGTGACAGCGCAGATTGAAATATAGTACCAAAGACAGTCGTGTTCTATCTCGCGGACTCAGCAAACTGCTAGCTTCTCCAAGATTGGAATTTCGATTTGCATCGCCCTGCTCGCCATCCTGTTCATCAGCACTAGTATGATCTTGCTCTTCCAGGAATGCGCCATAGACCGAGCTCGCGTCCAAAGGCTCGTCAAACTCGCGACCTGCGATCCCAGCAGCTTGGTTCGCTAATGTGTTTCTTCCTGGTGGCACGGCTACAAAATTCACCATCAGAACCCTCGCATCGTCTCCCTCCCCAAGTGGGGCTGGAGCCAAAATCGGGTAGCGATCGACGTAGCACTGAAGCAAGTTTTCCAAGTCTGGACCAGAAACACTACTACTATTTTCCAAGTCTGGACCTCCAGAAATACTACAACTATTTTTTGGGGAAGGGCCTTCGCCTTGTTGTTCTGGAACGATAATATTTTCACGATTCTCTCGAAACGCCTTCTTGATGTTTGCCCAGGAGTCAAAGCTGAGATCCACGCGAACCCGCATCGTTTTTTTGTCCCTCGCGGCTGAAGCGGTCGGAAAAAGAATCATGTAGTTGTGGACCAACTGCATCGCTTCGATTAGAGAGGAACAAGGAATTATAGATACCTCTACGACAACAACTACTGCAGATGTACATCTACAAAGAAACACTTCCAGCACATAATCTGATAAACTTCCAGACGTTCTCCTTCGCATCTGCCGCCTCCTCGTAATTGAAGCCCAATGCGTTGGCCAAAAAAGGCAACAGGCTTCGACCCTCTAGTTCATTCACAGCAGTGCGGATGCCTGTCACCCATGAGAGGCGAAATTGAAATCGATCGTGTTTAGAGCAGGTGGAGGGAAGAGAAATCATGGTGCCAATTAGAAGTCAGCTACAACTTGCTACTCTTGACTGGATGTTGAGAGCGTGAGAAGTAAATGCGATAGCTACTTCCTCTACTACAACTCTAAATCAAAAAAAAACTCGATCATAACATATTTGCTTTCCACGCTTTCCAAGTTTAGCGCAGAGTCTACACACACCAAAAATGGCACTTGCTTCTCCTTGTTGAGTCCTCCACCACCAGTACTCTTGTTTGTTGACCCTGAGGACCCACCTCCACTCGAATTCGTTCCTCTAGTTCTTGACAAAAAGTCGAATATCTTATAGCCACGTGGAGGCATGAAGGCAACAGGTTCTGGATCGTCAGGATCCTCGTAGGCTGGTCCAGCGAGCAGCCGCGTCGGTGGACGACAGGTCAACAGAAATTAGAAGATTAAGATTGCTTTTATCCTCCAGCAGGTTTTCCCATAAAAGACTGTAACTTCAAGAGAGTGAGAGATCTGTACTACACTGATAATCTTAGTCTCTTAAAAAATACTCAAGATGTTGATGATAGTCTAAACTTTATTAAAGATCTAAGTTAGTACAAAGTACTAAGATAGAACTGTGTGTCGATTGGAACAGTATCTGCTGCGAACAAAATAGGTACTTCTAGCCTTAAAGTAGCGAAGACGTGACCGCACTTTCTCCGGCTTTTACTGGCTCGAAACAGCTAGGCACCCTTCTCGGACCCTTCGTGGTGTAGACCTCCTCTGCATCTGTGCGTTCGGTTTGTGGTGTTGCAATTATCTGGATGTCTTCGGCCACCACCCGATTGCACGGATCCCCACATGTGGCCGGTTCGCACAAGGGGATGTTGCCCATGATGGTTAAGCTTTTTGTATACTACAACATAACGTAATGTATTGAATCTCGCATAAAAATCTGAGCTGCAGAGTGCCTTAAGGGAGTCAAAGATTAAATGCAAACCCAAAACACCGGCAAATAACAGTCGATGTGTGGGTAGCACCAGGACTGGTGCTTCTCCTTACATAAATATTTATAGTTTGCCCATTGTTCAATTTTGATTTCTTCGGGCCTTATTACTTTTTTTTTGCAAGGAGAAGAGAAGGGGGGAAAACGAAAGCTCAAAGTTGGTGACACTGGTTTTGAGACTCTGCTATTGTCGTGAGTCACCTTCACTTCTTCCACTTTCACAACAATTGAACCGATTAGGGGAATCCACCGTCTGTGTGTGTGTCATGGTCTCAGGCACTCGTCTACGACAAACACAAAGTCCTAGTAGATGCTGTGTGCTTACAAGCGTGCATCTTTCTTCGTGGTCCATGCAACAGAAACGGGACGATGACAGTAATTAGAAAATGTGTCAGGAAGAAAGAAATGCAAGAAGAACTAGAACGAGTTGTGAAGCATGCCAACAACGTGAGTCTATGCAAACTTGAGAAGCATCAAGAAACAAAGGGAGATGAAAATGACAAATCAACAATAATCCGAGTTTTCGATTTCATCTACGTAAAAGCAAGTAAAAGACTCCTGCAGGACGAGGAGGTGCAGTTTGTAGATGATCATGTGGCCACTACGTGGCATCTATAAGGTGTTGTTTGAAGGGCTAAGCCTATAGAGGTAAAAACTAACCGGTTTTCAGTTTCTGTTTGCGAGACAGCAGACATAATCTTGTCTTTGAAAATCGGGTGATCCTCTTGATCGTACTCGTTGTCCAGTTGCAGCCGCCAAGCCGGGTCATAAGTACAACCAAGTAAGTAGTAGTGCTAATCTTCACGTTCGACTTTTTTGCGAGACAGCCTCGAAACTGGCGATATCACCATACCTGTGGGCATACTGTTCAACTCCTCCAGATTCCTTGCGACTTCTGCGCTTGCTGCGGTTTGATGTACACGCGGGCTGCGACCTTGGAGGATATTGCTCTTGCGTGGACATGGAAGGTGTTGGTCGGTACCACCTCCATTGTTGATGAGATTAACTCCCTGTTTAGTTGTTGGTGTACTAGATGAAGTAGAAGCAGCTGGTGGTGGTGGAATCATACAACCACTGCTGGTAGTTGTTGTTTTTCTTCCCGACAGAGAGAAACGCTTTTCCTCGCTTCCACCAAGGTCACCTCCACCAGGACCCAGTATCAATCCTGCAGCATCTCCAAGCCCTTGTTTTGGCGATGTCTTAGGACTACAATCAAAGCGCGTCGGTCCAGACCTGCTCATCTTCTCCATCTCTTCATCGTACGGAGATGAATCCACTAGAGGTCGCCCTGCAATCGCTGACGAATTCGGAGGGGAGGTTGAGGTAGAATTCCTTTGATGGAAGCCAAGTAGAGTCCTAGTTGTTGTGCAAGAATTATGACCTGGCGTCGTAGAAACATCAGACATCCTGGGCAGTGCAGAAGATCCAGATGGTATCATGTGCATGTGTTTGGGAGGTGAGGAAGTGTACAACGACATGTGTTTATGACCGAGTTCTGGGTGTGATTGTGAGCCTGCAGAGGTTCCTCCCGCAGCTGCATGATACCCGACATCAACGTCTGTTGTAGTTGGCGGATGTCCATCTTGATACCTCCCAAAGTCATACTTGTAGGGGTAAGGCGACAAATTCGAAAAACGCGAAGAAACTCGTTTTTCTGGTGTCGTCGTGTACAACGATTGTTTGTATTGCTGTTCTCCTTGTGGTGCTTGTTCTGGTTTGTTCCTTGTTGATGAAGAAGATACAGCAGATGCGCGACCACAGTAAAAACTCTTACCCTCATGAGCAGAAGGAACAGCTTCTACTTGCTCGTGCTGTTCTGATATTCTTCCAGGTTGTGTTGAGGCGCTGCTTTCTGCACCTGCCGCGGTGGTTGTTGATGTCACTGTAATACGGCTTATGTTGTTCGTGCCAAACAAAACATCAGTTGTGTGCCTTGGAGCTGGAGACAAGGTAGTTGTAACAAATGGGTTTGGTGCAGGTGCCGCACCAGAAAGTGCGAACTGGAGGCCGGTTCCCTCTCCGAGTTTTCGAATCGAAGGTGACAGGTTGTTGTTCAGGTTTTCAAGATTTGGAGGAGGTGGTACTCCTGAAATAGAGGATGGTGACAGGTTGTTGTTCAGGTTTTCAAGATTACGGTGTGTAGAAGTTGTCGTTACGCCGCCTCCAGAAGATGGTGGCAAGCCTCTTCCTCCAACTCCCAGAATTTCCGACGCTGAGCGTCCACGTGTTTTCCGAAGCACACCGCGTCCCATAGTCTGAAAGAGCTGAGCAAACTTAGGTAGTACAAAGGATGCTCCTCCTGGCGATTGCTCTGGAGAAGCCAAAACTTGCACTACTGTCGAACTCTGGTGGGCAGGGCGACTTCCTCCGGAGACAGATCCGGCTAGAGTTAGAGAATGATGATGAGGATGATGATGAGGATGATGATGAGGATGATGAGGATGATGATGAGGATGATGATGAGGATGATGATGAATGAGAGAGTAGTTCTGAAAGAATGAATTGACTTCAATCGACGAAAGCCAAACTACAAGAGTCAACATTTGCATTCAAATGATTAATATGTCTCATCTTAACGACGGATTCCCTTGCATTTGCCGAGATGGAGGCGAAGGTGTAGTCGTCGTAGACGAAGTCGCTTTTCGCTTGAATATTCCACCAATTTTGGTGCCGACCAAGTTCAGCGTTCCTGGTGAAGGCACTTTGCCAGGTGGAGAAGGAGTGGCATTGCTCTTGATGTTTGCTCCAGGGCGAACCCAATTGTTTAAGGAAGTTGCTGCTCGTTCTCTTCCACCTCCCGCATAATCCTTCAGAGTTGAGGAATTCACGGTCGTTCTCCGACTTGACGTTGTTGAGAACCGAACAGGCGGGCCGCCTCCTAGTGGACTGGAAGTACTCGTCGCAGAAGGCCTTGTATTGCTATTGTTCTTCTGTTCACGAAGATAGCCGCCACTTGCTGACCTTTTCACGAAGTAAGTCCCTGTCCCGACGTCGACTACTGGTTGCACCACAGATCCTCCAGATGACGGTTCTACAATGACCGTTCTTTGTCCAACTGTTGTCTGAGTCAATGAGTGAGAATCACCAGGATGGTCTTCCTGCTCTTCACTACGGTCTTGAACAAGTCTTGTTTCCTGTAGATCTTCATTCTCCTCACCCGTATGAATTTCCACTGACACTGTTCGCATGCCATCATCTGAATGCAGCCTAAGACGTGTTGGAGGCGTGGCACCTTGCAGCTGTTGTTGAGAAACTGCCTGCTCACCTTCTGCAGCCTGCGCCGTCCTGTAGTTTCGAAACTGCTGTTGAGTACTGTGATGCACATCCACGGTTTTGGTGGTTGTCTCACCAGTAGTGTCTCTTCCTTGCTGTGCTTGATCTTGAGTCGTGGCAGATGAAGCTTCAAATACAAATTTCATTGAGCCACCTACTGTCGTCCTCTTGTCGTAGTACATAGATCCACCACCTGCTGGCCTGGTCTGGTAGAAGTTATTCGCACCAGGAGCCCATGTGTTTCGCAGGCCTGTAGAAGCACGAGATCTGCGAGGCGGAGGGGAGGTAATCGTGGGATCTTTTGACTTAGCAGAATGTTGTTGCAGCTGGTTCTTGAAGAAAGAAGCGTACCCTATCAAAGAGTGGTAACTAAAACTAGCAGAACCGGTATTCTATGTAGATTATATTAGACCACACCCACTCCCACCGCATGATCTTCAAGAAAAAATCTGTACAACATCATAATGAGCAACCACGACGTCAGCGAAACACGCGGCGGGTCATCTGGCAACGGCACGTCATTCGGCGAGCCCAAGACCGGTCGTTGCTCCTCTTCCTCCTTCTTTTTACCACTCGATGAAGCCGTTACACCTCGTAGAAGCCATTGCAAGTCTATGCGAGGTGGTTGTATACTCCTTCCTCCGCGACCTTGTTTCCCGACCAAGGCATCTCCTCTGTTGTCGACCACATCGAGCGAAACATGGTGTCCGGCATCTTCGTCTCTAGCCGGTGAGCATTGCAGGGCAGTTGGTTCTCGTGGAGTGCGATTCTCCTTTCTGGTACTCTTTCCGGCCGATGAGGGCGCTGAAGGCGTTAAGCCAGAGGCTGTGTCCCAGGTCGTCCTTTTCGGATAGTAAAGGAAATCCGTTATCGGTTGCGTGGAGTAGAACATCTGCTCTCGCGATGAAGCGGAACTCGAAGGTCCAGCAGCGGCGGATGGAGGAGTAGCTCCACGCGCCTAGATTGATGATTACTAGTATGAAATTCATGAAGATGATGACGAACTTCAAGTAGCTAGCAAGCATTCATCTACTAATATGCAAGCATTTACATTATAAGTAGTAGCTTCACGGCATAATACCATGTACACCATGGCTCAGGCGTAGTGCGCGTCGCCTCAATCCGGTGTGCGTCGACCCGTCTGCTCAGAGGACATGCATCATCTTTGCAAAACCGTTACCGGCTTCGTGGTAATATATCTCATAAGGATGCCATTTGGCTCTCCTACTCAGTCGAAACGGAGAGGTCGTTGATGAAAGGGCTCATTTTCACAATTTTGATTTCGCTAGAACTTTCATGACCTTCCTTGTTTTGTGTACCGAATTAGATTCACCGACATCAAAAGCTAGGTCTAAATGTAACCTCCTAAGGTCCGTTTCTAAAAAAACTTTTTTTTTCGCCTTTGTTCCGATTTGTAACCTTCTCCCACAGCCAAGTCAGATTAAGCATGAAACGCAGCCCCACTAGCTAATACAGACCGAGTTAGGTACTGAAACCACGACGAGTTCCTGCAGCTTCTAGCAGGCACAAGCTGAAGCTTCTCCTTGTTCTTGCGTTTCTTTCAAACGTTTCATCCCAGAGACGAGCGCGTTGTGCTCTTTCAAATTCAAGCAAGTCACTAGAGAAATCTATTCGAACATGGAAGCCTGTCCGCTGTTCTTGGAACTAACAAGTGTGCAGTAGTGGGCCTTCTTAAGCCCCAGTTACCCCCTCTTGTTTCTTCACCCTCGATTTTCGAGGACCTTCGACCCAAGAAATCATCATGATGTTCACAAGAAGAATTGCATTCATCCTTGTCCCTTTCGTCCTCCTCCTCCTGTTCTGTCACATACGCATCTCCTCTATCTCTCAACGCCATGCTCGATGTCATTGCACTGCTTGCCAACACCAACAAAGTTCCAGTTACCGATCCGCCAGTAGTAACACCTAGAAACTCTAGACCGCCACCCAAACTGCTGTTAGCCACTGGATGAACAAATCGTCCTAAGTCGTCATGGGCTAACAACGCTTCTGCTGCACACATACAATGACCGCTTGTTTTGCTTCCTCCATTATTGGCTCGCGCAACTTGCGCCGCCTGCTCAGCCAGCATGCGTGCTTGGTGCAGACTCCAATTCAAGTCCTTTACTGTACCGAACAACCCAAAGGGATTCGTTACCCACTGGAAAACTGTTGACAAATAGAATTAGAGCCACCGCGTTCGCATCCCTAGGTGCATCCACCTTGGTCCGTTTTTCAAATAGAGGGCACTCTAAGGGCCTCCTGGTAGAAAAACGGCCAAGGATGACGCTGAGCAGGAAGATGCAGGCTCTATTGCAGGTCGCACTGTAGTATCTTCATCTGAGATCTACTCGAAAACTGAAAATAACCGAGTTACTGACTGAAATAAGGGAGGTAGCTTTGACAGGGCTACTCTTCCTTGTTCAGTATTTCGCTTATTTTCAGTAGTTACTCGCTTATTTCAGTTTTTCGAATACCTAAAAATCTAATAGATACCTACAAATCAATTACAATTACTAGCCTTAATAGAAGCTCATGGCCGATTCCGCTTCATCTTGGATGAGACACTCAGAGCGCTTGATAATATCGGCAGCATCCGTGGCCATAGCAGCACGCGCGTGGGAACCGGCTTTCTGAAGATGATCGAGAGCGTGTTGCAAGCCAGCACGCAACCCGCCATCCTCAGGGGTCCCACATGCAACGCTGCCGGTTGGGGTGGCCATCCTTTATTTTTGCTCCTTAGTACGTCATGTCATGTCATGGGACCTCGTGTTTCAAAGTAACTTATTGAAAGAGAGGTTATTCCAGTCTGCCTGTACCTTCTAAGAAGAGCAAGCAAACCGAGCGATATACTATCAAGTATCACCAAAAAGCAGCCACGGATACAACTTACTACAACGGAGTGGTTCTAGTGCACGTCGTTCTGTAGCATCTTCATCTTCTCGGATCTACCTCCTAAAAATCTGTTCAATAAATTATAGCATCATTGTGGATAAATTAAAATTTTGCCATACCTCCTACGTCATCCGTGTTGATGGGCGGCGGGGGAAAAACAACAGATTATAATTTAGGAGGTGTTTTACTTGAGGAGTCCGTGAGCCGGGAAGTGGCTCTTCTATTATTTCGCTCGCAGACCGATTTCAGAAACGACCGAGTGAGGCAGCGTTGACGACCGAGGATCAAGATCATGGTGGAGTGAGATCAAGATTTTCATCTCCTTACATTCATATGAATGAACAGATTTCAAACATTATCCAACACGCTGCCGAGTCCCGCGAGCACCTCCTGGAAGAGGCATCCTGCTCGAATTTTGTACTGATTTAAGCTTTATTCTTTTGATTTTGCTTTCAACTACGTGTTACTTTCTTTCGTGACGAACGTACTCCCGCAACATGATCAACATTAAAGAAAAGGAAATGTGGGTCATAACAAACACCCAGTCAACAGAGTCATCAAGATGTTCTACTTATAAATATGGGTATCTTCCTATGCTTGTTGTAGTGCTTGTTAACAATGTTGACAGAGCAGTTGTGAAGTTTGAAGTATTTAAATGTGATGAAGGTGATTTTTACGATTAGCATGACAATCGTTCTTTCTCCTGGCACCAAGAATGTGGTTGATGCTTGATGCAAGACAGGACCTACACTACCAGTTCTGTCCGGCTCCCCACTCTGCAGTGCCCATGCGTTGCGTCGCACGACCATCCACCACGGGATTCGCTGCTAGAAGTGGGTTCTCTAGCATGTTGCCACCTATCTTTTTGCCCACCTTGATTCGTTTGATGTCGGCTTGCATGTCCTCTAGTCTGGTGACGTCTTCATCGCGCAGTCCTAGTTCTTTGCGCTTATAGAACAACTCTTGGAAAAAGGGGTCGATCAGGGATCGGAAAAAAATTTTCTGCACACGAATTTGGGAAAGGGATTGCAGTAGGTCGACGAAAACACGACGTAATTGTGCCTTGATCTCTCGTTCACTAGGGGGCTCGTAAGTGCCGAGATAAAGGGAAACGTTGGCAGCGGAACCGTCGTGGTCTTGTCCGGTTACCCCGGCTAGGTCATCGAGGAACTCAGCGGCACTCACATTGAAAACATCTGCACTGGAAACGGCGTCGTTGCTGTGTGGAGGTGAAATTTGAGAAGGAGAGTGAAAATTTGGAGAGCAGAATAAAAACCTTCCACGCGATCCACCAGGACTTCCATCACATCTTCGCAAAGAACCAAATGAAGAGTTATACTTATGGAGGCGTTCTCTTTCTTCTACTCTTTAGCTCTTTCCTCAGAAACCACGTTAACATTCAGAACAAACACAAAATTCTAGAAAGAAGAACAAGAAAGATGATGAATTGGAACGTTACAGAGACTCATCTCCAAAAGACTACCTGTCACGATCGACGCGACTGCCGGTTCCTGACGAGCCGACAGACGCTATGCCTCCCACCGAAGCTATACCACCACCAGATGCGATTCCACTCGCTATACCATCTGCAGCTTGTGCCTGTTTTGCTAGTCGTTCTTGTCTTAGAACTGGACCGAAGAGGTCGTCCTCCTCGTCGGAGTCGGGCAGTTCATCGTTGTCGGGAGACTCTGGGGAGTTGAGTGGGGCTGGTGGAGGTGGGACAGTCCTCGCCGTGCGGTTGTTGGGGAGTTGTTCTTCGTCTTGTTGTTCTGCTAAGGAGGCTCGTTCTCCACCTCTTGAAGAGGAAGATGCAGTGGCTCCTTCTGGTCCTCCTGCTGGTCTACTAGTAGTTGAAGTCGTATTTGCACTTGCACCATAGCTAGTCGAGCTAGAAGATGGATTCAGTAGTTCTTCGCCCTCTACACGACTAGTCCGCCTACGCTTGCCTCCTGACGGTGATGTTGACACAGAATTAGATTCCCGCTTCAGCTGTACCGTTTTTGCAGGCGAGGACGATGAATCTCTTTTTCTGCTTACGTCATCAGCATCACCAGCTGCCGATGCCAGCATCTCCTCTTCTCTGCGAATTGTCGCAGCTAAGGGACGATGCTCTTTTCCGCGCTTGTCCTCTGGACCTGGTGCAGGCACAGCACCGTCTGCGAGATCATCTCCACTTTTAGGCATAGAAGAGGATGAAGATGTTCCTGCTCCAACTGAATGTCCTTGCCCGTCTACCCCTGCCTGGTTACTGCCATTCACTACAACTGAGTTCACCCCACTCGACGGCAAAGATGGTTCTTCTATTTGCTCACCAGCATTTCCTTCACCATCTGCAGCCACCGGTCTTCCTGCGCCATCCTCCGGCGACATCAGTGCTGGCCCAATGAATTCGAGTTGCTTTCCCTGTAACTCTTTCCATTTTACTAGTTGTCTGGCAAATGGCCCATTCGGATCGCCAGGTACTCGCATGTTATTCCTCGGCAAATCCGTGTTGCGCAATTCCGGAGACGCGTTGAACTCGATGTCGTTCTTGAATAAATCTTCAACGTATTCACTCCTCAGCGTCTTCAGGCACTTCTCCAGCACGAAGTTGTCGTCCGCCTGCAGAACCATGCAGTGTTGTCTGACTAGCCTCCAAATCGACCTAGTCCAGGGGTACAGTTCGACGAAATCGCGGTTTAATTCCAGCATGGTGTCGAACGTCTGCTTCACGTCGGAGACGACCTCTGCATGACCGCAGAAGAATCCGGTGTTGACGAGTCGTTGTACGGCCTCGAATCCGAAGCTCCGGTTATCCCAATCCATCTGCTCCACCACCCATCTCCTCAAAAAAGGCATCGCTTTCACGAACTTCGGTCTTTGCTCAATCAAAGCCATTACGCGGATCAGCATGTCCACGGCGTCGGGAATATTAGAGGTGAGCGTCAGAATAAGATACAACTGGTCGTGTGCCTGGTGTGCAGTAGTCAATCTTCTTCTAAATTTTTGACTCAAATGAAACAGTAGTTACAAGATGAAGAGAGGTCATGCCGTAATGTTCGCTAGTTTGTTTTCGTGTTCTTCTTTCTTCCGCTTCATCTCCTTCTCCTGCTTGATTCGCATGTAATGCATTTTGACCCGCATTCTGTGCCTGGCGGATCTCGCACTAGCTCCTGTACCGAGGCCCTGCTTCGTGAAGCGAAGCTTGTTGGCCTCAGCCTCTTGCTGTCGGATCTTCCTAATGTCGGCATCATGCTTCTTCAACTCCTTGGTCTGGTGATTATAAAATCCATCGAGCTCTCGTTCTTTACGCCCTCTGCCGATGAGCTGCTCTGGTGGCCTCTGAAACCGACGCTGCACAGTCTCAAATGCTTCGTTCAACTGTTGATGTTGAGTTGGTCAAGAAAATACGACGTTCATGTCATAGTAAGTATTAGAACAAGAAGTTCGTCCCCGTACAACAAGGATAAGCAAGTAAAAATTCGTTTTGAAAATAAGACAACCTCCCAAAAATCTACTGTCTAGTACCTTAGCAGCCTCGAACTTCTTACTCTCCGCTTCTTTTTTTTTGCCAGCTGCGTCCAAGCGTGTTACTTCTTCTTTTAAGGCTTTCCATTTTTTCTTTACTCGTTGCCTGACTTTCTCCAAGTCTGCCTTCGTCTTAATTTGAAACTCCTCGAAGCCAACTGTCTTGTAGGGATCCATCTTGATCGATGTTTCTTCTAAAAAGTCTTATTTTAGCGAGTCATCCAGCTGTATTCAACAAACAAGAAGGAAAGGACAAGGTTGTCGATATAGATCAAGATGTCTTCAGCTGCATGAGAAACTACTACTACTACTAGGACTACATTTGACCGTAGCTGGCACTATGTTTATTGATTCAGAGAGGAAGTCATAGATGATAAAATCGTTGTGGCAAAAATGAAGCTGGTGATCATGCTGCAGCCCTCGTAGGACTCCTGTAGTAGGTGAGATTAGAAGTCTGTCATGATTGAGCAGCATGTAGTTTATTAAGTGTGATGTGTCTTTTCAAGAGTATGGTGTTTGTCCTTCTCCTTTGTTCTAGTTCTTCATGAAGTGATCCCGCAGTGTCGTTCCAGTATGCGTGGTTGCAGAAGTGCTCCATTTTCATTCATGACTCATTCTTGATTTCAGAACTCGACGACGGTCATATCTGTTGAAAGAGAGAAGTTTCTTTGACATTTTCGATTATCATTCTTCTATTTGTGGGCGTCGTTTGCTGATGCTGATGCTCATGAGTTCATCAGATTTTAACATATTCGGAAACAAGCGAACATTCAATGCAGTCTTCACGACAATAAAAGCTCCTCCTCATCGATGAAATTGTAAGGAAGGGCCGTTCTACGTCTTTTTTTATTTCGCGTTTTTTGTTTTTTTGAACTGTTTTTCTAAGATGAATCGTTTGGACACACCTCCTCTTGTCGTTCTCAGTGTAGTTACTATAGTCGTGAGCACGAAAAAACAGTCTTCGTTGAAGGGCACAATTCATTGCCGAAAGGATGGCTAAATCTGATACATCATATCATAGGAGGTTAAATTTTGATTGTTTCAATAATTGACACTGTCTGAAGACATCTTCATACGAGTGCAACACTGTATGATAGAAAAAATCATCTTCCACAAGGGCAAATTACACCAAGAGCTGTGAGACAACAAGGTTCGAAAACGAAATAGTAGCACGTGGTTGTTGTACTATTTCTGAAGACCCCCGTCCTGTATCCATCGGAGAAACACTCATCTTCATGAAGACTGTGAATTTCATCGTCCCCTGAACATTTCGACCACGCTATTGCCATAGCTCTCCATGACCCGAGCTCGCAACTCTGCTTTTGCTGCCTCTCGTCTCTTCGCGGATTTCCAACCGGATGACCTGCTAACTACGTCGCTGGTCGCAAACGATCTCGTACTCCCCAGTTGCTTAGTCTTTTCGTCGTCGTGGTCTGCGTCAGCCATTGTTGTGATGTTAGGATGCGCTAAAAAACCAAGGTTCAAGCGTCCCTCTGGAGTGTCAGTGCTAGTGTAAAACGGGAAGGCTGCTAATTCTAAGCGGCGACTCTCCATGACTGAGTCACGACTGGAACTAGACTCAACCGCGTCGCCGACAAGCGCAAACCAATCGCCGGCTGTGGTGGGAGGGGAGTTTTTTTGCTTAAGAATGTGGATGCTGTTGTTGACGTTGAAATTGAAAATTTAATGGTGACAACGCTCGTCTAGATGTTGTTGATCGCAAAGAGAAATCGTTTATTTCGAACTCGTTGTAGCACAAGTAGCAGCAGATACATTTCAACACTCCACCCCTAGAAATCATAAAAAAGTAGCAGAAGGTACCTTTCGCGTCTTTCTTCAGACTTGGCAGTTCTACATTCAGCAGTGCACGCAAGACTGCATAAGAAGCTAATTCTGCGACTAGACCGTAATCTTCAGCTGCGTAATTGATAACCACAACTGATACGTGAAATCTCCACCAAACCCTATTTTTTTCTACTACTGCCATGCGCAGAACGCTTCCGCTAACTGGTTGTTCATGAGGCGCTACAAATGGATCATTTTGCTCTCCAGTATTGCTACAAGAAATAACTGGCGCTACACCTGGGTCACTACTATACGGACCGCAACGGAAAAGTCTTGCTAGTTGGTCTGCTAAGTGGGCATGACCAGCTTCGGTTTCGTGCCCTTCCGGAGCCTCTAATCCAACGCCGCTATTCAGTAGAAACTGGCCTATGCGGTCAGAATCCCACGAAAATTCGCCTGCATTTCGAACTCGTTTTTTAGAAGACTGTTCTCCATCCGCTACGAGGTAAGTGTTTGTGTTTCCTTCGGAGTCGCTGTCGTCATCGCCGTAACCCTCCGTAGGCGACTTAGCCGTTGTCGTCGGCGATAGCACGCCGTCACTGCAGCTTCTGGCAGCTATTTCGTCGTCTGAGGTAAGCACTTTACGCAACTTACTAGTACTGGATGTCTTGTTTTTTACTGATAAACCGTTGTTAACGTAGAGAGACGTGGACGAGCCTTGCAGTACCTCCGGGTCTCCCAGCATTGCACTAGTGCTACCAATATGCGTATTTTGCGGATAACGTGGTAACGGATCGACTGTGATGTCTAGGAAATTATGTCCTGGACACGACAGCTCACCTCGTCCACTAACAGCAGCAGTAGCTCCAGCTCCGCCACCTACTATACCGTCAGTACCCACTGCACTCCCAGCATCGCGACCACTAACACCTCCAGAAGTAGCGTTAGAAAAATTGTTCACCGTTGGATTCCAGTAAAACAAACTCCCCGTTACCTTCGCCGCTACTTGAACGCTTTTTGCGTAGACCATGGCACTACCAAGTGCGTCAGAGTGCCATCCACACTGGACTGCAGGTGAACAGTCTGCTACGACGTCGACCTCACACGACCTGTTTGACAAAGTACCAGGAGGTGTGTCGTCGCCAACATATTCAACCTCCATCGGTGAATCCACACCATTCGTGTCCTCGTCATAGACACTCATGTCGTCCATCATTTTCTCGTTGTAGGTGGTGACTTAGTCAAAATGTTGATGTTGATACAGGGATGTTGATGTCCTATACATCAAATCAATATAAGTACTTGAAAATACTAGGGCGAAAAAGAGACACAAACAAAGTCAGCACGAAAATAAGCTCAAGTCTAAACTATCAAGTGAGAGGGTAAGGATTTACAACAAGTCGATGATGAAACGTCGTCGCGAGGAGAAAAACTCCCATAAGATACCTTATCTGTGTGCAACGGTTATAACAACATAAAACCAATCTACTTCAATCATTCACACTGAGAAATGATTTTCAAGAACGATGAATCTATGTTATTAATGTATAGATCTTCTTCAAATTCTAGTCGTAACGGGTGAATCCTTCAATCATGAAGGAAAAGCATAACAAAGTAATTAATAATTTTGCGACAAAATACGAATTCAAATATTAGATAAGTACACTATCAGCACAAGCTCTGTAGTTCACGATCCCATCCTTGTCATTCGCGGATCTTATTTCTATGATTCCATTTGGAGCATCATGAATGGAGGTGGATTTCGATCAAGTAACACAGGGTCAACAACCTCTTGTTCTTGGTGATGGTGATCTTGTTGGGTGTACCAACATCAAACCATGTGGATATTGATCATGTGAAGCTCTGGGATCTTTTCTTTGCTATAACTGGACCTCTGCTTCGATCTCACCCTGCCTTGACCTCCGTGTGTTTTTTAGATAGTTGATGAAGATATGCTTAGATCGTCGATGATCAAAGAAGATTCTTTTTCGGATCGTGATATTTTGATCTCGTGTACTCGTACCATCTCGTTGATATGTGTACTCGTACCATCTCGTTGATTATATGTTCTGATCACTCCAATCTATCTATCAGTGGTTATACTAGCGACTACAACAAGTGCATTTGCAAAAACATTGTGCTCGGAGCAAAATAGTTTCTTTTTCCTTTTCTCTTCAGCTGAGATAGTCTCATACGTTCCTCGAGGTGGCATCTGTTTGCATGATAGTCTTGCCCACATTTGCTTCCGTGTGGAAGCGCTCATTGCGCCTCTGCAGGTACAATCTCTGACTAGCAGGAATCGGGACCGCGTTCCCCTCACCATCAGAACCATCCGATCCTTCCTCGGCTTTCTTCAAAGCCAACTGCTCATAATGCTCCTTTATTAGATGTGGAATAACAAGCTCCTAGAGAAGCTTAGTACGTGACGATGACGAGATTTAATCCTCGTTTAAATTAGATGCTGAACAAGCTTCTAGTACTAGAGATACGTTTCCGTTATAAGATAACGAGGATGCAGATGCTGTGTTGAAATTATAGAGCAATCTACATACTTCGTAGTAGATGAAGAAACACTAAGAAATCTTGATGAAGAGTTTTGGATTGAGGCCGGCTGAAGATGAGAAATGGTACAGGTGTTATCAATAATGATGATCATGACAGTCTACTTTTACAACTTTTACAGGTGTTTTCAATATAAAGAATTTCTACAAGTCTTTATAAGGACGATTGAAAGGATCATGAGGTTCCATAACTTATCCCACGCTCTTCTTCCGAAAACGTCTTTCGTCACGCCCTCTCGTTGTTCCTGCACTTTGCTGTCCCAGGCGACCTTGATTTCCCTTTCTTTGAGGTCCATGTCGTCACCTCCGCCTCCCTGGAAAAACGTCTCCTCCATCTGCGCTCCCATTTGCTTGGCTTTACGCTGCGCCGCAGCCGCATTATTGGCAAACTCAGCGACTGAAAACTCCTGCTTATTATTGGCTGAGGAAGAAGAAGAGCTGCCTCCTCCGGTGGCTCCACCCCCACTGCCAGGGTTGGAGGAAGGTACGTTGGAGTCTGAAGACATCTTCTGTTAATGCTGAATATTCTTGATGATATGACGATGACAATGATGGTGATATAGTAGCAGTAGCTAGTATGAAGCACTCTAGAAGTAGAATGACAACTCTGGGGTGAACAAAAACACTACCTACCTACCTACCTACCTACCTACAGATATTACATCTAGAAACCACCTGCGAAAGCTACTTGGATCTACAATCAAAACAACTCGATCATGATCTAAAAGTAAAACAAAAACTGTAGCTATCATCAATAGCAATACTGAGACATGATCAACAACTAAGACTCTAATGGATAGGGAGTTCTGAGAGAAAACGATATCCTGAGCTGCAACGTGCTACATTTGGAATGAATATAAAGGAGGCGGAAATCTCAAAGGAGCATGGGTCGTTGATGCTGCCTACAGAGAGATCATCATCCGTTGCTTCGTCTCAAGTACTTAGTTTCACTGTCAGCAAGGTTCCATTCTTCTCAAGTGTCAGCAAGAGAATGGAGAGGACCCTGGAAAGAGACACATTCATAAGTAAAAACGTCTCACACACTCAAAGTGGTCTGAACAAGAAGTTGAAAGATTTGAAGTTGAAAGAATTGGAAGATTACTATTCCTTTTCAGCACGATGTTGAAGATCCTCAGCTTGCATGCATATTCCAACGCTGCACAATAATCAAGAATTCAATAGCGATCAACAGTTTTTATTGAGATGAAGAAGTTCTTCCAGCATCTTCTTTGGAATGATCATCTTCCTCCGGTATTTGGATTCTTCTGTTGCAAATATGCAACTACAAATGGAGGTGAGAACACAGCTCTTGTCGAAAAATTTCGAATAGCAAGCTTCTTAGTGAAAGAAGCTCCGTCAACGACGACTCATTTCTCTAAGTAGTATGCAAGAACAAGAATGTCAAATACTGCTGTTGTAATTGAGTGTCAATGCAGTTTGCGGATTAATTGAATGATAGTGATGGATTTGCATCTTTGGCGTCTTCAATTCAAGAATGCGATGCAACCGATGGTATAAATTTTCTTGCTCATCAATGGTACAAATTTTCTACCCTTGTCATAGTGCTGCATGATCACTTTCACTAATTACTTCCAAAAACTCAATGATAAAACGCATCCGCTGTACGTGTTACTATCATTATTATTATGTTCGCGCGCCACGCACGTGTTGCGTGTTTGATTCAGATTAATTTGGTAGCCTCTCACTGATCTGCGCTTGAAAACAATTTTAACGGTGAATGGACTAGATTGGCGACCAAAACTTCAAAATGCTCAATCAGAGCAAATTGAAATCATGAATTGAACGTGTGTCATGTACTAAATATGATTCGAAAAACTGAAGTAAGCGAGTAATTGAAAAGAGCAATCTTCTCACATATTCGGTTATTTCAGTTAGCTACTCGCTTATTTTCAGTTTTCGAGTAAGTGCTGAGTATCGTGAGACCACTTCGCCTTTCTCTGCATGCTTTTCTGTGCGATCGATGTGTGTCATATTTTCTTAGTGGATAATCACCTGGGAGGAGGCCCTCGACGTGGGCGCCCGAAGCATGACTTCTCATTCATGCTCAGAAATTCTCTAGTACTACGCCCCCTAAAAGTTCTGAAGACACGACAACGACGCCTGGCCAGAGAGAGGCTCAACATACTTAATACAAAAACGCAGCCCCATCGTCCACCTCCGTAGTTATAACAAAAAGACAAGCCACTTTGCTTTTGGACCTTCTTCCAGCTTCCTAAATAAGACCAACGTAGGGCTTTGCAAAGGGCTTCATAAATAGTGCTTGTCATCCTCATCCCGCACTTCATAAATAAGAGCAACTTCATAAATATTAAAATCTAAAACTGCATCTAGATCATTCTACTGTCCTTAAGTTGCCTCTGTCTCTGTCAGAAGATAGATTGAGTTTTACAGGAATATAATTAAGTCGATGCGCCTTGCATACGTGCTTCCTTGTTATACAAGAATGGCGCCTCATTGTACAGTCTGTGATGCCTTACTCGTAATGACGCTATCTAAGTGATCTATGCTTTTCTCATAGTTAGCAGCGAGACTCTGGATAAACGCTATTCATTCACTCATTTACGACCTAGCACGAGGCACTGGCTCAAAAGTTCACTAGGATGCAAGGACTACAAATTATATCAATGGGCTGGAGATCCGGCGGCGGACGAGGAGAATGCGCCGGGCCCAAATTTATGCACTACGGCAGACCCAGATGTGTGGGATCAAACGCCACACATCCCGCAAGCACTCCAATCGTTAGACCTATCGCGACGCAAGTCTTACGATACTTCGTGACGCAACGAACCGGAAAACCAAAGAAAAAAAAGCACAAGCATCCTTATACTAATTACTGTCCATTTTCTGTGTGTTGTTTCAGTTATTCGCTAAGCTTTACTCCTGTACTTAACTGGTTGCCTATGTCTTCAGTAGTGAGCTATAGTTCATTCATTCATTTACTTAGCACGAGGCACTGGCTCAAAAGTTAATTAGGACGCAAGGGCTACAAATTATATCAATGGGCTGGCGATCCGGTTGCGGACGAGGAGAATGCGCCGGGCCCAAATTTATGCACTACGGCAGACCCAGATGTGAGGGATCAAACGCCACACATCCCGCAAGCACTCCAATCGCAAGACCTATCGCGACGCAAGTCTTCCGATACTTCGTGACGCAACGAACCGGAAAACCAAAGAAAAAAAAGCACAAGCATCCCCATACTAATCACTGTCCATTTTCTGTTGTTTCAATTATTCGCTAAGCTCTACTTCTGTACTTAACTGGTTGCCTATGTCTTCAGTAGTGAGCTATAGTTCATTCATTCACTCACTTACCTAGCACGAGGCACTGGCTCAAAAGTGAACGCGGACGCAAGGGCAAGATAGATGAACCACCCTCCCCCGTCGTTTCCCGCCTTTTTCATATTATTTCTCACTTCCTTCACAACACCTTCATCCCCCTATATTTCTTCTACTCACTACTTCTACAATTCCCTTCTGATAACATCACTCAGAAGCTCTAGTTGCTTTTTTTTTGGGACCCCTTTCAATCATCCCATGAACTCGAATAATTTTGAGTCATCAAGCTTCAAGAGATATGAAAAGGGCTGCTCCTTTTTTCATGATATTACTCATTCGGGATCGCTACAGGAGAATCCCTGGTTGTTGAAGAAGGATCCAAGATAAACACCAGCATCAATTATCGTCGTCCCATTTCGAAGTTGAAAAAGATGAAAACACGAAGAACAACAACAAGGGGAACAACACCTCCAGCAGCTGTACAACTACTTCCAGTTGTACCACCACAACTACACTTCTTCTAATTCTAATATGTTGTCTTGATGCCTATTAATATAATCAGAATAAGAACCTATGAATAACGATAAGAGCTACAACGCATATACATTCATAAGTCTAAAAATATCAATTTGCACAACAACTGCGAGTACGTGGAAAAAAGAGTTGAATTGATAGATGTCCCCATGAGTGTTGTTGTAGTGCTCTCGTCTTAGAAGTGCAGCGGCCTATCCTTATCTTCGCTAGGTGACCCACCTACATCTCTACTAATGGGAGGATAAGAAGTGGACATGTATCTCAATCTCTCTTCTAACAACATGAAAAAGCATCATCGTTTTTTTGATCAAATTCATCAATTGAATTTCAAATATGAATCTATGACGAAGTTACCCAAATCATCTTCCCATAAGGAACTCCTTCGGATTCCCATTCAATTCAATAAGGAACTCCTTCGGATTCCCATTCCTGCTCCATCTCAATATCATGATGCCCATGGAGAAGTGAACAAAAGTTCGATGAACAAAAGGAGGGATCGTCCCAAAGTCTCCTCCTCCTCTACGCATCTACTTCATCGCCGTCTATTCATATTCTACTTATTTCAATTCTCTTTATCTCTAAAAAGTCGACCCACTACCTTGTGAAAGTGACGAGCCGACACTGAAACGAGCAGCATCGCGAGAAAATATCTACGACTATTCATCTAGTACTACAGTAGTTGTTGTCGTCAACTTCTAGAAGTGCTTAATATTACTTGAGTAACTTCCTTTCGTCATCCATTCTACGACCACGTCGTGTAGTTGATCAACATAACCACTAGCAGGAGGAAAATTAATAGGAGTATCTTCACCGCTCGCTGGGGTTTTTCAATCCAAGTCTTGATCTCAACATTAAAAATGAGCATGATGAGCTTCATCTCAACAGCCTCTACTTCTGCTCCTCTTCCGCCTCGTCTCCTGCTCCAGCAATCGCGGCACTGCAGCTGAGCAACCGGCAGCGGCTACTTTGTTTCTTTGTTGTACTCGTACCGGCGCCGGCGCCTTAATCTGCTCCAAGAACCAGGTAGTTGCACTAGAAGACAGAAGTAGCATTACTGGAAGGACGTTATATATACTTTCTACTTCTAGTAGGTACTGACAACTTCGAGTACCTATCACTGATCTAAGTATCGACATAAAAGCAGCCACTTTATATATTTGTATTGATTCGATATTCCCGAAAAAAAAATCCCAGATTTTTGATGGCTGCTTGATATTAACAAAAAAAAAGCAGATTTTCAATGGCTCGCGTCGTGTTTCATCTCGTTGATGGACCTCGAGGAAAGTAAATTGATGGCGACTCTTTCTGCGTCATGTTAGTGCCCATCATTTTTTGTAAGATGAGGCTGCCGAGCTCTTTACGCAATTAGTGGCTGAAGAGCATAAACGCTCCAGTTTTGAACAGCGGCTAAAAGTGCTGGATCTGCCGATTCTCGATATGTCGCGGCTTCCCTTTTCAGGGGCACCACGACAGACCAGAAGGCGAGGGGCCCAGGCGTCCTGGCCATATCTATAAGCTGGCGCTGGTTCTGATTTTGGGAGCGCTATGGTTTTTGGCTTGTTTATTTCTCGTTGTAGTACCTTCTAACTACGCATATCCACTACTGATCTAAATCTGATAAATAAGCTGACTAATGAGTCACTCATAGTGATGCCACTCTTGCGTTTCTGAATGATTCATCGTGATACCCCTCTTGCGTCCTATGTATACGGCGCACCAAGCTGGCGAACCTGCTAAGTGGAGCTGATGTCTCTTTTGATAATATTTACCGTCTTGTGGTATGCGTTCAAGGGGTGCTACCCATCCTGCACACATACGCGCATGCGCTGAGCCGCTTTCGCACAGACTACGGCCATGCACTTTCTGCTTCACTTTTTGTAATTCAAATTCATATACTTAAGCATCTGTCTACTTATCATAAGACAAGTCCATTTCAACTACCAGGTGGTAAAGACCTCGGAAAAGGTGAACGGAGCCAGGAACGGCCTGTTCCCTTTTCACATTGGGTAGGGAAAATCTGTCCGCTCTCTCAAACGATAGATGCGAGCAGCCTACTACATGCAAATATATTATGGGCTTTTCTATAATAAATCGGCGACAGCACAGCCAATGTCTGCCGTGGTAGTCCCACTCTTATACTTAATTTGAAGCCGTGGCGCCTAGACCTATCTACGGTAGTCACACTCCCACTTAGAGAATGCCCAGATCCAAGATAAAGGGTTCAGCAGCTTCGAGATCTGGCTCCGCGATGAAGATATCCACGTCCGACCTGCCGCGGTATATGCAGGTCGGATCTGCTCTGGTTCACACCGTCACCAACTCCTCGATCAAATTCGTGAGCCCGTCTCTGGCGATGGTGTTTTTCACAGATAGGTCCACTTCCGCACCATTCTGGCTACTAGGCAACCTTGCCGCGAGGTCTGACAGCTCAGCCTCGACCAGCTTCTTGCGGAGCACTTCTTGCTGGGCCAGGACCTCAACGAGGGCAACGGAAAAGTCTCCTTCAGCCCAGCGTTTTAGCGTAGCCACCCACTTGCGATTTGCCTTGAGTAGCCCGTTGGTCGTGCTTCCAGTTAGTGGATTTGCCTCGTCCGGCGTATTTTCCGCGGCAGTCACACGGCCATCCGCTCTCGTGAAACTTTCGCTTTTCACGTCACTCTTCGCCATGACACGCAGCTTCATCACGAACTTGTTCATACAGTTCTCCGCTGAATATCCTTCTGCGAGAGTTTTCATCACGTTTTCCGCCTCTGCTGCAAGCTCATGATACTCGGTGGGCCGACTCCTTCCAAGAATAGACCTGGCGTAGTACTGAACGATACGCTTCTCGCCCTCCGAGAAAGCTTGCGGAAACTCTTTGACCTCCTGAAGGAGCTCGCGACATGTGATGTCGCTGTTGGTCCTCTCGTCGAAAGTCGCGAGCAAATTCCGCAGATTCGTCGCCGCTTCCTTGGCTGCAGCAACGTTGTCCCCAGTAGTCGGCCCCGCCTCCGCCTCGGCCATGGGGGCCTGACCCGCGTGCGCAGCACGACCCCATAGGAGCTCCAAATTGGAGACCAAACTCTTCAGCTCCCAATCTGATATGAGTAGATCATCCGCGCTGTGGAGGTCCGAGGATCGTGGCTGGATAATATCTTTGTCGATAAGGTACAGCTCGTTGGCAAGCTTCTCCTCCTCCTCGAGAAGTTCGGTGAGAAGTTCAACTTGCTTGGTAAACGCCGACGCGTCTGGCTTGTCCTCGACTCCTTGCAATTTGGCGAAAAACCGGTCGTCGTCAGCCGCAGCACCGCACTCTGGCTCCAGATGCAACTCATCTCCCAAAGTTGCCCACTTTGTCAAATACGCATGCGCCCTGCACTTACTCGGGTCGGTGATCTTTGTGAACCTGTTCGTCTTCAGGTCATTCACCGCCATCACGCGGAGCTTCTTTGCGATCTCCTGCCCGCGCACGTCTCGACCAGAATTAGGGGTAGGTGGCGTGCCATCGGTGCTGCTATCTACTATAATGTTCCACGCGTCCTCAAGAGCAAGCCTTAGGTATTTCCCAAACCACGCTTGTGGGACGCCCATGGGCTTGTCTGAGGGTAGCTTAGTCTTACTTCTGTCGCTCCTGGCTTTATCGACAGGAGAAGGGCAGCTATCCACCTCGGGCGCCGTCATCTCGTCGCGCTGCTTAACAATAGCGGCCAGCGCCTCTTCTACCTCGGGAGAGTAAAAGTTCTCTACGACGTCCGTGTACACGAACATTCTGGCATCTGCACACACATCTGCATTATTCTTGCTTTTCTGCATATAGCGTAGACGCAGGTCCCGCATCTTGTTCACCTTCGCAAGCGCCGGCGCCGCCTTTTCACTCCATTGGGTTCTGAGGGGCATCGATGTCTGGAGTTCACTGAAATGGACCGAATTCGTCCCCCAAAGATTGAAAGCCTCTAACGCCACCGCAAGGGGGGACGCAGACTGCGTCTTTGTCTCAATCCACTGCGAGATCCCAGTCGCCTCTTTCGACAGTTCGAGAAAGTCGCCATACATGGCAGTCTGGTTTAGCTCGTAAGCATGCGCGTTAGGATAGTCCGACGCCGCAAGAAAGTCCATCGCGCCCCTCAACCTGCGGCCCGCTTTTGGTTTAACCGCTTCTCCCGACACTTCGAGAAAGGTCCCATCCATCGCAGCCGGGTAGTTCGACGAGTGGGCGCCAGCTCTGGTATAGTTCGAAGGAGCGTGGGCGTCCACTTCGACTGCGCCTCTGAGGGCGCGGCCCTTTTTCGGTTTCAATGCGAGGGAAGATTCATCTGCAACGTCGCCCAAAACTTGCATTGGCATGCCCAGCAACATCAGCGTCGCGAAGACGGCGGCCTTCATCTTTCTCACCCAGAAGCGCACCGGAAAGGGCATGCTGATGATCATTTTTTTGCCTCTTCCGCCTTCTTCTTCACGTATGTACGAAGCCGGCAGCGCGTACGGCCTTACCCTTGAAGCGGGACGCAAGTCGGGCGATTGATGTGCTACACTGTGGAGAGCCTAGGCAATCAACGCTATTCAGGCACTGCTTGATCGTCGAAACCACAAGTCTGTCTCTGCTAGTTCTTCGTCTCCACAAACTTAGACACGGGTAACTCACTTCCGCAAAATTTGGCTGCAGCGTTTCGGCTTGTAGAGCCGCGCACGTGCTACGAGAATAGTGCAGTACTCTGCGACAGATACCACGTTACTCAGCTGGGCCTGCCAGGCTCTTGTAGGAGTGGCAGTCGTGGTCACTCTCTTGCAACAAGTGCAAAGTTTCCTGTAGATGCGGACTGACCTCCCTTTCAGGAGTACTAGTCTTCTGCGAAGAGTGGTCACAATGCTAGTCGATACGAGTTCGTTGCCCGCAGTAAGTCGTAGAAGAGTCCTGTGTAGTTACGAGTACAAAGGTAGTAACCAGAGTTGATGTAGCCTTTTGCGACAGATACCACGCTAGTAGATCGTGCTGTTGTGGTAGTAGTCTGGGTCTTCCGAAGCGAGTACAACGCCAATAGGCGTGGGCTGTCAGCCTTCTGCGAGAAGTAAGCACAACGCTAGTCGATGCGGAGAGACTCCACTTAGTTTATGGGAGTTGTAGATTCAGACTCAGATGGGATCCTGCCTCAGCCCTGCGCATTGAGCACCGGATCGGCAAGTTGTAGGCTTGTGCGAAGAGCAAACACAATAAGAGGCAATGTAGCTACAACTACTACTTTCTTAGCACAGGAGCCTACTTCCTTAGCTCAGTCTACTTCCTAGTAGCTGTTGCAAACGTAAACCAGTGCTGAATAGTAACTTCATAAGATATTAGTGCTGAGTAATTACTTACATGTCGAACTTACAGGTACTGCAAGAAATGGCCAATGACGATCAAAGAAAGTCTAGATTTCTCTACGACCAGAGTAAATTCATCTAGTGATTTGGTCCAAAAGCGAAACTGACGACTTCTAGATTTCTCTACGACCAGAGTAAATTCATCTAGTGATTTGGTCCAAAAGCGAAACTGACGAGTTGAATTTTCGATACAACGCGACAATCTCCCACAGGAAACTAGCTAACTGACGTTACAAAGATATGCTGCTGCCAGGAGACGAAATAAGCCGAGTATTTAGTAAGGAGCTAGGATGGGGACAAAAACAAGAAAGGTTCAGACTCAGGCTCAGAGCTCTACGTCTAGAGCCTTCCTTGTAGCAAAGAAAAATGTCAAGAAAGCTACGAGCTTTTCAAGAAACAAGTTGTAAGTGAAGCAGTCAATTCTCAGACGGAGACGAGAAAGACGAAAGCTGTAGAAGATTGTCGAAGCTGTACAAATAGCATCACCGCTACACTTACATAAACTCTAAGTTAAGATGAAAATCTTCCGCAGCCAGTTGTAATACTAGATACTAAACTGACTGTCGTGCCAAAAGATTGCGACGCATCTAAATAATCACCTATCTGTGATTCATCGTGAGTGGACTAGTTAAGTTGCTGCGTGATCCTTATTTACTAGCACTACATATGAGTATAAACTAGAGTGACAAAACTACTCATCACTTAGGTACTTTTTTGGTTTCAAAACGGGTATACACAAGAACGGAAACAGATACTACTCAGGTACGGACATTTTTGGATTCTCAGCGAGTATACTCAGGAACGTCGAATGTAGAAAGTCAGTACTCTTTTGGATTTGGATTCTCATTCCTAGGCACTACTAGTAGGCTCCGGAGTATAGATGCATAGATACTACAACTCGGCTATGCACTACAACAATCACAACCAGCACATTCGAAAATTCTAACAAATGGACATCGAGACGCGCTACTCCACGGTTATCAGTTCAACAACAACCAACGAAGGGCAACACCTTTGATCTACGGCAGTATGCCTATGAGACCAGGTGAGTGAGGTGAGCACAACTTTAGTTAAGTATAATGAAGACGGCGAATGGGGGATAGAAAGGACGAAACAGCTTCTAGATGCAAAACCGTGATAGCTAGCTAACTTCTAGTCAACGCTTTTGTAGAAATGGATTTGAAAATGGAGAAAGCTTCTAGCTACTTAAGATGACACCTTCTTCCCTGGTCATCACTGACTTTTTCCACATCTAAGAAGTAGCTATCAGTATGGATGATTGTCATCTGTTGAATAGCTGGTAAATCGACCTCAAGACAGATTGCAATGAATCCGAGCAGAGACGAAAGCTTGTGGTTAGTTTTACTTCTAACCTAGCACGCAAATGACCTTCGACAAAAAAAGAAAGCTATGACTTCTTTTAATGAGTGGGATCTTTGGGTGAGGAGAAAAGTCTTATTAAACCTGGAAGGAGATGAGAGAGGTATTAGGAGTTTTGGTTGACCTTTGATAGGGCCTGAAACGTATATTAACTAGACGTAAGTAGATCATCTTCTATGACGTTGATCATGAAGTCACGCTGTCTACAATCATGTGATCTTACTGTGGTTTTCATCACCTCACCTCCTCAACGTTCTCGCTCAAACAGAGATCGTGCCCCCTCAGACAGAAGTTATAGTTGGAAACTGACAAGGCCTCGCTCATGATTCGAGTCTAGTAGTCTCTCGCCTCACTCAAACAGACGGCAAAATCCCTCTGACAGACATAGTTGGAAACTGACAAAATGTCACTCACACAGAAACAGACGACAAAATCCCTCAGACACACACAGGAAGTGGGTGTAGCTCTCGAATTCATTGAGTGCAAATCATTGACTTGCATCGATCTTTGGCGCCGTCAATGCAACACAATGTACACCAGTATGCTCCTGCTTATGAGCAAGTTTTTCGCTGTACATGATCACTAATTACTCCAAAAATTCAACGAGAAAACGGATCTTGTCTGCGTGTTTGTGATTCCATGGACAGCCTCGCGCTGAATTCATTCATCATACTACAACTTTACAATTTATACAGGAGTGGCGCGCGCCACGACTATGTCATATAATAAGTAGTTTCTAGTCCATACATGAAGATACCTTCTTCGTCATTTTCTGCTTGAGTTTGTTGCCATATTCAATATTTCGTGCTGAATGCGCAGTGCTGAGGCGGGAACTCCTCTTTTTTGCTTTTTGTTTTCCTGTTCAAGGTATAAATTTCTGATGCAACGTATCTTTTGCGCGGTGATTGGTTCACTCATCGTACAACTTTTTTCATCACTCCTGTCTTGTCTTTTTTGTTTGTTATTCTGATGGTGATGCTTGTTGTTGTGATTGTTAAGTGACGTCAAATTGTTTCTGATCATACTGACGGCTGTAAGAAGTTTGACGCAACTACTTTTACATCCTCTCGCAACTACTAGTTTTACATCCTAGTAGCTATCGAGTTCAACTTTACTACTTACGCACTCTGGTAGCCATTGAATGCAAGTTGCTACTTTTACAGCCCAGTAAGGACCCTTTTCTAGGTACTTAACTGAATTGCAAGAGTAGCTCGCTCTACATCCTAATCCCCATGAATGAGTGTGCCCTCAGCCTCATCTTACTGACACAGATGCGGACTGCAGGCCATTTCCTGATGCTGCATTAGAAATTGGATAAGCATACGCGGCTCACGTCAACTCATCGACGAACTCATCTTATTCAGCGAAAATAAAAGAGCTTGCGCTAATATGCGTAGGAACTTACTCTGAGTGAAGTGTTCTTACAATTTATCATGACAGGCCTCCCACAACAAGAGACGAACTCGCGCCGCCGGGGCCGCTATCTAAATGATCTATGCTTTTCTCATAGTTAGCAGCGAGGTGACTCTGGATAAACGCCATTCATTCATTCATTCACTCATTTACCTGGCACGAAGCACTGGCTCAAAAGTTAACTAGGATGCAAGGATTACAAATTATATCAATGGGCTGGGGATCCGGCGGCGGACGAGGAGAATGCGCCGGGCCCAAATTTATGCACTACGGCAGACCCAGATGTGGGGGATCAAACGCCACACATACCGCAAGCACTCCAATCGCAAGACCTCGCGCAACGCAAGTCCTACGATACTTCGTGACGGAACGTTCGTGCTCATATCTTTGCATGCTAAAAAGATCAGTGCTCATTCTTTTGCCTAACCAAAGAAAAAAAGCACAAGCATCCTGATACTAATTACTGTCCATTTTCTATTGTTTCAATTATTCGCTAAGCCTTACTTCTGTACTTACTTGGTTGCCTATGTCTTCAGTAGTGAGCTATAGTTCATTCATTCATCCACTTACCTAGCACGAGGCACTGGCTCAAAAGTTAATTAGGACGCAAGGGCAAGATAGATCAACCACCCTCCCCCGTCGTTTCCCGCCTTCTCCATATTATTTCTCACTTCCTTCACAACACCCTCATCCCCCTATATTTCTTCTACTCACTACTCCTACAAATACAATTCACTTCTGATAACATCACTCAGAAGCTCGAGTTGCTTTTTTTTCGGGACCCCTTTCAATCATCCCATGAACCCGAATTATTTTGAGTCATCAAGATTCAAGAGATATGAGAAGGGCTGCTCCTTTTTTCATGATATTACTCATCCGGGATCGCTACAGGAGAATCCCTGGTTGTTGAAGAAGGGTCCAAGATACACACCAGCATCAATTATCGTCGTCCCATTTCGAAGTTGAAAAAGATAAAAACACGAAGAACAACAACAAGGGGAACAACACCTCCAGCAGCTGTACAACTACTACTAGTTGTACCACCACAACTACACTTCTTCTAATTCTAATATGTTGTCTCGATGCCTATTGATATAATCAGAAAGAGAGCCTATGAATAACGATAAGAGCTACAACGCATATACATTCATAAGTCTAAAAATATCAATTTGCACAACAACTGCGAGTATGTGGAAAAAAGAGCTGAGTTGATAGATGTCCCCATGAGTGTTGTTGTCGTGCTCTCGTCTTAGAAGTGCAGCGGCCTATCCTTATCTTCGCTAAGTGACCCACCTACATCTCTACTAATGGGAGGATAAGAAGTGGCCCTGTGTCTCAATCTCTCTTCTAACAACATGACAAAAGTATCATCGTTTTTTGATCAAATTCATCAATTGAATTTCAAATATGAATCTATGACGAAGTTACCCATATCATCTTCCCGCAAGGAACGCCTTCGGATTCCCATTCCTGCTCCCTCTTAGTATCATGATGCCCACGGAGAAGTGAACAAAAGTTCGAGGAACAAATGGAGGGATCGTCCCAAAGTCTGCTCCTCCTCTACGCATCTACTTCTTCACCTTCTATTCATATTCTACTTATTTCAATTCTCTTTATCTCTAAAAAGTCGACCCACCAATTACCTTGTGAAAGTGACGAGTCGACACTGAAACGAGCAGCATCGCGAGAAAATATCTACGACTATTCATCTCGTACTACAGTAATTGTTGTCGTCAACTTCTAGAAGTGCTTAATATTACTTGAGTAACTTCCTTTCGTCATCCATTCTACGACCGCGTCGTATAGTTGATCAACATAACCACTAGCAGGAGGAAAATAGGAGTATCTTCACCGCTCGCTGGGGTTTTTCTATTCAAGTCTTGATGTGAACATTAATGAGCATGATGAGCTTCATCGCAACAGCCTCTACTTCTGCTCCTCTTCAGCCTCGTCTCCTGCTCCAGCAACCGCGGCACTACAGCTGAGCAACCGGCAACGGCTACTTTGTTTCTTTGTTGTACTCGTACCGGCAACGGCGCCTTCATCTGCTCCGAGAACCGGAGGGCTGTCTGAACAAGAGCTAGAACTGCGAGAAGCAACTGCTGTCAGAGCAAGGAAGCAGAAAACCATGGCCAGAACTCATCATCTTCTTATTTGAGATGCTGGAACACATGATCAGCTCCGTTCAAGCTTCAGCCGGTCTTGCGTTCGAAGTGAAACTAAAGGCGCAAACAGTTTAAACTACAGGCGCAAACAGAGGAGCACTGACTGCTGCAGCTCCAACATCAAAGTCGCCCCTTCCTTGAATCCGCGTAGCCGCTCTCGACTCTTCCTCGCTCATGTTCCACATCATCACCTTGGCCCTGGCGTTTTCTTCGAAGAGGGATTTCGCCTTGTCATCCTGCCCGGCACTGAACATTGTGATACCTCGGGCGTCTGAAAGCGACTGCGTGCTTTCCCTGGACGAGGAGCAGCTGGGCGTATCCTTCGACAATTCGAGAAAGCCACCTCCTGCATCTTCTCGAGAAGCAAAGTCGGAAGCGGAGAGCTTCACTACATGAGTCACTGAGATTTGTTCTGGGTCAAGAAGCACGCACTCTCCCTGCCAGTGACGTGAAAGAAGAGAGAAGCAAAATGATTTGTACACGCTTCTTCCAAAGGGGACCTTTTTCGCGCTAAGCTTAATGGGTAAATCATTCGCGCCGGGCTCATCTTTGCTGGTAATTTCTGTCTTCGAATACTCATCAACGACGAATGTGCCCTCACCTGGTATCCACCACTCGCAGACGCCTTCTTGGTCCGAGGGAACAAATTTTCGCTCCCAATCCTTCCAGGCGTTTCCAAGACAAGCCACCACCCGAAGAGTCACATCGACCTCCGACCCAGTCTGCCACGGGAAGCTCCGTGCCAAGTCGAGCTCTTCGGTGAGATAAACACCAGCTCCCCAGCGGTCATAGTCCAAGGGAAGCCCCTTCTCCAAGATTTCCGGCACCTTGGCCGCAGTCGTGCCATGAAACATGGTCTTTTTCTGCGCATCGGGGCACTTCTGCACGTTCATCTCCGTCCTCGTTTGCAGGTTCTTATCCGAATACTTGACGGCCGAGACAGATTCCACCTTGGCACGCTCGAGCCACTTGAGTTGCTCTGGTCCAGATTCTGGGCCGAGTCGCTCCGCCCAAGCTACCCCGAATGGTTTTCCCCCGACCTCCTCTTTCCATGCTGCGGGGATGCCCTTATCTTGCCGCTTCTGATAGCCATCCAGTAATGCCGTGAGGCGTTCTTTCTCAGTGTGCAGCTTCTCTTCGATTTCATCGCCTGCGGCCAATTCGTCGGAAGTGGGCAGCTTCACTACATGAGTCACTGAGATTTGTTCTGGGTCAAGAAGCACGCACTCTCCCTGCCAGTGACGTGAAAGAAGAGAGAAGCAAAATGATTTGTACACGCTTCTTCCAAAGGGGACCTTTTTCGCGCTAAGCTTAATGGGTAAATCATTCGCGCCGGGCTCATCTTTGCTGGTAATTTCTGTCTTCGAATACTCATCAACGACGAATGTGCCCTCACCTGGTATCCACCACTCGCAGACGCCTTCTTGGTCCGAGGGAACAAATTTTCGCTCCCAATCCTTCCAGGCGTTTCCAAGACAAGCCACCACCCGAAGAGTCACATCGACCTCCGACCCAGTCTGCCACGGGAAGCTCCGTGCCAAGTCGAGCTCTTCGGTGAGATATACACCAGCTCCCCAGCGGTCATAGTCCAAGGGAAGCCCCTTCTCCAAGATTTCCGGCACCTTGGCTGCAGTCGTGCCATGAAACATGGTCTTTTTCTGCGCATCGGGGCACTTCTGCACGTTCATCTCCGTCCTCGTTTGCAGGTTCTTATCCGAATACTCGACGGCCGAGACGGATTCCACCCAGGCACGCTCGAGCCACTTGAGTTGCTCTGGTCCAGAGTCTGGGCCGAGTCGCTTCGCCCAAGCTACCCCGAATGGTTTTCCCCCGACCTCCTCTTTCCATGCTGCGGGGATGCCCTCCTCTCTCTTATTCTGATAGCCATTCACCAACGCCTCGAGGCGTCCTTTCTCAGTGCGCAACTTCTCTTTGATTTCATCGGCCACCGCAGGATCAGCATGAAGCCCTTGCGCACTATATGCAGCTCCAGAAGCGTCCGCACTGGAATTGAGGTCACCTCCTGGGGCCACCTCGTCATACTTCCCAGGCAGGTCGACTAGATCGCCTACCCCCCCTAGCGCCACTCCCGCACGCTCGGCATTTGGCAGCGTCTGATCCCCCGACGACGAAGTCGCCGCCCGCGCCGCCTTGCCAGGCACCGTCTCTGACTTCGCTGTCGGTGTGCCGGGCTCCGCTGGCGCCGCCGGCTCGTTGGAAAGCGTCTCGGGGTTCGCTGGCAGTTTGCCGGCCTCCTCCCCTGGCGCCGCCTCCGTGGAAACCGCCTCGGGGCTCCCTGTCTGTGTGCCGGGCTCCGCTGCTGGCGCCGCCTGCTTGGAGAACGAGCTCGCTGTCGGTTTGTCGGGCTTCACCTCCGCCGCCTTACCGGGAACCGCCGTGGGACTCGCCTCGGGGCTTGCATTGGAATTCACCTCTCCTGCCGGACCTCCTGTGGCACTCGGCTTCGTCGCTCCATCGGAACTGGGCGAGGAGCAGCTGGACGCAACCTTCGACAATTCGAGAAAGCCACCTCCTGCATCTTCTAGACCTCTTACGACGACAGGAGGACCTGCTTGCTCAATACTAGTTGTCGCACTGAGGAACCCTTGCGCAAGCGCGTGGTCCTTCGTCACCCACAAGACGTCCTTGCTACCCCTCAAATTGCGTCCCTCTTTCGGTTTCACGGCCAGGAAAGAGCCAGCGGTGGCAAGCTCTTCCGTCGAAACTCCTGTCAGCATGCACAAAAAGGAGAGGGCTGCAATGACAGCTACCATCCCCTTCTTCTTTATCCAGGTGAGCGCTAGAGAGGACATTCTGCTGACCGTTTTTTGGTATTTGAGTACCAAAGAAATTCACAATGAATTATGTCTCCTGGAGTTGTTGTACGGGTCAAATTTATTGATCGGAGGGACGAACCTAGGATGAATATGAGAATCTGACATCTATGCGACTGACTGGTCTTATGGTGTAGCACACCACGAAAACAACACAAAAGTAAATAGCTAGTAGTATAGGCTGATGTAGTTTTTACACCTATTAGTTCTTTGCAGCGAAGATTCAGATTCAGACTCAGGGGGTTATTCTTTTTTGTATGTTTTTTTGGATCCCGGGGCTACTGAAGGAGCGGCCTCAGCTTTATCCGGTTCGCAAACCGACGGCAGGTGGAGTCCGGTTACCTCCTTATAATACTGCGCACTAATTGCCTACGAACCTGCCGATTCTAAAATGGTGAACCCTAGGGGTAAAGGAGGCGGATTAAGAGTTTTATATAAACCTCCACCGGCTGCCAACCGTCCCACTCTTATACGCCTACCTTCAAGGCACGAGCGCAGGGGATGCCAACCCTGCTAACTCTTGAGTAATGCGCAGTCAATTGACAAGTGAATGCCAAGACCGCCGAATGGGTGATCCCAGTGTTCTCCGCAGATTAAGAAAAGTGATGTAGTTACAGTTATTATGTGTTAGTTTGCGGCAAGAAAAATGAAATGAAAACGGTTACTCTTACTTACTCACAAAACTTATTTTTTCAAGTCAAACGAATAATGCGAAAGGCAAAAGTTTTCTTATCTTCATGCTCAAAAAAGGGGACGAGAAAATCAGCGGAGAAGATATGAGTATGATTATAAGATGATCGCACAAGTGCATCAGTGTGCGAAAAAAATCCACCAGATGAATAAGCCTCAAGCCAGATCACAACGAATCCGACTGGTGACAAGCGCTTGTTGGAGTTTGTTAGCTTCAAATTAACCTAGCACGCAGACCTTAGACAAAAAAAGGAACTTTATTCTATTCCTTTAGTTGTATCTCGGGGCTGTGAGCGGAGAAAAATCGTGCGTTTTCTGCTACAAACCTGCAAAAAGATGGGAGAGATGGCCAGGATTTTTTTCGGTTGACCTTTGATACCGTCGAGAGTCAATTACTCATAGATGTTAGACCTTGAAATGTACATTAATCAACGCCAATACGTGAATGATGCATGAATGATGACGAAGTGACTCGAGTGTCTAGTTTGTTTCATCTTCGAGTATCAATATGGTCTTCTTTACCTCTCCACTCTTACGAAACAGAAAGCACACTCCCTCACACAGAATATTGTTGGAAATCGAGACGAGTATGATCAATAAAAATGACAGACGGCCAAGCCCCTCTGACAGAAAATGTTGGAAAATGCAACGAAATGCTCACTCGTTTCAGTCGTGTACTAGTAGCAGTCTCTTATAATTCGTGTACATATTACCTGTCAACTCGTGTACTAGAAGCAGGCCTCACTCGTCGAAGAACATCGCAGCACGTGTTTTTCTACTAATAAGCTATCAGTTCCATGATGATCCGAAACTACGGCAATAAATAAGTCCCCCCAAGTCCAACTTCAAGTTGGTACAATTCAAAACCAATTGTAAAGATCGATCTGCATTCAATGCAGTCTTCACGACAATAAAAGCTCCTCCTCATCAATGAAATTATAAGGAAGGACCGTTCTACGTCTTTTTTCATTTCGCGTTTTTTGTTTTTTTTGAACTTTCTTCCTAAAAACATGAGTCGTTTGGACACACCTCCTCTTGTCGTTCTAAGTGTAGTTACTATAGTCGTGAGCACGAAAAAACAGTCTTCGTTGAAGGGCACAATTCATTGTCGAAAGGATGGCTAAATCTGATACATCCTTTCAATACAGGAGGTTCAATTTTGATTGTTTCAATAATTGACACTGTTTGAAGACATATTCATCGAGTGCAACACCCTGTGTTTTTTAGATAGTTGATGAAGATATGATTAGATCTTCGATGATCAAAGAAGATTCTTTTTCGGATCGTGATATTTTGATCTCGTGTACTCGTACCATCTCGTTGATATGTGTACTCGTACCATCTCGTTGATATGTGTACTCGTACCATCTCGTTGAAATGTTCTGATCACGCCAATCTATCAGTGACAGTGGTCATGCTAGCGACTACAAGTGCATTTGCAAAAACATTGTGCTCGGAGCAAAATAGTTTCTTTTTCCTTTTCTCTTCAGCTGAGATAGTCTCATACGTTCCTCGTGCTCGTCTTCGAGACGTGAACACTCAAGTATGCAAAACAAGTTATGTTGTCTACTCTCTACGCGTCATTTAATGCTCGTTGTTGCTGTGCGTCATTATGCTTGGTATGAATATGTCTGTGGTCACGTTGGTCTCGCCCTCCCTATAAATATATAAATTTTCATATCATCTCGTTCAGCAATTGAATAGAGCAACAGATAGAGTCACAAAAAGATTCGACTGGTGCAAAATTTTCCTCGTCGGATACTGTAGTATCTGTAGTAGGTTCATTTACATTGTCATTTGGATTCCCTGATACACTCTGAAACTTCATCGGCAATTGACGTAGCTCTCGTCGTACAGAACTACAGACATCTCTTAGCCTGTAATGGGGCTCGTTTGTAGTTTTAGAGATCATGAACCGCTCTCTTTGCAAGTTGCTCTGCTCTTCAAAAGCAGTCGCGAGCTGTGCGAGAAGACTCAAGACGTCCGATTTTACGTCCGATTCCGGATTGCCAGAACGAAGTAGAGCACCCGCACACTTTGCCACTGTCGGAAGTAACTTCAAGAGGATGAGGAATTCTTGCTCGCTTAACGTTTGCACATCAACACAAGGACTTCTGGTTCTGGACAGGTTGCTTTCGCGATCATATTTGTCTGGTTTGCGAACATCTCCCGCTTCACCCATGTCTTCATCAGGACAACAACCTCGATCCGCCTCATTGCCCGCGTCCCCATCAGGACAGAGCACTTCTCCCGCTTCCTTCTCCTCGCTGAGCTTCTCAACGATCCTTCTCCTAGAAAGCTGTGACACCATGCTCATAGCGACCACACTGTAGGCGTCGTGCCACGATTGCGAGATACCATCACTAGTCCATGTGACAGAATCCGATTCCGAGCACCGTTTCAGTAAGCTCAAGATGGCTCGACATTCAACCAGGTCTGGTTGCAACAAGGCTGTTGTTCTTGTTTCCTCTTCTGTACTAGTACCACCAAATGTACTACTTGGAGTCACTCCTCTTTCTTGTTCTGTACTACCACCAAATGTACTACTTGGAGTACTACTTCCTTTTCTTGATCTTGCAACGCGTGTCAAGACTTTTTTGAGTTCCCGTGTCAACACAACTTTTTCTAGTCCAGCTTCAAGACCCTTGTCCATTTCTCCAGGTGCCGAGTATATTCCTAATTCCACTACGGCTTCTACTGCCTCACAATGAGTGACAAGAGAAAGGCTAGTATTCCTGCTCCTCCTACTGGTGGATATAATGAGACAACTCCCATCCGACTCTGACTCTGCACGGCTACCCCCGCTGAGCGCAAACACTTCCCCAAAAAATGACCCAAAAACTTGTTTCGTTTTAGCCTCGATTGAAGACGGAGACAGCAGGAAACGAAAACCGACAAGTACACGTCGAATGTGTTTCTCTTCCACTCTTTGACTCTTGCTAAGTGCCTTATCGTCAACTGACTCAAAGGAGAAGATATTTCCGTTTGCTTTTATGTTTCCGGCAACATTTTTCCGATCCTCCGAAAGCAGCTTCGCGTAAAACTTTGCCACCTGTCTGCACAAACGCTCAGAGAAGCGATCCATGCCCTCTCGCCAACAGTACTGGGATACCAGGTCGGGATGGGCTGTACTACCACCCCCTTCTTCGATCTGTAACCGGGACGTCGGTTTAAACACGCGTGCCAGATTTTCCAGGATCAAACTCGTATCCCTTATCGCAGTCGGGCCTGAAGATAGAAGAGTACCGCTTTCCGAGAAAAGCAGATCCCTTTGCTGTGCCAGCAGCAGTCCAGCTGTTCGTTGCTGAGAAGGGAATCTTGTTCGCCCTAGGAAGAAGAGCAGTTTCGCGAAATGAGCGAAGGTCATCTCATCTCGAACAGTGCGACGGATCTGAGCAGCGAAAGACTCCATAAAGGAGACGACGAGTTTCGTGCTGTCACGGCTATCTTCATGATGCATATGGTCCGCTTGTGCGCCTCCGAGAATTGACCCACTTCTGCCAAGAATAAAAACCAGCTCTGCAAGATCCCGACCGTTCAAATTCCGTGCAAACCTTAACGCATGCGTTTCGACTTCCCGCCACACATTCGGTTGCGAAAAAGACAACGCCAAAACGTCGGAACTTCCGAGAACGCGTAGGAACGGCTCAACTTTGTTCCCGCGACAGAGTGCTCGTCTACTGAGGACCAAGTCTCTCAAAATTTCCCCAGCCTTGCCTCCATTGACCAGCACGCTCGCGATTTCCTTTACACTGTCACGGCGAATGGTAGGTTGTTCCCATGACACTTTGTCGAAAACATGGCTTAGAACTAGAACAGGAAGAATCAATTGTGATACAGCCAATACATAGCAAAGTTCTGTTTCATGCATTGTGCTTGTTTCGAATACTTACGTGAGATAGAACAATATCGACGTAAGACAAAACAACAACAACAACATCTTCGATTCATTTCAAGTGCGTCCAGTCCTTAAAATCTTAACACCCTTCTAGCCCTAACAACGAAGCGCGTTTTTCTATTCGTGCTCGCCAACTGAGATGTTGACCTTGTCGCATCACTGCCACACGCTCTTTTTTTAGAAGTTTGTACTCGTTTCTTCGTGTGTTGATCATAGGAGCATCGGACTGAACACCACTTTGCCAGCTTTTACGGCTTCCACGGTTTGCTGGTAGGTTTGTAGAAGTTCTTGTAAGGCTCTTGTTGTCGAGAGATGAAGATGCAGTACGTGGATGAAAAACCGACAGGTGGCTTTCATCTTCTGGTGTTGCTCCACTCCCGAGATTAACCCTACCGCCTTCAACTACGCCATTGTTCCCCTCATCCTCCTTCTGCAATTCAACAGCCGTTCGCGTTGGCTGCAAAGCCAGTACCGCTTCTCTTTCCTCACGTCGTCTCCTTCTAGCCATCAAGTCGAACTGTCGTGCCTCCTCTCGGATGCCACCTGCTATAGAGTTTCCTCTACTTGAACCCGAGGAACCGCGTCGTGGCGAAATCACATTCTCATTCCCACCGAACTCTGCAATAGGCGAAGATAAATCTTCTTGGACTCTATTCGTGTAGGTCCTCGGAGGTGGTAGATGTCTTCCGCTCAGTGCAGTAGTAGACGCTCTGGAAGTGGCTTGCGAATGAATCTCTCGCCTGGCAGTACTCGACGTACTTGGAGAAGAGAGAAAGTTTGACCGGGCACTGGGCTTCATCATTTTTTATTGTAGTACGTAGGATAGGATAGGAGCTGGCTCGCCTCAAGGAGGTGAGCATTCACGACTATGAAGTGGTATTATGATGCGTATAGTATCATGATGCGTATAGTTGGTGGAGTTGGCCGTTCTTGAGATCTTGACTCTTCTAAAATTTGCTACTGACAAGATCAGTGACAGCATTGCTATCGGCTTACGTGAACTGGAAGCTTGAGACGCAACCGCCCTGCGATCCTCGCTTTGCTGAGTGAAGATCTTGTTTGCACTAGTGGTTACCCACGGGTGTACCACGACTTAGGTACGAAGAACACACATACATAGGGTTATTTCTTCATGCAAAGTTTCTATCGGCTACACCAGGGGAGGGTTATTTCTGAAATGAATATCAAAGTATTCTCAAGGAAAGGTTCAGGTTGCGTCCGAAACACCTCAAGTTGTGTACCAATGGAATACAAAAATACATCGGGTTGTATTACAACATGGGAATAAGATACAATTACTAAGGAAGGAACTATGGGAAAAAACAAGGATGACGCGGTGGTACTGGTAGTGATAATATGTCCACTGGCTAACTGGATAAAGAGTAGATGTTGCTTATCAATAAGATTCAAAAATTAATAGAGATTAGTGTATCGCCTTCGCCTCCTTAAGCTGTACAATTGATCTCACAGCGTGTGCGCGTGCGGCGCTGACTTACTAATACTAACTGATCAAAATTTTTCTTTCATTTTCAAATTAATTAGAGTACACATTTATACCTCCGAATTATCCACCGAAACTTTTTTTACCACATTCGATAATGTTTCTGTTCGGTCTGGAGTAACAAACGCAAGATGGGTAGAAAACAAAGATCAGGGTAACGAATATAACCAAATACGCTATTTAAATACTATTAAAAATCCCCGAACACTCTTCGCCTTCAATGTGAACACTAAAGGACCCCTAAGACGCCTTTAATGTGAATGCTAAAGGACTCCCCTCCCCTTTAGTGTGAACACTAAGTAAAGGACCCCTAGAGCGCCTTTAATGTAAACACTAAAGGACCCTTAAGGCGCCTTTAATGTAAACACTAAAGGACCCCTAGGGCGCCCTTAGTGTAAACACTAAAGGACCCCTAAGACGCCTTTAAAGTGAACACTGAGGGCCTTTCATGTGGGCAGCAGATGGCCTGGAAGAAGAGCAAGAACATCTTCAACAACAGCAACAAGAACAACAGCAACAAGAACAAGAACAGCAAGAACAACAGCAAGAACAACAGCAAGAACAACAGCAAGAACAAGAACAGCAAGAACAAGAACAGCAAGAACAAGAACAGCAAGAACAACAGCAAGAACAACAGCAAGAACAACAGCAAGAACAACAGCAAGAACAACAGCAAGAACAACAGCAAGAACAACAGCAACAGCGAGAACAACAACAACAGCGAGAACAACAACAACAGCGAGAACAACAGCAAGAACAACAGCGAGAACAACAGCAAGAACAACAACAACAGCAGCAGCAGCAGCAAAAACAACAAAGACAGCAAGGACAACAACAACAGCAGCAACAACAACAACAAGAGCAACAACAAGAGCAACAAGAACAAGAGCAACAACAAGAGCAACGACAGCAACAAAACAACAGCAGCAACAACAAAGCAGCAGCAGCAAAGCAACAGCGACAAAACAGCAGCAGCAAAACATCAGCAACAAACAGCAGCAAACAGCAACAAACAACAACAACAGCAACGCCAGCGACTATTTACATACTACGAAAAACCCCCGAGCACTAATGTGAACACTAGGGGACCCCTAAGACGCCACTAATGTGAATGCTAAAGGACTCCCTTCCCCTTTAATGTGAACACCAGAGGATCCCGAAGGCGCCTGTAATGTAAACACTAGAGGGCCCCTCGCCTTTAATGTAAACACTGAAGGACCCCTAAGACGCCTCTCAAGTAAACACTGAAGGCCTTTCATGCTGCCACATTTTCAAGGGGAATCGGTGGCAGTACTGCCACCTTCCTCTTGTATTTAAAGCCTGCGCGCTCCCGCTCCCCTTTGCCGCAGCGCGGAGGGGAGTGCGCGCCCTTCGGGCTCCCGTTTCACCTTGTGAAACCATTCACCCCTGCCCACGTCCCTAAAGTATCCCTTTCCCTTCCTTAACGTCTCCCGGGGCACCCGGGCCCGGGGAGTTTCAAATTATCAACAATCAAAATCGTCGAGGTCGAGTACATCCCAAAAATGTGGATATTATAAGTAGTAACTAAGTAAGAACAAAGAAAAGGCCTCCTGTATCGGATGGCGTAGTTCTTCTACACACACGAGCAGGAGTTCTAGTACTACTGTTCGTCTAGAACGACAATGTGTCGAAAAAATGGAGTTGTGAATCCTCGAAACTAGAAGGACAGCATGTCGTGAATATTAGTGTTGGTCTAAGAACAAATGCTGGCGCGGGCAGATAATATACACAAATCATACGCGGCACCTGACTTTCCGCATGATTGAGTATCTCCTATTATATATATGGTGCTTCGCTCCTCTTTCCTTTGATGCTCTAATATACAAACTCAGCAGGTGGTGCTTCCCTTAGGAGCCTCTTTCAACCTAGCTGGTAACTTCACACTGCATCATACTCAACATAACGACTCAACATTTGTAGCCAGCTTCTGCGAGAAAAGAGAGACAGTCGCCGCGACCACATCACGTTCACACTGCGCCTCTCTCAGTTCTCTCCCTCTACGACGCAACTTCTCAGCGGCTCCCCAGGTACTAACTTAGCCTCGTCGAACCTAGACGTACTATGCCTCCACCAAAACTTAGACGTATGCCCAGAGAGACTTAGTACCGATGCATCGGAGTCGCTACGCCCAAGTCGACCATGGCTTCGGGGCGTGGTGTTAGACATGCGAAAACTCTGCGAGACGCCAGCGATTCCATCTGATCCATGGAAAGTAGGACTATTCTCCTGATCTTGTTGTTCGAAGATGATACTGGAGGAGAAAAAATCGGAAGAAAGGCAGAAGAAGCGGAATAAATCCCTTGATCTCTTTCATCTACAACTTGAAGTTCAGGGTCGTCATGTTCCCCTTCTTCCGGCTCTTCCTCATCCAACAGGACAAACAAAAACGTCCGATAGCAAACGTGGTTCTCGAACCGTCCTATGGGAATGAAGGTGGAATTCATCGGTAGCTTGTGCTGCAGGATGATTCTTCCTTTGAGGATGACGTTTTCAGCCTCTTCAAAGTCTCTCTGGTGTCTTTCTGCTTCTGAATCGGATCCGTTGTGGTTGGCTGCGGTCGTAGTAAAAAGGTTATGAATCCTCGATGAGATACCCGCAGTTCTAGAGGGCGATTGGAACAAGGTGAGAGGGTCCCGCTGAGCACCGTGAGCGTCTGTCATCTGTTGATTTTCTTCACCATGATCTTGATGTGATCGTTGTCGTTCAACACCTTGGTCGTGTTCTTGGAGGTCTGGCTGATAGAATAATGTAGATGTTGAACCAGTACTATGATCTCTACAACCCTGACTCTCGTGTTCACCATCTTCATCTAGTCCGCAAAGCTCTAGAGGAACCCCTTCATCGCTGATCAAGCTCGTTTGTAGAGATCCCGGCGAAGCCGCTGAAGTGCTCATCGAAGTGCTCATCGAAGACAAAGAGAAAGCACGGTCTCTAGTTGTGCTCTTGTGGTTGGCTGATGATGTTCTTGCAACTGCTCCGTGTGTTCCTCCTACAGAACAACGTCTACCAACATTAGTACTCAATAGTTGTTCCTGGTTCTTCTTCTTTTTCATGGCTCGCATTTGCATTCTCCTTCTGTTTTTGCAGATCGCTTTCACTTGCGCATCGGGTACGTACGAGAGGATCTGGACTTGAGCACCTCCACATCCTTTTAACGACAGTAGTGGTCTCCCAGTTGCTCGCTCTCCCGCAGTTGGTGAAGAAGGAACTGATTGAGACCATAGCCCTACTGGAAGAACGGCAACAGAAGTACTTCTAGAAGAAAAATCTACATCTTCTACTACTTGATGAGCACTACCAAAGCCAAAACTACCGTTGCTATCGTCTAGTAAATGCTTCCCCGCAGCAGACGCAGTGAATGCGGCTTCTAATTGCCACTGATGTTTTTCGGTGACGAAGACACGCCGACACGCCTTGAACTCGCAGTGTCGGATCGGGAGGCGGCCACCTACTAGTTTCCGGCAGAAGAACGCAAAGCGCTTGTTCACTCGACTCAGCCTAGCGACGTTGTCCGGCACTAGCACAAAATCAAGGATCAACAAGGCAATATCCGAGTCGAAAACCTGCTGATGAATGGCATCTATGTTGTCCCCACGACGACGTGAACGCTCGTTCCCAGAGGACCACCAAGAGGCGGTGATGGGGAAATTAGAGGCGGCAATGGGGATGGGGGAAATCGATGTATCATAAGTCAAAACAAACCTTCAACAACCATGAAGAGGTTTGAGCAAAAAGATCTTGATACTAGAAATTTTCCTAGTATCAGTTTGTTCCCTTTAATCAGATGAAAAGCATTCTTCCATAATGCTGTTGTAAGACGATTCCGAAGATACCGTCGTTTCCGTGCTGTACGTGGAGTTAAGCGTCGTACTTCTACTAGGAGGGAGTACTTCTCCCTGCAGCTGCTGCGACGCATTTATAGCTTCGTAATCGGTTTCGGTACCTAATGATATCCTTCTCTGATGTTGGTAATCGTACGCATAACCATTTTTCCACTTTGGTCTTGACCCGAACACGCCACAAGAATCGAATGCTCCTTCGCGCGTCCTAGGTCTCAACATTGACAGTTGTAGTTCTACTCCCCTCGGAGAAGTACTAGAGGGCGCAACTGCTGCACCACCAGATGTCGACCTACTTCTAGCCGAACCACTTACTGGTGGAGTAGTTCTTCCTGTTACTCCACTATTGTTTGCGTTCCGGTCTATGGTGGTGCAACAAGGCGCTCCTCTTCTTACTGCTTCTCCTGCTCCGCCCGTTGTCCTAGATGACGAAGATGAGGATGACGTAACCACCCTGTTCCCCTCAACTCCAAGACGTCCTTGCTGTCTTTCTCCTGTCTGTCCTAGTCCTCGTGTCTCGGTCTCACCTTCATCTCGTACGCCTACAGGAAAATTCTCTGGTCTTTCAATTTGACGCAATTGGTGCGCCAAATTACCCTCTTCGACACAACCGTCTTCCCGGATGCACCCACCGCACGGAAGCCGATCACGGAAGTGCTCGAGAAGCTGTGCCATTTTTTCTTCTGTACAAGTACAACACGTCAAGAGTCTTAATATTATTATTAGATGTGGAGGTATTACAATACTTGGAGGTGCTGGGGAATTATTTGCTGAAGTCGCTCTCCGTATGGGTGAAAAATTCCTAATGCATTATTTACTAGATGGATGATGGGATTCATCTATCTGACGATTCCTCCTCGACACGAATCAGAAGTGTATAAGCATCTTCACGATTCGAATCGAAGGTAGTGGATGGGTGATATCGAATTACTTTTGAGTACACGGCTGATTGGGATAGTCGGTGGATGTGACACAGAAATGCCTAAGTAAATCAAAAATAGAGATATTCGGAATATGTGTGACTTTTTACACAATGAATCATTAAAGACGAAAAGGAACGTGGATTTAAGGATTCTCTATTCTAACAGGCTGCATGGGGCAAAAACGAACTATAATACACAAGAGGTACAACATAACGCTTTGAATCCCTGACAAACAACGATTCGTGCAACCGAACATAGACACGAAGATAGCGCCGCAATTTTATGTCCTCTCTCTTGCACTCAAACTTTTCAATCCGTGCAAAAATGCTCTTCTCGACCTCCGATCAATTCCATGTTCGCTCAAGAATAAACCGATCCTATGTGTCTCCTCGTTCCGATTTACGAATTTCAATGGCAGCCTTAGCGCGTTATTTTACTAGCAACACGTTATAAAACAGAATTTTAATAGAGCAGTACTAGAATCCAACAAGCATGCATCTATAAAGCGTTGCTAAAATAACGCGTTCAGCCTGTCATAGAATTTCAATGCGAGTTACAAGGTATCCTCAACTAACAGTTCATGGAAAGAAACTGAAACTCACTCATCACTCAGCAAACACACAACAAAAAAGAGAAAATTTAGAACACATGTTGCTTGTCATTTTATGGACTACGTGTTCCTTGCTCCCCGCCGGAAAACGACCTTCATATCTTTCATTTCATGCAACTTACTTAATACGAGAAAAAAAATCTTGCCTCGGTCTCGTTCTCATGCGCGATTCATTCTACTTATTTCGTGAAAATATCATTCCTTCTCATGGCCGAAAACAAAAAAAAATCAAGTTCAAGAATCTGATACCAAGTGAAAACTTGTTCGCAAGAATGCATGAAACACAATGGCACGTCCGTCCGTCCGTCGTCAACAAAAAAAATTAATCAAGTTCGTTGCTAGGGGCATCACTTACCCAACAATGACATCGCATTGAATCCCATCAGTAGATATCTCTACTTGCATTTCTTGATGATTTCTTGGTTGATCCTGATCTTCATTTCCAAGTTAGTGTTAGTCATAGTTAGTTAGATGGTGCTACTGCTAGCCTATTCCATTTCTGTACATTTTCGTTAGATGTCAAACTCTGAGCCTCGAAACTGAATTTTCGTCCAAGAACTATTTATATCTAAAGATGAGCATCTGTTTCCTCTGTGCTGTTTTAATTTCGTAAGGACATTCTGGTAACCACATTTTTCTATTCATTTCGTGGTGTCCATCGTTCAAGCATTCCTTTGTCTTGATGATGATTTTTACTTCCCAGTTTTATTGCGTGAATCTTTTCTATTTCTATGTGTGTGAATTTGGGTAGTCGCTAGATGTCTATCTCTGTCCCTTTTACTCGCATGGTCCACCTATCCTCCAATCCTGTCCCTCAAACAGCCGCGCCACCCGCAATGGCAGGGTAGCTTTGCTTTCCACCTATATCCTCTTTATCCTCAACAAGAGCTGACTTTGATGTTCCGTAGATACTCCGCAAATGGGCCTTGCGGGCTTCCTCTATGAGCAGGATCGGGAGAAAAATCACCACAACCGGCAACAACAGTTGCTGCATGGGCAAATGCCAGGTACCAACGAACCTCTGCAAAACGTCCCAATAGATGATCGCGAGTCCGGTGAAAATCTCGAAGAGGATGAGGTAGCAGATTAGAGAGGGAGCAGAGACCTAGGACTAGCTCGATTTCAGTACTAGGTAAAGGATTAATATGTGAAGATAGGAAGACAATTGAGGAGGACGACTCCATTCAGAGTCGGGATTTAACGAAGATGATGGATCAGGTGAAGATGAACATTTGCCTTCATAAGTTCGGGTGAAGATACTAAGTATTCAGGTGAAGGTGAACATTTGACTTCATAAATTCAGTGACGCATTCGGCGCTCCGTACTCTAACAGACTCTGCCGGTTTGTCGTTGTCGAATATGCTGCAGCCAGCTGTCCTACGACCAGTGCCCAGTAATAGGTTGTCGTCATTTGCCCATACGTTTTGAACTCATCATCGGAATAGTCGCGGAAGCTTTTCCCACTGAGAAACAGGTCGCCTGCCTCAGGGAAGAAGAAGAGGATCATGGAGAAGCAGCCTAATGCCTGTAGTAAACCCATATAGCAGTAGCTATAGAGCATTAAGGAGGCATCCACAAGTGGCTGTAAAACCGGATGTCGAGGAGCGTTGCGCATGAGGTCGGCTTCGGCCCTGGTTGAAGGTGAGTAGTCGCCGAGATGTACTCATGATTCTCTCCTTGCAAAAGAGGACATGATCTCCATCTGAATCATAAGCGAACTCCTCTATGAATCATGCAAATGCATCAGCAAAAATCTAATTACTTCGATCCAGACATTCATAAGCCAAATGATAAAAACAAAATAATACGGTTGTGTCGCGTATGCAATGCTGGTCCAGATGTCCGTTCCTATGTCGATTGCCAGTATCTGCGTGATCGTAAGGGTCTGTGCTAATCCGAAAACGCCGGTGAAAATTGGAATAGACTGCGGAACTTTCGAGCACAATGTGTACATTATGCTTTTCCGCAAATTGTCTGTTGATAAGCGGCCTTGCTCGACGCCATCGATGATTGACGAGAAATTGTCGTCTAAAAGGATGATCCCCGCAGCATCTTTTGCGACTTCGGTTCCTCGAATGCCCATAGCAATTCCTACTTCAGCTTGCTTCAAAGCTGGGGCGTCATTCACCCCATCGCCAGTCATAGCGACGATGCACCCTGTACTCGGTAAATCCTTCACGGTCCCCTCAGTCATCTCGCGTAAGGGAACAGCCATGTAGGGCTGGGCGCCGGATCTGGTGACCGTCGTGGAGCCACCCGGTGATAATTTAGAAGCGAATGACTCTTGGGATCACATGGGGAGTCTGAGCATCGATCTATTGTTGAGGGAAAATGATGAGAGGACTCCTGATGCTATTCTACTCTTTGGTTCAATAACATAACTGTACCCCCACTACCTCTCTCCTGCGACGTACTGGCAGCCAGCGAACTCGATGAGCCACCTTGAGACCCAAGTGTTCCAGGTGTTGTCGAGCTTCCACAATTTTCCTCCTCTTCCATCCTCTTGACGTGGCCGAATCGCTGATATGCCTGGACTTCGATTAGAGATACAAAGTGCCTGCAACTATGATCCTCTGCACTATGCTGGTGTCTTTCTTCTAGTAGGGTCAAAATCCAAACAAGAGCTTTTATCTTACTGCCAGTAGAGAAATCATGCATCCACCAAAATAATTTCAATTTGTTTATGCAACTTACTGCGACAGACTCAGCTCGCATGGTCGACAGCTTTTATCTTACTGCCAGTAGAGAAACCATAATATGATTTGTTTGTGCAACGGGGAAACCCGTGCAAAGACTGCAGTCTGCTCTACAGCCCGTTTCCAGAATGAGCGGACTTCTTCGCTATCAAAAGCACCGAATTCGTCGAACAAGGGTCCATGCTGCTCCACCCGTCTGCCCTCGATCACAGAAAAGTCTTGGGTGGAGGTAGAGGAGGAAGAGAGATAATATTAGAGCAGAAGTGGGAGGTATCTATTGGGAGGGATATTTTTGGCGGAGCAGGAAACAAACGTTTATGTCCTTCAGTTCATTCATGCTGTCTACAAAGCCTTCTTGAACATAATTTCACCACATTCCAATAATCTCATCATACCTACTAGCCCCACCACCCCTCAAAATTCCCAGTTGACCTGCGATGGCTCGCGCTGTGTCTTGGTGGTCTCCCGTTACCATCACGACCTTGATTCCAGCGTCTTGCGCTCGTTGGACAGCTTCGCGCACCCCTTCCTTGGGGGGATCTTCGATGCCAAATAGTCCGCAGAGTTCCAGGTCTACGAGGATTAGAGAGGAAGAAAATGAGACTGATGTAGTCCGCAGAGTTCCAGGTCTACGAGGATTAGAGAGGAAGAAAATGAGACTGATGTAGTCCGCAGAGTTCCAGGTCTACGAGGATTAGAGAGGAAGAAAATGAGACTGATGTAGTCCGCAGAGTTCCAGGTCTACGAGGATTAGAGAGGAAGAAAATGAGACTGATGTAGTCCGCAGAGTTCCAGGTCTACGAGGATTAGAGAGGAAGAAAATGAGACTGATGCTGATAGTCCTTCGATGAATAAAGATCATCCATATTGGAACAATGAATTATAGGGGATCTTTATTCATATTGGAACTTCCATTCTCCATATTGGAACAATGAATTAAATAGGGGACAGAATCTTCACGTCGGTCTGCCTAACTTTATCGCTGTCTGCAATTCCTCTAGTGACTGTGCTGAAACCGAGCTCCAATCCGCTTTTTTCACTACTTGTTGAGCAACTGCAATCACCCGCTTGCCATCAGCCATCAATGCTTTCCACGACGTTGTTACTTTTTTCGCTGCAGTACTATCTTTGATAAACGGCAGTATCCGGTCTGGGGCACCCTTCACAAGCAATAAGCTGCTATCATTAAAGCTCAGCAGTCATTGGTCACTGACTCTGAACGCAAGAGACCCCCTTCAATGCTCTCCCCTTTTCCTTCGTTTTCCCCTGTTCTCTCAAGGGGTCGCCTCTTCGATCTCAGTGACCAACCCCAATGACCATTGAAAGTGGAGCCTTAATATCAGGACCCATCTTATGTACTGTGACCATGTACTTGTTTGCACTGTTAAATGGTATCTCTAGGGTTTTGGCCCAAGATGAAAATTCGGCTCTGTCCGCAGACCGTGAGGCGGCGAAATAAATCGCTGTCTCTGTTGGGGACCCAAGAATGTCCTTCTTGTTCAGGCAAGTAGAGCCTTCAAGTAGACCACCAGCTGCAGCACTACTAGAATTTCCTTTCGTCGAAAACACGATGGTTGTGTTTAGCAAGCCTCCTCGAAACAGGTCTCCTATTCGTTTTCTATCCTCTTTGGAAGATGAGGAGGAAGTTGATGCTGTCACGCCTGTGCGAGGATCTACGGGAATGCGGTTCCCGCCAGACAACACTATGTCCGTCACAGCCATTTCGCCAGAGGTGAGTGTCCCAGTTTTGTCACTGCAGATGACCTCAACACAGCCGAGAGTCTCCACAGCATCAAGCTTTCTAACGAGAACGTTCTTCTCGCTCATCTTGTGGCTGGCTATCATCAGCGAAATCGTCGCGGTTGGGAGTAGACCTTCTGGGATCTGACCGAAGAGCGCTGCTGAAGAAGACTCCAAGATCTGTCTCGGCGATTTGCTCACCTGATACTCTGCGACAGCCGTAAGTGCGCCAACGCTTATGGCAATAACGGCGATAAGGTGCACGAAATGTTGTGATTAGAAAAGCGAGGGAAGATGAAGAAAAATCGTGAACGCAGAAATAGAATTATCATCACGACGTGCGCCATCTTGTCATATGCATCTAGTACTTGTAGATATAGGCATTACCAAAACCATCCGTAATCTAATCCGATCTCGAGGCTGCTCTTCGGCCGTTTTTTCTTGATGCCTTCGGCAATTTTTCCAAGTAGTGTGTTGTCTCCTGTGGCGTACACGACAGCTGTGATGTTCCCCTTGAGCAGTAGTGTTCCATAGAACAGCAAGTTATTCGCCTGTGAGGGTTCGACTTGCTGTGAAGCTTCAGACGTATTTTTTGGCGCCCCTTCTTGCCCTGGCTCCACTTCTTTGCTACTATTTCTACTAGGTGTTTGTTGACCTACTGCTATAGATGAGCGCGCCTCTGGCATGGCTTCACCTGTCAATGCTGCTTGGTCTACCTCGGCACCGTCGGAGCAATAGAGTATTCGACAGTCTGCTGGCACTCTACTGCCTGCTTCGAGAAAGATGATATCACCTGGAACCAGTTCCTTACCCGGCACCTGCAAATCCTGTCGTCTGTACTGTTGCGTTCCAGATTTATCTGCTCCTACAGTTGGAAGACTATCAGGGCTATTCGGGTTTTCGGCGGTCTCATTGGAAACCACATCTGATCTCTGTTGCTGTGCGCTCACCCCCTCTTCGGATCTGGTGTGTATGATATGAATGATGGGAATCACGACGACGAAACGAACCAGCTTCAGCCATTTCATTTCTTTCCTGATTACGATAGTGGGCCTCTCCGTCCAAGCAAGGCGATACCAAGCTGGGCGCCAGCCGTGGCTTCTCTTACTCTCTTCCCACTATATTATACGAGAAAGGCGGTAGATATTTTGCTCATTAACTACCAGCATCTGACTCAAATTAGCTCAAATTAGTATTAGTCCCAATCATATCAGCCGACAGCCGACGCGCTAGCCCGTTCAAATTAGTCAGAATTAGCTGACACGCGACGCGCTAACTAGTTCCAATTAGCTGACAGCCAGCAAGGGCCTCACCCTTCTGCCCGTCTTCTTTTTCCTCTGTTCGTTGCAGCTCTCGCCTCTGCTGGCGCTGCTGCTTGTGCAGTTGTTTCCACTCCCCTGCCTCCGCCCCCCTCCTTATTTTGCTCCCGGGGGCTCTTGTTATTGTTTGCGCCCCGCAGTCTTGGCGGCCTGGCTATCTACGCACGGCTTCCTCTCTTTGCGCCTTTGTAATCCTTAAGCGGCTGCCATGCCTTTCACTCCATCCTGTGGCCCAGAGCTGGCGAAAAGCCAAGCGCGCTCCGCCCCGCTACTGGCAAAGCCTTCGAGCCTCCCAAAGGCAAACCGCAAACACGAGCAAGCCATCGCAGGCCGCGCTCCTTTGCGGAAGATGTCAAGGCTGTGCCTGGGCACACCAAAGGCGGCGGCGCTGCCGCAAGGTGGCGACGCTGCTGAGAGCAATCACGCCGAGGCTTCTGGCTCCTTTGTGCATGGTCCGGGCCCCAAAGGCAAACCGCAAACACGAGCAAGCCATCGCAGGCCGCGCTCCTTTGCAGAAGATGTCAAGGCTGTGCCTGGGCACACCAAAGGCGGCGGCGCTGCCGCAAGGTGGCGACGCTGCTGAGAGCAATCACGCCGAGGCTTCTGGTTCCTTTGTGCATGGTCCGGGCCCGCTCCTTCTAGTCCCAGATATTCACGAGTCGCGAGCTCGTCAAAGCACACGCGCAACAAGCTCCGCACGGGCATGGCACGCAGCCTGCTCCCTTTCCTCTACGCCTCCTGCTCTGCTCCAAAGCGATCCGCGCGGGGATTCTGCGGAGCCTCTCCGTTCTCCTCTTCATGTGCGTGGCTGCCTTCACAGAGCGGGCCGCCGTCTTCTACAACAGACGCCAGACGAGTCAGAGCTTGCCAGCCGAGATAGTCAAGGCACACACATAAGCACATAACAGCCCCGACCCAAAGAGAACGCGGCCCCCGCCAAGCACAGGCAAACGAATGGACACCAGCGAAACGCCCCCCAAGCCATCGCCCTGCGGCGTCAGGTGCTGGCCGTGCCTTCAGCGCATGCGCCGAAAAGATGCACAAAGCCCCCCCTCGACCTCTAACAGCCCCTCACAGCTTGGCGGCTGCCGTGCATCCCTTTTCCCTGTCCTTTGTTGTGGTTCTTGGCAGAGCTACCACAACCCACCCCCCGGGACAGAGCGTCTAGAAGTTTTGCGGGGGGAGGGCGCCTTTCACTCACGCCGATGCCGATGAACGACGGCGACGCCTGCCGCTCCAGCCGGTTCCCCCAGTCAGAGCAAACGACCGAAGCCGAGGCACTTGCTAGCAAATGCGACGACAAAACTCACGCCGCCGCTGGAGCGTTCCACCCCGGCTCTTCGCCGTCTTCACGCCTTCCATGCGCCATGTAAGTAATAAGCAAACTCAGAGACCTCCCCACCAAGCACAAACAAAACCCCGCCACCCTTGCGAGGGAGTACTACACCCCACCGCAATGGCGCAGCCACTTCACCTCCCCCCTAGCCTCTGCACCCAAGCGCTGCGCCTTGGTAGCGAGCGCTGCGCCATTTGCGCACTCCCTAATCCCGTTGGAAAAAATCTGCCCCCCTTGGGGCTGGCGTCCTTGAAAAGCGCGCCCGCGCACGAGCCCAGACGCATTTTGTTCGAAAGATTGGCGGCAGAGGCTTGCGGGAATAATTCGGCGGCCCGTCCGCACTATATTCCTGCTTTCTTCCAAGTACAATCAGCGCCATCAACTTCCATTTTCTTAGTATACCTCCTCACGATCTTGACACTTTCTCCAGCACCCTGCAGCGCCTGAAGCGCGTCCATTGTCTGCTCCGCCTTTTGCTCTGCCCACCACTGAAGCAGAGACGCGAAGAGCACGACTAGAGACAAGATGACGGGAGTAACGAAATCCTGGGCGGAGGAAGCTTGAGCATTCGCATCCTTATTTTCAGCCATCAATACCCCAAGTGTCAGTTCCGCAGCAACACAAACCCAGAGAAGGAGAGGTTAGAAGATTTTGGGAGTCGTGACGATTACTCGGTTGACCCAAAGTAGGTTCAGCGAATGCCCATCCTAACACAAGATGAAGTCATATGACCACCTTGATTGATTCTACGTAGTTGTGATACACTTACACAACACAGTAATAAATGCCATCCTTACATATTGAATCCGGAGAGAAACGTGATTTTGAGCAAGGCAATCCATTTGTTCTCCTTCGGCGCCGGTGATATTTCGTTCTTACCGTATGTCCGTAGACGGAAGTCGGCTTCTGCCTCTGTCAAGCCTACTGGCCCAGAAAGACAATCGAAAGTAGTGCTCATCGCGGTTGGGCCGTTGGCTGTTGTAAGTAACCGGTTTGAGGATTCACGATGTGAGTGATATTGAAGGCGAAGTATTGTTCGTACTACACCATACATAGTAGGACTTCGTTCAAGCACCTAGAGACATTAAGAAAGTCTGAGTTCGTCTTCGTGGTCTTTTAAAATCTAGCACGATAATGAAGTAGCATGTCGTGTTTCAAAAAAGAACAAGTACTTCTTCCAGCTCCAACCTCCGTGTGAAGATAGCGCGCTGCTGCTTCTGGAGACATGTAATGAACACTCGTGGAGTAAGCCCTTGAAGCAGTGTCTTCATCTCTCGAGGTCCGCCTTTTGACGACCTCTTCTTCCTCCTTCTGCTCTTTATAGAGCAAAAATGCAAATCCTACTACCAAAATGAGCACAAAAGCCATGGCCGTCCATGCCATAGCTGAAAATCCCAGAAAGATGTATTTTTTCGACGTAAAGAACGACAATCCGCTATTCTCCTGGCTCTTGTCAGACAACAGCACCGAAAGAGTGCCTGCCTGTGCTTGCTGTGCGGTACTGTCTCCGGCGGCGACTCGCATCTCGACCGCAGACTTAGAGGAAAACTTTATCTGGTGAAGATGTTGTTGTTCGAAGGTAATGCCAAGGGTCGATAATAGACCACGGGAAGCTCCTCAGACGTCTTCATAGCAGATACAGATCACATTTCTTACAAGTACAACGTCCTCAACACAGCCATAACTTCCTCTTTTTCTTTGGCCAGGAGTGCCATTTCGACGTCTCCACTGGTACGAGAATCTTCTGCACCACTTGACGTTGGCTCCCCTGAAGAGGAATCGACCGTAGAACCTCCGCCACCACTTGACGTTGGCTCCCCTGAAGCGGAATCGACCGTAGAACCTCCGCCAAGTTGTAGCAACGCGTACTGACGCGCGGCTCTCGATGGCGTCCAATAATTGTCATACTGGAGACTTCGCGTGGTAGTAAAATCGCCACCATCGTCGCCAGCCACAATCTGGCTCGCTACACTATCAGATGGCTCAACATCGTCAAGATCCACGACTAGGACTGCTGCAACTGAGTCGTCACCTCCAAGATCTTCTAGATCTTTCTCTTTCTTTTTCCTCGAAGTACTACTGCTACTTCTTGAAGATCCTACTGAGGTGGTCGCAGCATCTCTTTCATCACGATGGCCACGCATTAGCTTTGGACTCTTGGCACGAGGATCCTCGCGGCTGTCGACATGCCCTCGACCGCAGACAGAGCCCCAAAACAGGACAAGGAAAGACTGGGTGCGCAAATACATAATTTTTCTCATGGGAGGAAGCAACGCAATTATTGAATCATTGAGTCATTATATTTTCGGCATTCTGTTTTTGCCGTTTCTACATGAAAGTGCATTTGGTCTTTTGTAGATGAATACTTCCTGTCTTTACTCTTCTCAAACGATGATATGCCAGATAATTCCAAAACACTGACATTTTCAAACCTCCGGCTCACCGTTAGTCTTCATTTTACGAGTTCAAGGCAACCACCCTGTCGGATATTTTTCATTTTGAGAGAACATCTTTCTTCGGTACATTTTATGACAGCACGATGTCTTGCATGGAGTAATGCACCTGTGTCCTGTGGAAGCAAAATAATGCCAATTCATGCGTCATCATCCAAAATCAACGTCCAGTGACATCTACTCACAAGCCGTCCCAGAACTTCAACTGCGAATGCCTCAGATACGGGACCCTTCTCTTTACTCTTCTTTATCCTTCAGATCATCTTCCTCTGAACCTCCAGCTCCCCCAAACAATTTCGGAAGAAACAACCAACTCTGTTTTTTATACTCCTCCCATCCTGGCTTCCGCATCAACGAGCTTTCCTTGTTGAACATGTTGACACTGAAGAGCCCAAGCCACGCAAACGCAAGCATCGCTTTAGGAAGCGGATGAGGGACTAAACCTGCGAAACTACCGTATAGGAGCATTTCGCCAAGGTAGTTCGGATTCCGGTTATTCGAGAATATGCCATCCTTGATCAAAAGCTTCTTTTGTTCCGCCAATGCGCGATTGTACTTCAAAGCGAAGAACTTTTGCGTATCTGCTACCAGCATCATGGAAACTCCGATCGCGTACGTGAAGATGCATAATGCCTGTCTTGGCGCAGAGACTTGGAGTTTCTTGGATATCAGTATGATCGGGGCTAGCCAGTAGCCGACGAGGAAAGACACAGCCAAGCACGATGATCCAAAGGGCATTTTCAGCTGGAACCTCCCATCCGGACACCACCACTCCTTCAGCACCCACAAGATCCCGTAAGATCCGTGCAAAGCCGTATACGTCCAGGCTGTAGGGGTAAAATTCTGAAAATGGTACATCAAACCGAGACACAATGGAAGCGTTCCTGCTTTGAAAGCATTCGTCAGATGAGCTTGTTTGAGAAGAGGAGGACCAGGGCCCAGTTCTTCGCTGAGAACTTTCACCACTGGCGCCCAATACTTTTCGATGAATCGGTGCAAGGCTGACTTCTCACCATCTTCAGCGGAGGAACCTCTCCTGTTCGGGGATAAACCGCTCACTCTGGACATCTTTGTTGTTGTCTACTTTTGTGGTTATGCGAAGATGGATCATAGATCTTGGTGGATCACTAGCGCACAACCTGAACCTTTCAAGTACTTCGATCATACACGACGAGGATCATTGGAAGTTCTGACTCATTGGAGTTTCTTGTCTATCAGAGAAAGAATGAAAGGGTAAGAAAAGGAAACTAGTACGCGCCATTTCTTGATTGTAGTCCTCCGAGTAGGTCAAGCTTCGGCCAACACAACTTCTTGCCGGTTCTCGTCATGTCCTGCTTGTCAATTTCTTTGATGGACAGCATGTCACAAGTACTTCTGAGTATCAAGCTAAATATTCCAAAAAAGTCACGAACGGAGTAATTTTGTAGACAGTGACGTCAGTGTAAACGATGAAAGTTCCCGATGCTATTACAAGTTGTAGACAGTGTAAATCAATGCTTGCGTGAGCGAAAACTTTTTCTATTCTGTGCATCCCAAATAGGTATGCAGCACCTACCGGCAGGATGAATCGATGTGACAAGATTCCACAGACAAGTAGAACTTGTAAACCAACGAGGAGGAATTTTGAGAAAACAATATGAGGTCCTGCCTCAAATTGGTGGCTCCCCCCGCGTGTGTGAAGAAAACGTAGTAATTCATCAGCCTCCAACCACCTCAACCGGCTTCCTCCACGCAAAGTACCCTCTATCGGAGACTCGTGTACTCCGATTTCCATCGAATTCATAGGCTAGCATTAGGAGCCAAGCTAACTAGGAAAAGAAAAAGGAAGGATAGTAGGTAAAAGATAGATAAGTGCACCAGAATTATTAGTAATCATGGCCATGCTAAGTAGGATTATAGATAAGTACAGAATCAATTATTAGTAACGCTCTTAGATGATAGTAGGATCCGTCTATTCAAGCCTTAAAATCATCATTCTTGCCCAACCCTGTCGAGCTAAGTCCCGTCCAGAGTTCCAATAGAGCCGATCTAGGGAGCCAGCAGTGAGCCACTGATTCCCATCAACCGTGTTGGGTCCTGTGAAAAAATATCCACCTGGCTTCAACGTACACCAGACTAGACTTGCAGACTGGACATCAGCCCACGGGTTCAATTGGTCCCCGTAACGTCCTAATCCTGCGTGTTCTAAGCTTGAGTAGGTGAAGGCTGCGTCAAACAACCGCGTCCTCGTGTGTTGACTGGAAATGGAATCCTCTCCTGAGGTTTCATTCAAATGTTGACCGTCATCATTCTCTGCACCAGCTGCAATGTGATCCTCAAAATACCCAAACCTCTTCCCAACCTCTGTAAAGTGCAAGAAACTCAGCCTCTCGTGTTTTTCCGCCACAGTAGGTTCTCGGTAGTCTACGGTAGTGACAGTGCGAGCACCATGCCGCAACAAAAACGTCTCCATCCAAGGAATCTCACTTCCAAGGACTAACAAGTTTTTGCCTGCAACCAAATCCCTGTTACTTTTGAAAAACTGCTCCTGCAAGGTGTGCTCACCGTAGCTAGTGTAGATCTGCGTCACGTCAACAGCGTTGATATCCTTGGCGATCTGCGCCCTCTCCCATCGCCAGTCATGACGCTCTGCCCACCCCTGAGTGAAAGAACGTTGCGCGAAATACACTGGTGGGGCATGGAGAACGGCTCTGGGTGGAGGTGCGACGACCACGACCGCGGTGTCAGAGGTTGACGGATAGTACGTTGTTGAACTTGAATTTCCCATACCAGGAACCATCAAATAATCCTTTCTGAAAAGAGTAGGCACGAAATCAGGTGGCGGCCAGAGGCTTGGCGCGAAGTCTCTTACTCCCGGAGAGCGACTTAGCAGTGGGCAATTCGGAAAAACCAGTTTCTTAGCTCCCAAAACCAAATCCGCTACTTCTGGTTCTGGAAGACGAATTCGTTTCGTCTTATGCTTATTTACTTGTTCTGTTACTTGAGGTGAAGGTGCCTCCTCTTCCTCATACCTTACCGACACCAATCGTCCTCCACCAGCCTGCTCTATCGCCCGTGCATTCTCGTCCACTTTCAAATCGTTGCAGACATCTTCCTCACACCCTTCGCGCAGAAACGGCTTTAGCCTATGGTAAAACCTTGCTGCTAACCGTCTCATGAAGGCGTACACTTTGTCCATTGCGTTCTTGAGGAACCATTGCAGTTGCTGCAACTGCACATCGGCACTTACGAGTAGCTCGTCACGCTCTTGTCGCCGTAAGGCGATTCGGTTTTCCACCTCCTTGCTCTTCGAAGTACTCGAATCGCCTCCAACCTCGACTTCCAGAGAGGTGGCAGTCATCGAAGATATCTCCCTAGTCACACGTTCTAGCGCCAGCGCTGTCCGTCGATGCTCTATGGCGTACACCTCAAAAAGCTCCAAATAAAGCTGTTCTTCAGGTATCGTGTCGCCAGGTGGTTGAGGAAGAAGCATCAAATCCTCAGCTAGGAACTCGAGATCTTTGTGCTGGAGCAAGACGACATTGGTGTCGGAGACCATGTCGTACTTCTTGTTACTGGCGGAATCATCTTCAGCATTTAATGTTTGTAAGACGCGTTCATAGTGCACTGCAACTTCGTTACGAAAGTTCACTGCATGAGGCCACGTCTTTTGCCCTTGCTTACTTTTGGAGGAAGATCGTACGACTTCTTCAAGCTGCATGCCCTCTTGTTGTTCTTCCGCATGCTCTGTCAACAACTCCGGTCCACCAATCGCCGTGCGAGCGATAAAGAGTGCTGCATTACTCAGATAGTCGGCGACTTTGTGACACAGAAATCGACCCAACAGCCACAGAGCTGACTTCTGAGCGTGTGATGCAGTGGCATAATTAGTGAAGTCGTTTCCTAAACCGGTTCCATTTCAACGAAACTCTATTATGCAGAACATGCACCCAGAGGTGGGAAACTCGTCAGAACAAAAGACCCGGAACGAAAAAAATGGATTTTCTCCAAAGAAAAAGCCTTAAACAAAGGCCACTCCGATGCCAGGGGAACACCCGCATTGACCCCATTGATGTGCGTACGGTCTGCTTCCGCAATGCAGCCTCGAAACCGCATCCGATTGTGTGCTGCTGTCAATCTTAGGATATGCAGGCAGTAACTCGCCGTTTCCCCGGAGCAGGAATTAACCTTTGCCTCCTTCTCCCATCCGGGACTTTGCCAGCAACAGGCTTCGAACGAGTACCGATTGTCCCAGCAGATCGGGTTTCCTCCTTCTCCGTAGGCGGCTGTGTTGCAGCAATCCTGGTGCCGAACGTCGATGCGATCGAAGCACACCTTGCGACCGCTGTTCCGATTAGAGGTTCGTAGACGTGTTTGTTCACGACTCCAATCAGTCCATACAGTCAAAGCAAATCCCTCAACAGTAACGACTTGTGGTCATAAAGAAACTGACGCCATCTTCCCGGAATTGTGGCTCTGCTTCCTCTTCGCTCAGGTCGAACTCGTTAGACAGTTGTAGTTGCTCCGCTTGTTTAGCCACAACCACACCAGGGCCACGATAATTCGATCTATTCACAAAGATTTCATCAGAAAGCTGGAGCCAAGTAAAGGCAAGCAGTGCTCGCCACTTGTCGGGAAACGCCAACATCCAGAGAGACGATTCGAAAAAACGTCGGCGGCGTTCATGATTCTCGACAAATGTAGTATACGTTGCTTTTACTGTTGTTCTCGTCTCACCCTCATGCGACTAGAAAAGATCTAAACGGAGCGGTCATTGCAGAATTATGCCGCTATAAAGAACATTGATTTCTTCTCTGCAAAAAATGTAGCCCTCGTCAAGTACTGGAACACTAGCTTGTCGAGAACCGATTGAGTAGATGGTTTATTCCCAAGGCTTATCAGAAGGTAGGACATATGGCACCAGAAGCGCATGTTTCTAATCATCCTTGAAAAGTGTTCCAGGGCAGATTCAACGTGTAAGTGGGAATGGTCTCAAAGCTCTTCCAGAAGCACAATGTCCTCGAAGCACAATGTCCTCTTCCTCTCACAAATGGTCGCAACGCTCTTCCAGAAGCACAATGTCCTCTTCCTCTCACAACGTCCTCTTCCTCTACACTCCCAAAGGCATTCCAGGGACCGCGGAATTGAGAGCGTGATTTTTTGCAAGCACCGGGCGAACCGACTGCAAGGCTGATCGTGCAGCGTCTGACTGGATCATGTCTGCTTTGTGCAACGCCGCAGACAATCGGTATCTCGGATCTCGTTGCAGCCTCTCCTCGAAGTATCCATGGACATCCGCTACCTGGTTGCGACAGATAGTTCCTTTGGGATCGAAATATCGTGGAACACCACTCGTGCACATGCGGGATGTTAGAGGAATTATTGGACAGGAAGGTCAACATTGCCGACGCCAGATTCTAAAAATGGTGGAAATATTACTTATAGGGTGACATATAACCACGTGAAATTGCTCCTGAGACTTCATCGAACCTTTCAACTACGCGCAGGCAATCTTCGACTACCTGCTAGAAGAACACGTGGTTCTGTTTTTCCTGCTAGTCGATTATACGTCCATAAAAACAACCTCTCTGGATCTTCTGGCGCAGCGACCTTTAGCTTCTCCAGTGTTCGCTCCATGCGCCTGGCCGCCTCTTCTTCCTGTTCCTGTTGTTGCTCTCTTAGCCTCGCACGCTCCGCCGCTTTTGCTGCTTCTGGTCTTAGAGGGAAGGAGAGAGTTTGTGACTCTATTATAAAGACCTGTTTTCTGGTTGAATCCGATCTTCATTTACAAGCAGAACAAAAAATGCCATAACATCTGATCTCGCAAGCGCTTTCGTGCTGCATGTACAGCGTTTTCCCTCCGATATGCTACGAGTTCTCGCATCTCTTGTTCGCGTTGAACCTCAACGTTTGTACGCTCTTGCTCACGTCTACGGTCATGCGCTGCGATCTTCTGTTCAGACGTTAGAAGAGGGGTAACGAGAGACGTCAAGCGCAGCCATGGTGCCGTAGAGTACAAGTTTGCGCTAGTAGTCGCAAGTACTTCTTACATAGTCTGTGTACTACCTCAAAAGTGACATATATCACAAAACCCACATAACAATCGTTGCAGCTTTGCCGCGCCTTCCTGCTCCCACTCGCGCACTTTTTGTGGTAACTCCTTGGCAAAGAAGGTCGAAACTTCTTCAGTAGCACAAGTGTCGGTAGTTTCACATTGTCCCTGCTCTCCACCTCGTCGACCACGCGACATTGTCTTCGTCATCTTCTTGCTCCGCACATGAATAGCGTTAACCTGGCGTCGCAACGAGTCGACCTCGTGTTCAAACTGTGCGAATCTTCGTGCTTCTGCAAGTTGCGTATCCTTTTTCGCCTTGTCCAAGAGTGTGCGTCGTCCCTTTCGCCAGTCACGGTAGGCAATAGATAGCTGTTCTCGGATGTATCGACGCTTCTCCATAAGCCGGTCTCGATGAACACCTAGTCTTCCCACTGATGTGCGTGTGCCTCCCTTCTGCGTTGTCGTTGTACTAGAGATAGACCCGGCCCTTCGCCTCGCTCCACCAGAAGATGGTGGTCTTGACGAAGCAGCACTCGCGCCTTCATCATCTCCTACAGCACTCTTGGGTTGCTCGTCTGTAAGCAAGGCTAATTCGCACTCGATTTGAGCTACTTCGCTGTTTTTCGCGGTGACGGTAGCACGGTATTCGTTCGTTAAGGCTGTCAGCTGCGCCATGTAGGACTGCTTTACTCGAGTAACCTGATCTTGTTGTTGCTTCTCGCATGGTAACGACGATCGTTTGCTGAAACTCCCTGCTCGTGGTCTACAACCACTTCTCTCCTGAAGAGCACTGACCACGCTACATGTCTGGCTATGGTCATTTGTCAACTCGTTTCCACTAAAATCCCCCCCTCCAACGGCAGTAGTTATTCCATCATGTCTCGCTGAAGCTGCACTGTGAAGACCGTCCTCAACATGCTCGTCGTCGTGGTCATGATCTATCATCATTTTACAAGAACTACTACCATCTCCATTTCCACCACCCGACGAGGTAGGACTGCCCATAGGGCTGCCGGAAGGTCTTTCACCCTCATCTCCTTCTAGAAAGTCTTCCTCTTCTTCGCTCAAATCCACCGCTCCGACATCTTGGTCACACGTTATGCGCCTCAGGAGTCTATGCGCTTCACGCGTTTCCTCCTGCAACTGCGCCACGTCTTGATGATACCCCTCTACGGCGAGCAGGGCCATACGGCCGAGCTCTCGACAAAACTCCAAAACAGCGGGACTCGGTTGTGCGCGTCGAACGAGTCGTACATCCTCCCACAGTTGCTGCTCTTGCGTCGAACTTGAGGAGCTTTCTCTCTCCACCAAGAACTCATCTTCCGAAAAACCATCTCCCTGTTCTTCCAGACTCCTTACCTCCTGCGCCCATTCCTTCCACTTCGTAGCCCATTGCTGCTTCTCTTGCCGACTCGTCGTCTGCCGTATCTGCTGCTTCGCGCTTTTTGAGACTTCAGCGACTTTCACCGCTCCAGCTGCACATCGCTGTTTGAATCCCTCAAGGGAAAAGCGAGAGACGCGTGATTTCGTTTCGTTGGAGGTTGCAGGCATGATCGTTGTCTGTGGGCGCGTCAAGGTGGTACAGATGAAGTTAAACTGAGTGCAATTACTTTCTACAATCAATGTCTGGTGTCGAAAAAAGAACATGAGTGTGATACCAAAAAATTGATTCTAGACGACAATGCTACCACCGTTGAAAAATCGTGGGAGGAGGACCAAAATCAGGAACGCATGGGATTGGCGCAAGATGAAAAAAAAAGCTCAAAAAGGAAATTTTTCTAAGTTTGGAGCCATTTTGCACCTCTCTCGACTCTCCTATAATAGCAATTCATATTCTCGTGAGGATCTCTTGTTCATTCCTGTCTTGTTCTGTGGACAGACATTGATACAGATTCAGATGTCTGCACAACCGAAATTTCGTTTGTCGTTGCCACACAGCAGAGTCGCATGTACGCTGGAGCATGAGACCGATTGAAGACAAGGTAAGATCGATAAGCAACAGAGAGTCTTGCTCGTCACACCGGACGCAGCACGTAGCACCACGCTCCCCTGCCTGTAGGACTTCCTTGATTTTGTTGTTCTTGTCTGTACAAGTTCTTTCATCACACGCAATCTACTTTTTCGACTCTACAGATACAAAATTATCAAAAATCTATTTAGACTGTATAATCACATCTAATTCCTGAACATCTAATGTCCCGGTGGTCACCTCTTCAACCTTGACTTCATAGCTTCCCACCCTCCACGCATCAAAGCATGATGAATTTCTTTATCTCGCAACGTCTGCCGCAGTAGCTGCTTGCCCATAGTGGAGATCTCAACATCTTCAAACAGCTCTTTCAAAAACGTCTTCACTTCAGGCAAGCTTCCCTGCAAAGCAGCCGCCGCGAAGTCTTCGTCACCTAGAAGCTTGAACAGGTATTCGCGGAAAATCATTTTATCACTACGATCGCTTTTCCCGGATTCTTTTACACCCTCCCTCAGACCTTGGACGATAGCGTGGACCATGCCACGAGTCAGTTTTCTGCGCAACTCCCTACTCTGAAAAGCCTCTACGAAGACGTCTGCAATCTCGCGCGCTACGTTGAAGCCAGGTATTAAAGCTCAAAGCAATCCACTTGTTCCTAAGCAATCCACTTGTTCCTAAGCAATCCACTTGTTCCTAAGCAATCCACTTGTTCCTATCCGAGCATGTATTGAATACTGAATATCTCTCAATCGATCCTAAGACGGGGGGAAACGGGAAGAGCGCGCTTGTAAAATAAAAAGTGAGGTGGACCGTGGAAGACCAAAGGCCTCAATATCTTCTCAAACGAACAAAATCTTTCTGAGCCTAAAACTCAGAACTTACTTCTACAGCACTTGTTGTAAAAGATGAAGTAAATTGTATTGAGACATAAAGGTAGATGGCTTTGATCTTCGGCTCCTAGAAAGGTGGTGTCTCTTTCCCTATCATCTTGTTCTCTTTCGAATGCAGACGTAGCATTCTTGATATACGAAGGCCTGTGGAGGCTCCTGTCCTTCATGTGAGGACTGTCGTTTTCCTCGTGAGGAAAGAACTGCTTGTCGTTGTTCATATTTTCTCCGTCTGCTCCGTGTTCGGGTGAATAGAGAAAAATTTTCGGCGAACTTGGGCTTCGTGTTCTCGAACGACTGGGTTCGCCTTAGAGCTTCCTCCATATTCTTCACTAGACATTGAAGCTTTGCCGAATAGATTCACATCATCACTATTAACCCACGTCGTGCAATTTTTATACTCTCACTTATCAACATTAATGATAACCCATTTTAGGCAGATTGCCGAATATCTATGTCATGTCATGTGCCCTCGTCTTCCACGTGGTCAAGTGGATTTGAGGTAAGTCAGTCAAATTCCACGTGGTCAAGTGGATTTGAGGTAAGTCAGTCAAATTCCACGTGGTCAAGTGGATTTGAGGTAAGTCAGTCAAATTCCACGTGGTCAAGTGGATTTGAGGTAAGTCAGTCAAATTCCACGTGGTCAAGTGGATTTGAGGTAAGTCAGTCAAATTGTACCTTCTAGGTAGAAGAGCAATTAACCCATAAGTCTCATTCACACCACTCAAGCGTCCAACCTTCATCGCAGGCCTGGACCACTCGTCTGGGACCTCAGACGGCACAGCACTTTCCCCCTCATCCGAAGAAATAGTCGTTGCATTCTTCGGAGAAGTCGGGATATGGGGATTAGAGGGATAGTTCGGAGAAGTCGGGATATGGGGATTAGAGGGATAGTGCGGAGAAGTCGGGATATGGGGATTAGAGGGATAGTGTTCTTCGGAGAAGTCGGGATATGGGGATTAGAGGACCACTGATGTTGGAGTGAACACAGGCATCTTTCTAGTACTACTAATACCTATAAGTAGTTTCTAGTAATGATCGGGATGGGCGTGTGTACTTCTTATGTCTGTCTTCTGCTTCAGAAGATAAAGAATGCAGTTCCGCTAAAGTAAGGATCATTTTCTCTATAATATCAAAGGATAAGAATATGTGCCATATTCGACAATTCTCCCGTCCTCGCATCATTCCTCTGTGAAATTTGCAACAGTTCCGCAAAAGCATCTCCCGATGTTCTGCCGTAGTTGTCCTGCTCATCTCCTTCCCTGATCGATTCTTTAATGTCTTCTATTCCAGACAAAATCAGGGAACCACTTTCGCTAGAACGTTCTTCGCGTAGTCGTCGCAGCGTCTGGGTCGGAGTCTCTGCTGCCATTGGACTCGGTGTCGAATTCCTACTTCTGCGGCTAGTTGCAGGTCTAAGAAGAGATAGTTCTAGACTACGACTAGTACCACCTCCACGAGTGCGACCGTCGGACGAAGATGACGAAGCAGATGAACTGGCAGGATGCGCTAGGATCAAACTGGAATTATCTTCCTCCTGCTCATCTTCATTGGAGGTCTGTTCTTTGTCATTAGAGCGATAAAGAAGAACAAGAAGAAGAAGCTGCACCACCCGAATCTACTAAAATATGCAAAGTCACTGATAACATCGGGGACACCATACTCTTCACTCATAACATCAGGAACGGTTGCGGGCTGGTCACTATCTGCACTCTCGCACCTGGAGATAGGTGCTGCATTAACAGGAATGCTGATGTCCTCCTTCTGATCACAGTTGAACTCCTTGATCTTTTTACTCAATATTAACGCTTCTGTTCTACTTAGATCCTCTTGTACTGGAGGTTTTTCTTGTCCAGAACGTGCTCCTGGACCTCCAACACTATTGATCGTTCCGTCACGCACGGAACCTCCGACACTGGTATCACGTCCTCCATCGACACCGAAATCCTTCGAATCTTTTCGAGTAGTCGACAGTCTCGCTTTGAGTCGAGCCCACCTCCCGCGATGACGAGACTCTTCTCGGACGACGTCGACAAGAAACCGCTTCACACGTACGTCGACGCGTTCGCGCAGTTCGACAGGAGTGCCATCTTCCATCTCACTCCTAGAAGCTCTTGGCGTTTCTTCCTCAGTTGCAGCACTCAAACCACCTGCCGCAGCACTGACTCGAACCGCTTTCTTTACGTTTTCCATAGCGTGTCTGACATCTCCGATGTCAGAATCGTCGTGGTTCGCTAGTTCCGCACGAACTGCATTTTTGATTCCGTGACAAAACTCATCTGTCCCAAACATGCTGAACAAAACGTTAGACATGCGCTCTTCGGCAGTCGGTGGCAGAACCAGGCGAGCCATCTCTGTACCAGTCGGGCCACGTTGTCGTTCTTTGAGTGCCGATGAAGAAGAAGATTCATCCTGGTGTTCCTGCGTTGTTCCTGTAAACCCAGCATCTACTGACTCTGGACTGGAGACACGTGCATCGGTATAACTACTCCCAGTAGTTCTCTCACCATCCACAGAACCATCTGCCCCCTCCTCCAGCCCACCAGCAGCTGCTACAAGTGCACGAGGGAAAGCGTTGATCAGCGATTCCTGCAGAATAGGGTTCATCACTGGATCGACTAGGTCTCGGCAGAGAGCCGTGACAAGGTCTTCGGTTACGAACATGTTGTTCCGCGTTTCGGAAACACGAATCTGTCCTCCACCTGTTTCTACTTTCGTTCCTTCTTCATGTAGAAAACCGAAAGCTGCACCTCCTACGACAGCAATTGGAGACGAAGAAGACGCATACCAGAGAACCAGAATGCACGCTAGTACGCAGCTGGAGACAAAGGAGCTGATATCTTCCGACAGTTCTCCTGATGAGGGTCCTCCTAGACCTAAAGTGCTTCCCAAGAGAAAAGCTTCGTCGACTGCTTCTTTGCTTGGCCAAAGGCCTGTAGTTCTGGCAAAAAGCGTGCCTAGGTAAGCATCGTCTGTTGCCCCTCCATTGCCACCCACCAAGCTCTCGAAGAACAGGGATGTCATCGTTTTGATGTGAGTCTGGGAATCAATGATCCTGGTGAGTACAATTATAAGCTATCATAGTGTGGATGAAAGTCAAAGCTGTCTAGTGAGGAGTCGTTCCCGCGAAAAAGCTACAATTTCCAAATCCATAGACAGGGGACTACGTTCAGTTTCAATGGGGAAAAATAAAAAGCAGGGAGTACGTGTTTTGTCGCTCAACTATAGCGTGGCGCTCGACTCTCAAAATGCAATTTAACCGCGACAACGACAAGTCAATGTCAGTGAATCCAGATAGGACCATTGACAAGAGAAGCGGGTTGGCTAGCTCAGACTGAAACCATAATCATTCTTCAGAATGAATCGGCAACATGGATGCTACAAAAAGTATTGATGTTTCTTGTAAATGTAAGTAGTTGGAGTACAAAAATGACTATTGCAGTCTGTTTCAAGGAATTGTTCTTCAAAGTTGTTGTGTATTAATTTCAACTTCGCTTGACAAATCTACAACCGACTGTTGTTGGAAATATCATGTCTGTTCTCGAAGATAAATCCTACGTGAAGTGAGTTTTTATGCTTGCTATCCTCTATCGGGTCAATAGAAGAACTATTTTTTGCTCGAAAAATTATACAACGAACCATGTTGAACATCATGATCATAGTTCCCTAGCATGTTATACAACACCAATCTCATGGACTTACAAGGTGATGGAGAAGCAACAGTCTTCTTGACCTGCTCAAAATATATTAGCATCATGTACATCCCATCACCTTACCTTTACCGTCATTCTTATAGAATTTTAGTGTCTGACACATTCGAAGTCCACCTTTTGTTGACGAGAAGTAACTCCACCGTGAACTCCTCTACTCCAACACAGTTTGTGGCGTTGATGAGAAGTAACTCCACCGTGAACTCCTCTACTCCAACACAGTTTGTGGCTTCTTCGAGTCGCTAGGAGAGTTTTCCTCCATGCTCTTTTTGAAATCAAAGTCGCCACTCTCAGCTGGATCGTCCCCGATCTCCACTTCAACGGACTGGAAATCCTCCGACACTTGGCCCATCTGAATACCGGCAATTTCCTGTGGGGTCAGAATTTGGGACGTAGTTTTCAATCTCATGCTCTTGAGTACTATCCGAGATGTCAAATTGGAAATGAAATTCTACATGCTCTATAATAATCTCATTGGCCTTAGAAACTTACTCTCCCTAAGATAATAATTGAAGAACAAATATTTTTGCGGTCGAACAACAAGCCCAGCTACTACTAGCATATCAACATTATTGAATCTGTACAAGCAACAGCACATTGAAGTGTAATTGATACCTTATCAGTGCTTTCCAGCTGTTGAGAGTAGGCCATTTGGAGGCTGCGCTCGCTTGGTCGCCACAACATCATGATCACCATGAGCGGAAGTTAGAGATTGGTTCATGTGCAATGCCCAGCATAAGGTTGGCTCAGGATTCGGTATACTAGTAACTACGCTGCTCTGACAGCACATTATATGCGATCAAGAAATACTAGTAACTACGCTCTGACAGCACATTATTTGCGATCAAGAAATTTTGCCTGGTCCTTTGACATTAGGAAATGCACGAACATAGATTTAGATAGGTAGTGATATCGAAGTTCAAATCATCTTATTTCTCAGCATAAAGGAAGAAAAAGCAGCAGTGCGAGAGGACATCTGTAAAGATGAATCGGGACTCCCAGTTGGCAGCGAGCTCCGTTCGTCGCACAACAATGGTCTCGTAAGCCACAAGAGCAACTGTGACACCAACCACCAGCATAAGAGCCAACCGTAAGGATTGATACACTTCTACTTTCACCAGCTGTCGCTTCTCGTTCAAGTCCTGTGTTCGTCGTGAGAGTGTAAGTTGGTGAGGTTCACGGTACATGTGTCAGTATATGTGTCAGTGTATGTGTCAGTATATGTGTCAGTGTATGTGTCAGTATATGTGTCAGTATATGCGTCAGTGTATGTGTCAGTATATGTGTCAGTATATGTGTCAGTATATCTATGTGTCAGTATATGTGTTCATCGCAGCATGCTGCATTATCTTCAGTCTGCGTCAAGAAAGGCATGATCAAAACTGTTGCTACAAATATAAAATTACCGTAATCGTTTCCTGCAACGCGCTCAAGATCCAGACATAGATAACGGACACGAAAAAGCTTCCTGGAGTGACGAAAAGGAGGATTTTCCAAGCCTCATATTCATCATTGATTCGGTTCTGGGTCATCAACGCCATCTGCCTAATGCCATCCGAAACGATAAAAGCGATCACCGGAGGATGAAAAAAGCGGAAAAGAAGGGGGAAGATGGTCGTGGTGTGATACTTGAGTAGTTTCTTATCGACTACCAAATTGTTGTTCAGCCACTTCGACCTGCTCACGGCAAAACCACAAAGATTTAATCACAAATACAAACTGACATTTTCTAAGTGCTTTACCGTTAGCACTGCGTCAGAAAATATCCTTGATCAACGCGAACTCATAAAATCCCATGACTCGAATCAGGGTCTTTCCTTCCAGTCGAGGCTTGGTGACACCCAATCCCAAGCAGGCCAAAAGAAGGACCCCATAGCAGAGGCCTTGTTTCGCAACAGTGCCGAAGCTGGCTAGGGCCATCATGGACCACCAACGATGACCAAGGAAGTTCCAGTGGAAGAGAGAGATGTACCTGTAAGGATTCAAGTGGAAGAGAGATATGTACCTGTAAGAAAGTTCCAGTCAAAGAGAGAGGTGTACCAGAGGTGTACCTGTAGTAGTTCTTGAAGTTTCTACTTCTAAGATCGTGGATTGCCGGAAAAGAAAAAATGAGCAGTGTAATAGCTTATTCTTGACCTGACTGCAAAAGATACAGGATAGGATAAGATAGGATAGGATAGGATAAGATAGGATAAGATAGGATAAGATAGGATAAGATAGGATAAGATAGGATAAGATAGGATAAGATAGGATAAGATAGGATAAGATAGGATAAGAGAGGATAGAAAAGAATAGAGTGTCTTGAGGCCAACCACAGGTGATAATCCAATTGAGTAAGTAACCAAGCCTTCAAGATGATCGGATCCCCATCAAACTGAAAATATTACCAGCAAGCCGCTTCCAACAGACCTGCAAGAATCGCGACAGTGATGTAATGGTGGATGTTGAACAACACATCTGCCCATGATTTGCACCAGACTCCCCAGACAGCCAACAATCCTACGTAAGCGACGAGGAGTATGAAAGTGTTGTTCACGTAGGTAGGTAGGTAAGTAGGTAGGTAGATGGTAGGTAGGAAAGTATCTCTTCGCAAAATGCGCTCTAGTGCATAGAGGTACTGCACTTGTTATAATAGCAAGAAGTACCTCTATGCAAGTATATCAACTGTTCGCTCGTCAGAAAGCTTTCTTACTCGTAGTACACCGATCTATGCATAATACCGCAGTATAAGCCATGAGCAGGAACCCTTTCATCTATGAAGACAGCCTCATGAAGTAGCCAAAGCCATTGCCGTAAGCAAGTAAAAATAAAACGCCAGCTTCGGACTCTCTTCACCCGGCAGCCATCCTGCAACAGAGGTCGTAGAAAGTTCACCCGCAGAGAATTTGAAGGGCAGGTTTTTTTCTGCACAGTTTGTTTGCACGACGAGTGGTTAGAGGTGAAGGCATAGTATTCGAGAAGAAGAAGTACTTACAACATGTGTGAAGGAGGTGACGGTATACTGTACTGACTGTTGTAGCTCAACGCCAACGAACAGTACTTCGTTTCCCCGATACAACTTAGTGGCAAGTTTAGACTCACTTCTAGTAGTCTCGAATAGTCTACAATATTTACATTTCGTTTGCATGCTGATAGGTCCTGATGTGTCCTCTCATTAACAGGAAATTAAATCCACCTGCTCTCGTCGTCATAATAGTAAAGCCCAGAGGACACAGGTTTGTAGACCTTAGACGCGCTTGCACCCTCTAGGTCCGCCAGCGTCCAACTATACGCATCTCCCAGAGTGAAGGCACCATCCTTATCACAAAAGCTAACACCCGTATCGGAGAGCTGTAGTGTGTTGTGGAGGGGAGGGTGTTGAGCGTTGGATGTGTTTGCCGTCAGATGGTTGGTGTGTTGAGCAAGTCAGTAGAAGGTCCATGGTTGAAATCCACTCGGTCGCGATGACGATAAAAATTGTCGATGTTGGCATAGCATTACCACATCCTTACCTCCCAGTCAAAATAAGTAACTCTAATTATCTGCACCTTCACGAGTTGAGAATGGGAAAGGACAGCGAGGCCTAAGCCTTTCATCTGCGACGCATCGAAGATGCGGGCATTGGTTTTCGCCGATGTTAGAGCAAAACAATTCAAACAGCTACACAACTTACAACCATTTCTTCACACTTTTCAACCAGTTCTAAATTGATTGTGAAAGCTAACACGACCATTTGACTTCGTCACCTTGCTCAGGAGCCTTTATCTTCTGGTGCTATGTCTATGATAGAAGCTTGGTACTAGAAAATAAAATTCACAGTCCATGCATCATCAGCCATAAATCGACAAGCTGCACAGGTCCCGAAACGAACATCGTGGGTGTGCTCTCCTTCTTCACCGTCACAAAGTGAACTACTTCCAGTGATTTAGCCTCCGGAAACTTGGGAAACTTTGATAGCCATGTTTTCTCAGCGCCTCCCACGTGGGAATAGAGCAGTACTGCAAGGGAAAACGAGGAGAGAAGGTGACGCAACATCTTGTTGGTTTTGAGTGTTGATGATGTTGTTATCTTGTGGTTGGTTTTTTGTTCCTTTTGAGTGTTCCCTTGTTGCTTTGATGATGCTGCTGTTGGGGTTGTTTTGGACTTGTGGTTTTTGGAAAAACTCGTGAAGATCCGGTCTTTGTCGTTGTTGATGAACTGTGATGTTGAGGTGTGAGGAGGAGATGAACACCTTAGTTCTACTAGGCGTGGATACACTTCGAGATGAACTATTTGTTTCTTCACTGTAGTAGGTCTCGAATCGTTGAATCTTAGATCTCTCGCAGTGCTCTCGTGAAGATCAGAGCTCTATGTTCTCGGAACAGCGGGTAAACACTCAAGAAGAGCACGCCACCAAGAGGCGGGGAATCCGTCGCCAGCAGGAACACACGAGATAGCTATCCTCGCTCATCTATGAGCCACGGCAAAGGACAGAAGTCAACATCTTGTTGTTCGTCGGGGTTCTAGTGAAACGAAAGACGCATTTCTTCATTACTCCTTTTAGACCAAATTTTTCAAGGACAATTTCCATCTATCGAAGTTCTTTCATAGTGATCAAAAATGAATGGAGTACTCCTCCCATGGACAATTGTACGAGTGGTCGTGCGGCTTGGAAAAATCTCATAGATGTAAGGGGAAACAGATATTATACGTGTGTGATATAAGAAAGTAAGTGTGGGGTTTGAGATAGATCTCTCTAGAAATACAAATAGATATAACGACTAACAAGCCGTTCTTGACTAGCAACATCACAGTGCGAACAACTACAATAACAATCGGTCGATTTGGAAAAGCGAAACACGATGCCGGGGAATCTTTCTACAAAAAACAAATCAAAGTTCCTGCTTAGCTAACCAGAACACACTATTTATTTTGTACGTCCTCGTTTTATATTCACATTCACTGTCTTCACAAAAAGGCTTTCTTGGAAACTCAGAAGTTAGTATCAATCCCCTCTCTGAGTGTTTGTGTTTCATATCCAAAACATAATTCAGTATCTGCGACGTTTCTGGCCTCCAGCATTATCATCGGCGTCGTACACCTTGTTGTACACTTCCTTGTTGTACACTTCTTCAAACCTGATTTTTTTTTCGGTGACATTGATTTCCTCATGAGAAATACCAAACCTTCAGATCGAACTCGAAGTAGATAAAGACTTTTTATCTCAAAAGAACCCTAGGAAAAGTCTAAGACTGTGAGTACACTTCGACTTTCCACTCGTTTTTTTCGAATCGGAATCGCCACTGAGCCAACCAACTTCCTTGAAAAGAGGTTCCATCCCGATGCCTCGTCCAGCTAGCTTCGTACCTAAGAGCAGCACCGCTCTTTTCCACGTCTAGTAGGAAATCATCATCATCGTATTCGACTATTGTGCCCATTTGCTTGCCCTTGATGGTCTGATCCCACCATTCCATCAGCTGTTCCAAACTCTCGGCTTTTTGAGTGCCACCGCTATAGAAAGCTACATCTGATTTGGCAAGAGGGAAACACAAGTGGCAACAGGTCTTCTACTCAACATCATTTCAAAAATCACAAGCGATTATTCGTGCGTGTAAGGTAGTAGAAGAATATAGGGAAGGAAGTATGACAAGCATTGATGAGATGAAGATGTACAACTAAGTACAAGTAGACGTTACCGTAATATTATCACCGTATTATACACGCCCACAAAATAAAAGAAATCCTAGTAATATAACAGCCTACTTTCCAATCGAGTATCTTCCAATACAGAAATAACAGTTTCGTTTCCAAGCAACCAACACCGAGTAAGAAGTATTTATACCCTCTGTGAATATCTTGGCAAGCGGAAAGTTTTGGCCACTTTTCCATGCTTTAGCGTAGATTTTCATACACTCCGACACGCGCTCCATCGTCAAAACAGGTTGTCCTTTGGTGTCCTTGCTGGCCATGAACTCTGGGCATTTCCTGCTGCTCGTCGACGATGTTGTTTTGTAAGATTCTGCTTCTGATGAGCCCACTTCAACAACTTCTGATGATGCTATACTTTCTACATCCTTATTGTTGGAGTACATCAACCTGCGCCTGGCCTGTTGTTCCTCTGCCTCAGAGTAATCCTCTGCCACTGAAGAGGCTGCATCAGTGTAATACAAAGGCTCGGATACAAAGGATTCTTCCATCTTGGAAGATGATATCTCCATATCCGAGACAAGCAGGTAGCTTTCGCCCGTAGGTTGCCGTCTCCTTTTATCAAAAGACGAGCCCGAGCCGTTAATTGATGCGTTGACGATGGTACTGTAGCGTGACTGATTCATCTGATGAGAATGAGCTGTGATACTATTCGATTTTTCAAGTATTCATATTGATTACTTGAAACTTTCTTGCAACCCACCGTCCTGAAAGTTACAGATGTGAAAAGAAAGATTACTTATAACTTTCATTCAACCCACCGCCCTGAAAGTGAAAAAACCGAAAAAAGCATCAAGAAGTTTTGAACCGAAAAAAAGCATCAAGAAGTAGTTATCCTACCTGTTCTTGCCTCTGTCCATTAACCACGGCTACAACAGGTCTGTACTTGGCTGCTCCTTTTCCTCGACGTTGACTGCCGTTCTTCCCCATACTACTTGGACTTGGTACACCGGTACCAGTACCCCTACCTCCATGAAGAACACGACCAGCAGTTTCTTCCTCCACCTCATTCCCACTCTCATTGGTCACTTCTACATCTTCACTTCGTTCTCCTTCATCGTCGTCCTTGAAGCAATTCGAGTTCATCCCCACTTCTTCTCGGTCTTCTTGGTTCGTCATTTTTTATGCTATAATTCTCGTAGACTAAGTGTAAGGGCTAAAAAACTCGATGTTTCTGCAGTAAAAGAGGGGTCTTCGTTTTTATCTCCACTGAGCGTACAAATACCGGAATTATGATTGATACTCCCACGCTGCCAGTCTGAAACCAGACGGGAAGATCAAGATCGTTCCCCACTGCAAAATGGAACGTCGTTTTCATGGTCCTCGTCCTACCGTCTTTTGCATGAAGTAATAATGCGCAACTAGCTCAAGCGCATCTTATAGCATGTGCAAGGACCGATGACAGGAGCTGCGACCATCGTCAGTGCGTCTGTAACAGTACTATTTCCGAACTGTCAGCAGCGAAACCATATGGCAAATGGTTGACGTCATGCACCCCACCTTCTTTGATGACGCCTGATTTTGTGCGTGTGATGCTTCACGATCACGACCAGGTAAGCTCTGACACTTGTGCTTAGGATTAGGATTAGGATTCAGTCCGCCGCCCGCAGTTTTACCTTGTGCTTTGCCAAGGCTTCGCGATTCGCAGGAACGTTATGGTTGAAATCACATGTTAAAGGTCCTCTTCTAGGTTATGATGCAACTTCTTGTATGCAGATAATCATGATTTAATTGATCATGATCATGTTCCTCCTAGCTGCATCGAAAGACGACGCACAAAAATTACAGCATTGTTTCACTCAACTTCTTCTAAAACATTGAAGATGAAGAAGTTGAGTATTTCATCGATAATTGAGGGAGTGTCAGCAGACAAGGATCTTGAGTCCTGGGGAGGACTATGTGAAGAGGAGTCACAGTGAGACATCATGTTAGTTGCTGGTCAACATCGAGTAGTTGTATGAACTTCTAGTAGTTACTCTAGATACCAACAAGCTACTCTATATTTTGCATGTTGTTGGAAGATCGTGTCTCATCGTTCCTGCGACGAAGACAACATACTACGACGTCGCAAGAACCAAGCGAAACCGAAATAGATTCGGTTCTTAGAAAGATATACAAAGATTCCAATGGTCGGATGAGGTGTACAAAAAGGAACCAATTGCGGAAGATGTTGAAGAGTCCTTTATCTGGGTACACATAGGTGAAGAAATTGCGAAGTTAACTTGTCGTGTCTAAAAAACTCGTTTTTTGCAGAAAACATACAGTCTCTATAACTACGAGAGCCACAATAGATGACGTTTCATTGTTGATGCAGACCTATAATCGTAGGCAAGTATGAATAAGACACACATGTAAACAGAATAAGAACTATAACATGTCTACACAAATATTGAATCGGTCCTCGAACTGTCTGACCTTTATTATTTTGCCTTTCAACACACTATTCAGACACAACGTTGTGCAGCTGCAGAACAGATTGCAAATATCTGCTCCACAAAACCACGAAAGTCCACACTGAAATGAAGGGTCCATCAATTCCTAGCAACGTAGTCCTCCTCCAGACGTTGCACTTGTACTGGCTGAGTCAATCGTGGGACAACAAAACACCGTATTTATACCACTTTTACATCCCCATCAGACTCCCCAGCATTGGATTTGCAAACCGCATGGCTCTTACTTGCGGGTGGGGCACGTCGGCAAAACTTTTTACTTGGTAACTCAATTTTCTGAGATGCCGGTTGCTCTCTATGACGTCCTCTTTTTCGCCTTTGATCCATTCTGGATCTTTGCTGCATTTCCACCTCAAAAGGGCTCCCTTATTCCGCATTTGGTCGCAATAATTTGGCGCAGAAAAAATCGTGCACAAGCGACCCTTGTGCTCTAGTTCGTACCTGTAAAGGTAGTGGAATGTGATGCGGGATGAAAATCGCCTTCCACAAAATCATGTCATGATTATAAGGATGAAGGAGAGGAGGAGACTTACTTAGTTACATGGCATGGGAGAAATCTCAGAAAAGATAGAAGATTGCTCTGAATTTTCCACTCAATGATGCTCCTGCCCACAAAGACCGAAACCACCTGCTAGGTTCCTACACCTAGAACAACGACGAGTAGAAGCACTACAACAGTGGAAAACAGTACCCTTCATCCTTCATTTCGTGACTTCGGACGACCATTGTCAAATCATTAGTTTTCAAGAAATTCTCGGTCACATCCGGTCCAAATGCAACGCCGACACCTCGTTTTGAGGGCATCCTCCCTAAAGTTGAGCCTGGATCTGACCACAGCATCTCTACTATGCGACCACTGTCTGGAGGCTCGCCGATTCTGTGCCGTTTTGGAAGATAATAGAGGTCAAGTTCTTACAGTTTAAGATCTACTTCGTCTGCGTAGGATATCATCTTTGCTTTGAAGTGGACAATGGACAACTAGATACACGACAAGAACGAATTGAACTACACGGAGGCGAAGAAAAACAAGAACAAATTTCGTAACACAAAAAAATTTGTACCTATCCTCCTTTTCCAAATCAGCTAGAGTGACGTTATCTTGGGAAAAGAGGCCACCATGGACGATAAAAACCTCCTTATTGAAGACGTGACAAAGCGGGAGGTAGCAAAAGACTTCGCAGAAGAGGTTGTACCTGAGAAGAATTGTGTCTATGCTGGGACGGATGAAGGTACTGAGAGAGCGGGAAGAGCAAATGTCAAGCATGTCAGTGTGCATCAATCATACAATTTTTCAATTTCAAGGGGTCTCGCTTGAGCCAGAACGCTATGTGCGTCGGCGTGGCGAAATGGGTATGTAGCCTCCCTCGAAGACACGAATGAGAGAGTGCTAGCCTACAGAAAAGGAAAGCGGAAAAAAAAGTACAATTGCACGTCGAACTTGTTCCGTGTTTCACCTTCGAAGCCATAGAGCTTATTCATGTTCCTCGTTTCGTGATTACCACGTGCCAGATGGACCTGAAGTGGATTAGAATGGTTCTTGGAGATGATTGTGCGAGTAGAACTCAATCTTCATCGAGAGTCAAAAATTAAAAGCATCTGATACGACCCTATAATTAGATATTTATATATAAGGACCATTGGTGTAAAACAATAAGAGACTACAAACCACAGAAATTATTATGAGTTGGAGCTGGTAAATGTATTAAAGCGAATCTTCAGTACGTGATCCGGAAAGCACAATTTCCAGACAAAGAGTGCCAAAATCACTTCCACCGAGAAAGAGCCTCGGTCCACGAAATCGCCGTTAAAAAGATAAGGGTTCTCCTTACTTGGCAGGCCGTTTAAGTTCCAAATATTCAACAAGTCGTAATATTGCCCGTGCACGTCGCCACAGGTGGTGAATTCACTTCCTTCCGGAAAGTCAATGTACTGCACGGTCTTGCAACCGGTTTTTAGCATCTTCAGTGTGTCGAGAACAATTTGATAGGCGCATTTGATATGGATAACTTTTTCGTCTTCCATGTACTTGAGGAACTCCTTGATCCACTCAGGAGTGAGGTTCTCAGGACCCGGATAGACTGGTCCTTTATAGCTGTCGTCGATCGTCATACCTGAATTGGGAGTGAGTCGGGAAGGACATCGACGAGAGCTATACCTAGATGAACAAGGAGGAAAGTTAAATCGGAGTACAACTACATTTAGAATTTGAATTAAATTACAGTCGCACAGGAGTTGCTACCTTCCACACAAACCTTTATGTGCACAGGTCTCAAAAAAGTGAAAGTACCTTCCACCGCTTTGGCACATGTCTCGCTTACTGGTGCTGTGATGTCACTAGCTATGGCGGCTGCGAATTTCTGTTGCTGTACGGCTTTTTCGCACTCCTTCAATTTCGCTCTAGCATCCTTGTCTTGTGGGGCTAATTTGGTGAGTTGCTTGAATGCTTTTAAGGCGTCCTTGTACTTCAGTAAGGCGTATCGTGCAGAGCCGAGACGATAGTAGGACTTGGAATAGGTTGGGTCGACCTGTCCGTTCGGGGAGAATGAGGTGGAGAAAGAAGTAGATACTTTCGGGGAGAATGAGGAGGTGGAGAAAGGCGTAGATAGAATTGTCTTTTCTTGTTCGATGGAACAGGAATACATACAAAATTCGAAAAGTCAAGTAAGGGTAAGACTTTCAATTGAACACAACCATAGGACGCCCTGTCCTTGTAGCAAATTATCACGACTTCTACAACAACCATATGTGATGTATTCAAATCGTAAATCAGTATAATAAATCTGATTCTACCTCGCACGCCCTCTCCGCGTCCATAATAGCGGATCCGAAGTTCTCGAGTTTTATATGACAAAAAGCTCTATTGGAGTAGCAAATTGCAAGGTCTCTGGCTACTTTTTTCATCATCTCACAATCCGGTGGTGCATGTATGCCACCTTCTGATGACTGAGAGTCGTTTTGTGATGATTGGTGACCATTAGAGGTCTGGTCCGTCATTGGTTGATCGCTGGCCGTTGATGTTGTTCCATTGGTCTGATGACTACCATTACTAGCATTCTCTTGTGAACTCCCATTAGGTGCCCCTCTTCTTGCGTCTTCGGCATCTTCTCTTACTATATCTTCCATGTCGCTGCCTTCGGCCGCTGTGCTGGGATCTAATGCCGTTGTCATTTCGGCATCCGAGGATGCTGCAGTAGATGGCGAGACCTCGCCATCGCTGCTACCGATGACGCTTATGCCAGCGGGAATTAGAAATGAATGTTTGTAGGATTAGGATGAACACGATGAGGATCATATAAACAAGCAGTGCGGGAATGTTTTTTATGTGATTTTTACGAGCTCAGATTTTCAGCGAGTATCCTATAGTCTCAAGTACTGCCATCGATGCAATCTATGGAAATGCCGACTCTTCGAAGTTGGTTCCACGAAGCTAAAAATAGAAATGAATCACAAGAAGAAATTGGCTGCTTAACTTCCCTCCTGTCGCTTGTGGTGCCGCTCCTGTCGCTTGTGGTGAGGTGCTGGAGCATGCAGGTGCGTCTCCCACAAATAAACTCTTGCACTCCTGTACATCTTCAAAATTGTCAATGGCCGCTGAATATTCAGTTATTGCCTGTCGGAACTCTCCCGCTTTAAAGCAGTCATTTCCTGCTTGCTTTGAGGCTAGGCCGGACTCCACCAAAGACTCAGAGGAGTCCCGCACAGGAAGCAACGGGTTACCTACGCTATCAGCAGTCGCCATATTTTTGATACAACTATGTGGGACCTCGTGTCTTCTCCTAGCGAAAGTGGTAGGTAGATGAGGAGGTGAATTTGAATTAACAACTATGTGAGTATATTAAGAGGGACTATGTAGATGGTTCCTATATCAAGATATGGTCGTCAAGATATGGTCGTTGCGTCGTGGTGTCGTTTCTTTTTTCACAGACAAATCGTTGTGGGGACTTTGAAAAATCAAATGCTTGCAGAAATTGAGGGGAGCCTAATGGACTCAGACAATCTTCGTAATATTCAAGCAGCACTAATTTATTTGACGACAGTTAATTACTTCTAATTCAGCTGTGATAAATTCTCTACTACACAATAATTGAACAATGTAGTATTAAGAGTCAGACGACGCTGCGCCCCTCCTCGTCTAGGTAGTCGCCGCCTCCTGCTTTGTTGACGAGAGAACGTACGTGTCTTGTGAGATGAATTTCGGCGCAAGAAAGAACTCTGCTGCGGCATAAAGAAAAAGACAGACGAATCACCTTACATCAAAATTACAATGAGACGACTGAGTCATTACTACAACCGCATTATCTTCTATCTGTGTCTCCAAGGTGTAGCGACAGGAACCAAGCAGCATCAAATCAATACTAAGACGAAGAGAACCTAAGAAACTTCTAAGAACAGCAAAAGGAACGAACCAAGGTTAACATCAATTGTTTCAGCGTGGAGACTTCTGATCGTGTGACAGTAACTTTGATATTGTTGATCTCCATCAAATTCAATTGCAACATCATTCTTTTGAGACCCAGAACATCTACTCTGGCTCGCCTCGATCCTTTGAACACGATGAGTAGTTGTTCGCCGGTGGTGTAGACACAATCTTAGAAGCGATTAAGCTTCATCTTCCTTATCAGGCTTATCTATTATAGATCAAAACAATAATCAGTTCCGTAGTGACACGTCCATCTCGTTCTTTTCATCTGTTGTTTCTTCAGCATCTGCTGAGTAAGTCTCAGCTGAGTGAGTACCATGTGGCTACAACATGCATGAATGCACGGAGGTATCTATACTGTAAAAATGTCATTTTGGTTCATTTCCAGATTCATCGTCCATGCAATGATTCTCGCTACATTTTCATGAGCATTTCTCCTGAGGAGTAGACACCTCCCTGTACAAAATGAACTCTCAGTTTGTCGTTATCTTTGAATGTACTTTGAAAGAGGTTTGCATTAGTTTGTCTTTGCACCATCGTTACTATCACTATTCCAGCTTGATGTCTCAGACTATTGTCGATCATACTGTCTGAAAATGGTAAAAAGCAAAGAAAAAGCGTGGTACTGGTACGTTCCCGCGCAAGTCTACTACAGTGCAAAAATCAACGTATGAGCGATAAAAGAGTTCAAATTTTCTCTCAAACGGACTTTACCAAATTGTTGTAACCTACTATCTCTAGTACAAGCACATCGTCATTTTTCGTCAATCAAACTACGGCTAGAGTTTCTCAATCTCTAAGCGTTTCAAGCTAATGTTTGTAAGAATTCGATTTTCACCTTGGCGATAGTACGATAATCAGTAACCAGAATCATAACGTGGAACTTGAACTTGTTGAACTTGATATTACTTGTTCTTGTAGTAAAAATACTCTTGATCATCGTAGACGTTGTTCTCCCTCCTCCTGTCACACTACTAGGAACTAAAACTACGGGAGAGGAGTCAGATGAAGTGAAATTTAACTAATCCACTAGTAGAACTAGATTTGCTTCAGATACGCTTTTAAGTGCACTGTGATTTCCTGGGTTGGAGGAGAGCCCTTGGGCACGAACCCGCCTGAGAGCGTGATCCTAGCCGTCGTCCGCGTCCACTGGCCTATTCCTGACAGTAGACCAAGCTCCAAACCTCCCACAACAATTGGCGACTCCTCTGGCCTCAGGTAGGTAAAGCCGATGCGCTTGTCTGTAGTTGGTGTGGTGGTGGTGGGCGTGGGTGGTTTGGAGTCTTGGGGGAGAATCATGGAGAGTATGGGGAAAGGTTGGAAAATGAAGGGAAGCGGCGAATGGCACGATAAAAAGTGAGGTCCTTTCTGTTCATCTTTTCTATTGACTAATTCATCCATGATCCTTTTACTTTTTTGATATGCCAACACAGAAGAAGCAGAATATCTCTGTGATCTGAAAAACTAAGTAACTGTAACTACTTATTCAAGAGGATGATCAAAATTCAAATACTCGTCCCCGCAGCCACTGTCCCCTTCGGTTCGGAAATCGAAAAATACTTCCCATCCTCTATTGCGATCTCGAAGTTACCACTAGCGCAAGCCTTAGGATCTACAGCAGCCCCTGCTGGCGGTGTCGTGCCGCAGCCTAAGATTAGGTACTGCGTCAATTCGGCAGTGCCCTCTGGAAAAGTCAGATAAAGCTCTTTCCTCTGGGCGTCTTCGAACCGCGTCGTTCCTGCAGCCTCCATTTCCGGTACTGCAAGGTTTTAGAGCAGTCACAGTCTATCGGTCGTAAGTGTAAGTTCTCTTGTTGAGCATGCAACCTATTGAAAAAGAAGCACTATTAGGTCTTCCCAAGATGATAAGACTGACTCCTTCCTTCATCTTCTCTAGATAGCAAACCAACCTATTGAAAAAATTTGAAGCACTATTAGGTCTTCCAAAGATGATAACAAGACTGACTCCTTCCTTCATCTAGATAGCAAACCAATCTATTGAAAAAGATTGAAGCACTCTTACAGGTCTTCCAAAGATGATAACAAGACTGACTCCTTCCTTCCTTCATCATCTACATAGCAAACATCAAAACAAACCTAATAACCTGCTCAACATGCCTTAATCTTTCATCTTCCCTTCTTTCAAGAGTCGACTCTGTGACAACCCATCTTCGAACTGCGATGGCGCGGTCATATTCGATGGCAGTTGCTCCACTCTCAAGTCGTATATCGCGTACATCTGGTACAGGAAACTATGCCCATAGAGATAGAGGTACATCGGGATTAGAGGAAAGAGTGGGAGATGGAAACTATGCCCATAGAGATAGAGGTACATCGGGATTAGAAGAAAGACTGGGAGATGGAAACTATGCCCACAGAGATAGAGATACATCGGGATTAGAAGAAGAAAGAGTGGGGAGAGGCGGGGATGTAAAGGATGAAGTAGTGGTATAGTAGTTAAAAGTTGTTCCCCTGGATATATTTATATGTGTTGGCCATGTATGGCCCAAGCCTCTCGGATGTCGTGGCGTTCTGTTCTCAGTGGCTCACACAAAAGCCTCGTGCTCGACTGTCATCGGGATGATCTCACAAGACATGAATGTCAATGATCATGAATGCTACTTCCAATGCACATTCAACGCATAATCATAATGATCAAGGTGTAGACTAGGCACGGCTGTGCTGATCCTAGTCGTATGATGCATGTTCAGTCCGATCCCTTCTGACATGCTTATGTTGCTGATGTATGACTCATCTCACCCAATGAACCAAACAGGGACTACACCAGCCAGAGATCGCAAGTCTCAGGCAGGAGTATCAAGGTTTGCTTGCATTCAAGATTCTGACTTTGTGTCTCCACTGAGAAACGAACCAAGGCACGGAGGCCTGTGTTCTTGTGGTCCAACACTGGTCTAACCCTTGAGCGGCAAAAGTAAAATAAATTGGAAGTAGTGTAGTAAAATAAACAAATCCATCAGAATGTCCTGCGAGGCCAAGGGGGTCCATCCTCAAGAAGCTGGGACAGAAGTCCGACTGGCGCGAGTGGCAACGAGCCGTACGTCAAGAAGCTAGTCGCCTAGGCTTACTTGAGAACTACACGAATGTAGTCAACGTGCCGGCCGTTCCACATGGTGTGCCGCAAGGTAACACCAGTCGCGAAGAAACGACCCGCCAGAAGTGGCGCAACCTGAAAGACGTAATCATACGAAGTCTGAAAGGTGCGGCCAGGTCGTTTGTCGACAATCGGAATAACGATGGCGCGGTGGACGAAATGGATGCTGGTGAAGTTGTTGTTCTACTTCGTGACCAAGGGAACTTCAACGCGAACAATCGCCAGGAGCAGCGCACGAAGGTCAAGCCGTTGTCGGAGGGACTGATGAAGTTCCACAACAGCGACCAGCCTGCAGATGTCAAGGAGTTTCTCTCTAAGATCCGCGACATCTTGAACCAATCGCCCACCGTCTTCCCGCCGGATGCAGATCTGCCCGATGCTGATCAACAGAACGGTGCGATCCTGCTGAAGTTGCCTGAGTTGTTCTGCAAGAACTTCATAGCGACTATCGAGCGGATGCAAGATTAAGATGTCCTGACATTTGACCAAATTGGAGACCGACTTGAGAAACGTCTCACAACGTTGATCGAGGAGGGAACCTACAAAATTGAGAACGACTCCTTCGGGAAAGCGTTTCCGGTCAATGGTCAGGAAACCTCGAACAAGCGTCCTCGTGATGACAAGAATGAGGATGATGACGAGGTAGAGGCCAATATATAAGGCAGATGGTAAGGCCTTCATTTCCGCTAACGCCCTCAAGCGTTTCAAGCAGAAAGAAAAGAAGAAGGCAATCGCCGAGGTCTACAACTCCTACGGGTACCAACCCAAAGGAGGAAAGAACGGCGGACAAAAGCCGAAGAAAGACAAAGGAAAAGGAAATAAGAATACCTATCCACCCCGCTGCGCTTGCTGCCACAAGGTCGGACACAAGTCCTCCGAGTGCTGGCATAACACGCAAGCCCTTCAACAAGGACCGGGAAGCTGGACTACCGGAGCCCCATCTAGTAGTTCTAGAGGCAAAGGTGGAAAGGGTAATAGCAGTGGCATGATCCACATGTCGCAGGTTGCGGAGATGCTCAACATCATGAACTCGCACAGTCGAAGCTGAGCGACGGAACCGTACGAATTTGGGAAGTGTTCGCTGAATTTCGAAGAAGATGAAATAATGACAAATGTTGATAATCATGCTGATAGCTACAATACAGATGGATATAGTTTCACAACCTTGAATACTAGAACGTCAGAAGATGCAGCCCTAGTTGATAGCTGTGCAAACAGATATCTGCCACGACACAGAGATGATTTCGATGAAATTGGTAACAACATTTGTAGAATAACAGGTAGCGCAGGCACTAAAGACGGAAAAGTCGGAAAACTCAAGAACAACGCACTTGGACTAAAGAATGGAGTTTACTATGATTCTCTACCTGGAAACATAGACCGCATATTGCCATGGTTAGGAGACGGAAACTGCTCGCAATTAGGGTGGGAGTTCAACTTCAAAGGCACTGGTGGCTGTATCGTGCACACGGACACCGACCAGATGCTACCCATCAGAGCTCACCCACGCTTGCAGCTACCCGCACTCGCATGTAGTTTCTTTGAAAACAAACACGAAAGTGGTTTCACTTGTACATCAATAGAAGAAGGCGTCTCTAGTTGCTATCTTACGAGATTAGAACTACACAGGAGGCGTGGCCATTTTCACATAGATGGTCTACAAGTTAGTTGCCCAGAATGTGACCTACATAAAGGACAACGAAACCCCATGCAAAATCTAGAGACATAACTACCCACAAACCCGAACCCCTCAAACTACTTGCAATAGACTTTGCTGTAGGAATAAAACCTGTTTCAGTAAGATCTATGCGACGTGTTCTAGTTGTCATATGTGACGTAATTAAGAAGGCGTTTTGTCGACCGCTGAAGCTTAAAAGTGACTGCGTGGAGGAAATAGAACAAGTCATAAAAGGCATTCGACAGGACTACTCCTTATCGCTAGATGACAAGGCGGCATGGTTCATCCGGAGGGATGGAGAACCCGTCCTCGGCAGTGATGACATGACCAAACTCATGCAATCGCTGCGGGTCTCAGACAATCCGGCCGCTCCTTATAGTCCGGAAATGAGTGGGACTGTTGAACGTTTTACGCGGGCCTTGTTTGGCAGCGTGAGAACAATGCTAACGAAGGCTGATCGACGTCTTTGGTGTTACTGTGTTCTGTTGAGTACGCTAGTGACTGCTGGGATCGTCTTCCGCATAATTACGCTAAAATGCCAGAACACGACGGAAAGAGTCCAATAGAGATTCTAGAAGAAAGAACTGGTAGAAATTCTTCCAAAAGCAAAATCGGCACGCTCCGCCGATTTGGTTTTCTTGTTTACTTTCGTGAACAAATCCAAGCCAACACTCCTGAACCCAAGCTCTCGGCCAAATATCGCCGCGGCGTCTTCCTTGGACTCTGTCCGAAGTCGTCTGGTTGGTTGGTTGGTTGCTACTTTCGCTCATGACGATCGTTGCAAGCTTGGATATCGATGGGCGGAATACTCTACCCTAGATGTCAAGTTCAGAGAGGATTATCTAATAAAGGACATAGACTGGCTAACGCCAGATAGAAAGGGCTTTCACTATGAGTGCGATGAACTGGAAAACTTGCAGTGTGGAGCGTCGTCGCTGGGCTCCCCCTTGATTGGGCAGTCAGTGCAAAGGCTGGATCAGCAATCGGGGTTCTCTGGCACGGAGCGCGCCTCAGGTGGACCGACCGGCATTCCCGAAGAGCTATATGCTGAAACCTTAGACAAGAAGGCTGAATCCGACGCGGCTGACTCTTCTGAAGGTGTTTCACTTGAGGAGGGGAAAGTTGAAACGAAGGATCGGATCTCTGACTCACCTAGTCCGACTAGATCGAAAGCGCTATCTCCCGCACGTGTTGTGGCAGGCGAACGCCATACACACGGCAAGAAGCGTGGCCGACCGAAAGGAGCCACGGACAAGGCTGGAGGAAGGATTCGCAGAACAAAGAAACAGATGGAAGAACTCAGAAAGAGTCTGGCGCTGTTCGCAAGTGCTATTGGTGGCACGTATGAGATAGACGAAGATGAGGAAGTCGTCGAATCACATGTGATGCTGTCCGTTGCCAATGCATTAAAGAGTCCTGAAGCTGAAAAGTGGAAGGAAGTCATTGACATTGAGCATGCGAGACTACTAGCCTTTAAAACGTGGGAAGAAGCTACTGGCGAGCAGCTAGCAACCGCGTTACGGGCTCTACCAATTGCCATCATACTAACAAGAAAGAGATGTGGAAAATACAAGGCAAGGGCCTGTGTACTCGGTAATTTAGATCGTTCGGGAGAGCTAAACACCTTTGCTCCCGTGGTATCACGTGCCGCTAATAGGTTGCCCCTCACTTCTGCTGCGTCAGAGGGGGACTATGTGATCCCGTTCGATTTAGCTTCAGCGCTCCTCAGTGCCGAACTCGATCGAGATGTCTACTGCCGTCTTCCACCCATCTGGGCGAAACAGCATGGATACGAGATCGCGAAGCTCAAGAAAGCTCTATACGGCTTGAAGGACGCACCACGAGCATGGTTCAAGAGGTATCATGAGACTCTAGCCAGTCTTGGTTGGGAACCGTGTACTTCTGCACCTGGATTGTGGCGCAAACCGAGCAGCAAAGCACCGGGGAAGTTCCTGAAGATGTCTGTCTATGTAGACGACAATCTTGCTACAGGTCCTGACCAAGATGAGCCCAAGACCGAACCAGACCTCATTTTCACACGTGCTCCAGGCCGTGCGATTGAAGTCGAGTCAATTCTAACCCCCTGGGGTCTCGAATGGCTAAGGTTCGACTTCTTAGGTGCGATCGTGTACTATGGCCGTGAAGCTAAGCCGTTCAGACTGTGCATGGAGCAGTACATCGATAAAATTGCTAATAAGTATGAAGCTCAACTAGGGAAACCGGTTCACTCGCCCAATTTTGACGAAACAACTTTTCTTGAAGACGGGATCAAGATAGTTGATGGGTATCCCTTTCGTGAGGTAGTTGGTGCCTTACTATGGGTTGCTGTAACTGCGCGCCCGGATATCTCTGCTCCGGTAGCAGCGTTGGCTAGACATGTCAGTAAACCCACGTCAACAAGAATGGCCAAAGCAGCCAAGAAAGTCCTAAAATGCCTGGCGTCAACAAAAGACCAAGGAGTAGAATACTCACCAGAAAAGGAAGAAGAATTCAACAAAATACGCGAGAAACTTCTACCAGAAGGCAGAGACATGCCAGAAGTAAACATATTCAGTGATGCTGGTTTCGCCAACTGCATCAAAACAATGAGAAGCACAAGTGGCTCCATAATGTATTACAAAGGTACACCCATAGCGTGGAGGAGTAACCGCCAAACGGTTAGAGCCTACTCAACGGCTGAAAGTGAGTATATTGCAGCTTCTGACACGATAGTGCTCAGTGAGATGCATGACTTCACAGACTTCTATAAGCCTCTTCCAACCCAGTTGGTACACACACAGAACGGCTTGTCTCCCTCCTTAGACAGTGCTGCATTGTGGATAGACAACCAGTCTGCGACCACAACAGCCAAAGCAACAGACGCTCGTCCTAAAAGTAGGCACTATGCTTTACGTTCTCTAAGAGTGCGCGACGCTGCTAGTAAGATCGTGTTCTGTCCTACCAACCTGATGAAGGCAGACCCACTTTCGAAACTAACCTGCAGTGCCACTCAGCGTAGACTTATCCTACATCACGACACGTAGATAACCCAATAACCACAAGTAAAGAGGATGACTGCGATTCCTCTGATGATGAAACAGATGAGGATGGTTTAGCTTACTATAGCGTAATATATTCGGTTTATTTTGGTTTCTAAACCACCGTAGCCAGGTCACATACACTAAACAAGAGAAGTGACTACCCTGACTCAACACACAGTGAGGCGGTCATGTGAGACGGACTTCGACCCGCATCGATTGAGGAGGGGCGTTGGTCATGTATGGCTCAAGCCTCTCGGATGTCGTGGCGTTCTGTTCTCAGTGGCTCACGCAAAAGCCTCGCGCTCGACTGTCATCGGGATGATCTCACAAGACACGAATGCCAATGATCACGAATGCTACTTCCAATGCACATTCAATGCATAATCATAATGATCAAGGTGTAGACTCGGCACGGCTGTACTGATCCTAGTCGTATGATGCATGTTCAGTCCGATCCCTTCTGACATGCTTATGTTGCTGATGTATGATTCATCTCACCCAATGAACCAAACAGGGATTACACCAGCCAGAGATCGCAAGTCTCAGGCAGGAGTATCAAGATTTGCTTGCATTCAAGATTCTGACTTTGTGTTTCCACTGAGAAACGAACCAAGGCACGGAGGCCTGTGTTCTTGTGGTCCAACAATATGTAGTTAATAGTATATTTTTTTCGTCTTTTTCTTGCAGCAGAGGCGAGCTTTTACTTCAAGCACAGGAGCATAGAGTTCACAGCACAACAAATCTATAGGGCGGCTGCGTTAGCATTTACAACTTCTACATTCTTTCATAAAGGAAAGTCCTGGTTCGGCACGAAAACATAGACCTTCTCCTTCATGATTTCTCCGATGCGATGTGGTCGGAACTTCACCTCCACGCTAAGGCTCGTATCCTCGCTTTCGTCGGTATCTGGACGAGGAAGGAAGTAGTAGTAGTAGTGGTAGTGTACCCAGTCTAGAGGAACGTTATGTTACTTTTACTGTCCGACTAAGATTGCTTCACCTACGATCATGAGCACAGGAACTTTCAGATTCTTCACATTCAGTTACTCCAATTAAGATCAACATTATAAGCTTAAGATGAAAAAATATCCATGTGGTCATAATATAGTGAAATACCTTTCCCTTTTATCCTCCCCTTCTTTGGCTCTAGCATAAAGCAAGGCGCACCACTGCAATTGTCGATGAAATTTCTGCTCACACTCGATATTTCGTAGTCCAACTGAAACCTCGTGGTGTTAAAGAATTGCACTTTTTCGCTCACGACTGTGTCTGTTCCGTACACGCATGCCGGAAAATGCACGAACTGGTTCGGTATGTAGAGTCGTGGCGTCACGCCACATCCCTTGATCGGGATTTGGATTCTTGTTGTCGGCGTGTGCAGTTTCAAAACGGTCGAATACAGTTGCGCAGCCTGCGGGCAGAATTCGATCACTATCTGAAACTGCTTCTCCTTCCGCACTATTCTCCCGTGACCACACGCGTTCAAAACCGAAAGGCAGCTGGTTTCGGGCAGTGGACTCGTGAGAAAAATTTCCTGCATGTCATCCACCTTACATCGCAGAGTGACGTGAATCAACTTGCGTTGAAACACTGTGACTTCCCCAAAATCACACCTATCCGGTGTGGGGACGAGAACAGGAGGTACACAGGTTGTTCGCACACAGACTGCCAATTGCTCGCACTCCTCGTCCGGCGTGTTGTATTAGAGCGCAAAGCAATTCATCCCTCTATGCACTGCATACTGCATTTTTCCCCATCTATCCTATTATAAGTAGAAGGAAACAATGAATGGTGGTACTAAAAAGACTTGTAACAAGGGTGGTAAAAAGAGGAAATTAATAGGGAGAAATGTGACTTGTAGAAATGAATCGATATTTTGAGCCTTAATTATAGACCCTCTTTGAGTCCACGATCACGACGGGCCGGATCAAAAGTGGAATCTTCCAGATGGCGTGTTGACTATCGATCTTGCTCAACTCCACTGCCTTGCCCTGTTGCAAGATCGTCTGCCTCTCCTTAGAGTGTTCTTCCTCAGAACATGATGATAGATCTGTCCTCAGGGGATGATGTTCACCAGTTAATATCCTAAGTCTCTCCTCTTCGTAGAGTGTTCTTCTTCAGAACATGATGATAGATCTGTCATCTTGACAACGGTTGAGACCCCTCCTTCAACGAGAAGATAGTCTACTTAGCCATTACAACTTCAACTACCTAGTTGTGTAAATATTTAACTCACTTGCAGTAACAGTGATTTGGCACACAAATTTAACCAAACAAGTGAAAACAAGTTATAAACTGACCAAGCATAACAGTGATATTACTCCTCCGATGCTCCCACCGTCTTCCCCCAGCCTCCTGGATCATCTTGACGATTTCAGATCGAGGCTTTTGTCTAAAAGCCTTCAAGTCCTTCTTCGCTGTTGGTGATAGGCCTGCTAGAGGGCTGTTCGGGTCCAAGTTTTCTGCTGGTTCTTAGAGGCTCTACGAGCTACTTTTAACTCTAATCCATACCTGTGTCGGTGTGTGGGGTGGATCCTTCAAGACTGTTATCGATATCTTCCCTTGTACTAGTTATATTCAACTTATATCTGTACCTTCTTTCGAAGGAACAAACTACAAGAACCTGTATTTAGAAGAAATGAATCATCGAATATAATGAATTATCGGATATGATGTCTTAAGCTTCATCAAAATCCTCATCTGGTATGGCTTCCATATCCGTGAGGCCACCAGCTACTTCAGCCGGCAGGTCGTCCATGTCCTGGGAGGCGTTTCGGAGCAGTGACTCGTACAGTTTGTTCGGTTTGAAAAAGATTAGAAGAGGGAGAGATGTAGAAGCGAAAACAATCTAGAAGGGAGAGATGTAGAAGGGAAAACAATCCAGAAGGGAGAGATGTAGAAGGGAAGACAATCTAGAGGGAAAACAATCTAGAAGGGAAGATCTAGAGAGGTAACAGGAACGCAACATATGTTGTATGTCTACTCTTGTTATAAGATATTGTTGTATCTGTATACAACGAACAGTTGTTGTATCTCGACTAGTGCTGATGTAGAGAAGTAGAAGTCCATAACTCAATCTGCACTCTTGTCTTTTCACCCGGTTTTAGTTCAATGCAGACTGGGGAGATCCACAGGCGTGCGAGGTGTCGCGGAGGACAGAGCACTGAGATTTCGTAGGTCTTGTTTTTCGATACGTTCGTCACTTCGAAGCTCTCCTTGCCTTGTGCCCCCACACCTATCGCTGGAAATTTCAAGAAATTCCTGTCCAACGCGATCCGCAACATCTTTCCTTGGCCAGTGTTAAAGGTCAGCAGTCAGTGGTCAATGTTAAAGGTCAACGGAAGACACCCCCTTCAAAGCGTCCCCCCTTTCCCATCCTTTTCGCCTGTTCTCTCAAGGGGTCGCCTCTTCGACCCAAATCTGAATGGTGACCAATGAAAGTTGAGCCTTAACAGTGCACGGGACGGAGAAAGATCTGGAGCAAAGCTGTGCCGTCAAAGCGTGGATGTTCAATGCGGTTTTCATCCCCGTCGCTGCGGTCGGTGCGTAACAAACAGTGACCGGTAAAGATTCGTCAGGTAATAGCTGCACTAGAAACCCATTTCCACCATGTTCGATGCAGGCGCTCTTGTCAAGGATTACGCCGTATCGGTCGTCCTCGTCGCGCGCTTCCTTAGCGACATTCTGGACGCTGAGGTAGGAAGGCAAACCCGCAAAACAAAGCGACTGTGGCAGTTTCGAGTGGTTCGTGATGGTCACCTTCTTGTATCGTGCTGCGTCCACAAAGACACTGCCGAAATCCAACTTGTCTGGTGCGAAGGAGATGTCGTTCTGCGTCAAATTCCCCGTGATGCAGGTCCACACAGGCAGCACCTGGTCTGCGCCGACCATTTTCACCGGAATTTTGAACGACGCTGGGCCATACTTGCGGTCGTCGCGCTTGTACTGAGGGTTTCGGTCCAGGAAATCACGCTGAAGCACGACTTTGAACTGAATCGACTGCTGTCCTAGGCCTTGCACGTATGCAGTATCGGGAGAAATCTGGATTTCGCCGGGAAGTAATCGCGGGTCACTCAACTTCGGTCGTTCCACCCGGACTTTCATTGCCACTGAGCTCCGATTCTTCAAGACTATAAGTTCCCGGAAAGTGTGCTCGTACAAGATCGTGTGCAGATTATAAACCTCCCTTTCCGCGTAGATGGGCACGTCAATACACCGACCGACCATCTTGAGGAAATACCTCTTCTGGAACCGCGCATCGCCTGGAGCTTTGTTATCGACCTCTATCACGAATTTACAGGAAAACTCGCGAAGGTTAGAGGAATGTAAGGAACAGCTGATTCTCTGTTAAAGCTTGTAAACGAGTACAAACGATCGCGTCACTTGACAAGGTTCTCCAAGCGATAAGTGGCAAATTGTTCTCGGTGTTGGAAATAGGAGCCTTACAAGACGTCGATCTAGAGGACTTGTACTTGAAAAGGAGGGTACCCTGGGTGAAAGAAAGATCATCGTAACGTCCTCCTATAAAGAACGATCTCAAATTCATAACTAGATGTCTAGGAGTGAAGATGAATTCAATCTTGCTGCTCCCGCGAGCGACGAAAGACCCCGTTTCTGCGAACGCCAACATTGACGGCAAACCTGACGAGCCTGAAGCTGTATTCGTTGCGAGGTCAGGAAGATCTCCACGGCTAGTCGAAACATTGGGCGGCGAACCTCCGTCACCTCCTGAGGCATCGTTGATTAGATGAAGAGCGATTGGTGGACGATGTGTAACGTTTCGTCTAAGTCATCAGAGGAAGAGCTCTTGATGTTGTTGTAGTTTAACGTTTCGTATGAGGCGGGAGTAGGTACTTGTACTTGATACAGGCACGACTCTGCTGAAAAGTACGATATTAATTCTAACCAAAGAACAAAAAGAGTCAAACTTATTCAATACCGCCATCTTAACTCAAGGGCCGCGTCTACTGTTCCCCCACCCAAACCGCCTGCATCTTTCGCAGGACTGCACGACATGTCACTACCAGTTCTAAGTTTTTGCCACGGATCTGAGGCGAGCATCCGCGTTCTTCTGTGTTCGTTTTGCCTTTCTAGTTCCGGGATAGGTTCGTCCTCAACGACTGCTTCTCGTATCGAATAGCCTGCTGGCAGAGCGCCAGTGTTCATGATCTGTACCTCCCTCGTCGACCACTCGCCGAAAACTACATTCCCAAAATCCACCAAGAGGATTTCACTAGGATCTCTCCAGTATTCGTTAGACCCAAGAAAAATCCATCTTGACACGCATCTTAGAACCTTTTTCCCCTTGAAAACGGTCTCAGACAGGATGCACGTGAAGATGGATTTCTTGTAGCCTTAAATTCGGCATCGCGGAGTTCAGGTGGCACTGCAGGATCCGGCGGTCCCTTCTTCTTCACTTTCTGCTTTCCACTTACCGCCTGTTGCTGCTTCTCCTCCTCAGAAAGTTCCTTCGGTTCTGGTGTTAATAATTTCGGAGGGTTCTTTTTTGGGAGATTTGATTTATTGAAAAGCTTCTTCGGTTTTGCTGGTTCGTGAGGTGCTGCCTAGGAGCTGTTGGTGAATCATTCTTATCTAAATTAGAGTCTGATCAAATCTTTCCTAAAGCCTCAAAACAAGAAGTACCCAAATCCAGCACCGTTTTTTTCGTTAGGCACATGATCGGAAAGTCTATTCTCCCGGTTTTGGCTAATATCGGAAAGGTGGTCCAAATATCCTGAAACAGCTTCGGCATATACCTCAGAGTAATTTTGCAGCTCACACCGGCACTCATACGACCTGGCGGATCAAAGCCGATGTCGAAAAAGTCTTGATAACGGTCATCCATAGGTAGGAGCTTGAATTAGAGACCACTCCAGCTTACATATTGTTGGAAGGGCAAAAAGTCCAGACGGTGCGAGGCCTTAATAAAAGTCCAGACTGTGCGAGGCCTTAATTGAACTGGTTGAAGGTAAGCGAAACGTTGGTGACTTCGATCACCTGCTTGTATTTCTCGTCCGCATCGAAATCCAAATACTCGATCACTGATGGCTTCGGGATGAAAGCGGCGCCTTTGAAGGTTTTACCCCAACAACGTTGCACCTGGTTCATTTGAGAGAGAGAAGAAGATTGGAGCTCAACCCGCGTAAGTTGTACATCTTGTGAAATAGAGGTTGCAGTTGAGTAACGAAGTACTTAAGAGCAACAAAAATAGTGCACGACTATCAAGCAAGATTTTTACGTACCTCCCCCTCATCTATTTGTCTCCTATGTTCCTTCTTCGCTTCTGCGAGCATTTTCTCTTCCAGCACAGTCCTTTTTGGTAGCCACAACTTCCCATCTGGCAAAGGTTCTTTCTCGTCATCCTCAGCGCCAGCTGTTCCCGCACGTCCGTCGTCCCCCCCCAAAAACCCCATGCCATCATCTGCCTTTCTTGCATCCTGTCTGTCCCAGACAGCTACTTTCTTCTTCTGAAACGCCAACCTCTCCTCCACTGCAGCTAACTCCTCTGGCGGTGCTTTGCCTAGTCCAAGAATTAGAGCTTTGCCTACTTAGTCAAGAATTGATAGGGCTGATGTATCCTCCATCGCTATACATGATAAAGATGGACTCTATCATAGGTACTGGCCTTAAAAAGCCTCCGGTCTTGACCGCTGTCACCTTACTGGGGTCGATCCTCATGGCAGCTCCAGTAGGGTCCAAAATATCCACGTGATTCAACGTCACTTTCTTGATATAATCTGCCATTTTTACGGGAAAATGAAAGCGGGGGGAGTAATGGAGAAGGACATCATCAGCAAGGATGTTGAGGATCGATATCATATGTATGAGAAGAGAAATAAGTCAAATTTTCAGAATCCCAGTCATCGTCAATCGGGACCGCACACGACAATTAATCACTTCTATTGCTTTGCTAGAGCAATCTAGTCTAATAGAAATTCGATAGTCTTCATATGACAATTACAACTCGTCCATACGACCACACCTTCCACGACCTATAAAAATTCCCACTGTTGTTCCTACTCTTTGCTCTGGCCAGCTTGTTCCCTTTGATAAGCAATTTCAAACTCCTGCAGTCGCCTGTCTTCCGCCTCCTTCGCTTGTTGCTCCTGGTCTTCACGGATAAGGGATTTTAACAGCTTCTCGTTCCTCATCTGCTTCTATTAGACCCTGGACATGCATGGTAGTTTGTTTCTATGTATGAAAAAGTACTACATAAGTAATTCTTTAGTTGTTCTTGAAATAACCTGTAATAGTACAATCATGGTTCTGTAAAGTTGTGATGCAATTATGCTGTCGTGGGTGTGACGAAGATACATAATGTAAAAAATCCTTCGTCGATCAAGATGAAACTAATAAATATAAGCGTCTCTCCTTCTTCCAAAGCCTTAATTCAAAGCTGCTCCCTCCACTTTATTCCGATCCAAATCGGCCTCTACTTGTTCTCTGCGGAAGACCTCATAGGGGTTTAGGCCTTGCTCCATTAACTCAATCTCCCTTTGCTTCTTCTGTTTTTCTGCTGCCAAGGCTTTTCGAGATTAGAAAATGAAGAAGATCTCCAAATTTCAAGACTTGCGACAGCATGCAAGAGCGACACCCAAAACGACGACTACCCATAATTTTCCTTCTTCTCATTGGTGCTGGCGATTTTTGCATTGATCTCGTCCAGGTTTTTCTTCAGCTGCAGCATCGCCTTCGTCCTATGGTTCCATTTTTCATCGCGAACTGCCGCAGCCTGAGCGACTTTTTGCCTGTGTAGGAAAAAGCGATGATGATGGACTCGAAATGATTGTCACGAGAGTGTACTTAGTAGGGAAAATCTAAATCGATAGTCGGTACTCAAACAGGAGGTCGTCAGATAAATCAACGTCTTCACCTGCATAGCCTTCTACATATATGTTGTATTACATGAAGAAATTAAGTCGAAGAAAAATGAACCTCTACTAGTAGGTGGTACTAACAGTATCAAGAAAACAGTACTTCTCATCCACTAGAGCTGGCGTCAAATGTTTTTTGTTGTTAAGTTTTCTGTTCTTCTCCGCTTCCATAGCTTTTCTATCTTTTTCTGCCTTGTCCGCTGCTCTCTTCTCCATCTTCAGGTAATCTTTCTCCCACATTTTTTCGATAATCCGCTCCCCTCTCGCCACTTCGTCTTGCTGCCGTTGTTGCGCGATGATGGATATGTGATTAGAAGTGAGCGACAAGGGACAAGTGATTGGAAGTACTCGTCTTCCAGCGGAGGACGAGGTCAGGTACTGTTCAATTTATCAAGTAAAAGTTGTCGGACGAAACGAGGCCAAGTACGGCCTGAGCCTCAGATCTAGAGTACAGTGCGTGTGAAATACGAATCGAAATTTTTTTGACAATAACCATCTGAGTATCCTCGACACCCTAAACTCAAACTCCTTCTGCAGACAGGCCCGTTCTGCTTCTGAGGCTGTGCCGATCATCTCGTGAAGCTTCAATTCGGCACTATCGCGGTCCTGATGGTTGGCGTGAAAATAATGATAAAAGCGGGAGAGGGTCTCCCTAGAAACGTACTCAAGAGATAGAATATCTAGGTAAGGTGAAGCAGCCTGCGACCTCGTTGAGAATAGAAAAGTTAAAGCAATACTTGAAAAGCGTCATGCCTCGTCTTTCCAGAGTAGTGAACAAGCGAAGTACCTTTATTTCCAAATCTGTCAATCTCCAAAAGCGAAATACCTTTTCCAAGTCTGTCAATCTCTGCCATGATCGTTCAACCTCGTCTGCCTGAACAAATATCTCCTCAGCACTGCGAGTATTCTGCATCTCCTTAAGCTTAGCTTCTTCACTTGCCAACACTTGCCTCGCATCCTCAGCTGCTTCGCACTGGATGGAAAGTAATGACGTGGCTTTACTTCTATGTCGATCCTTCAAGTAAACCTTCTCAAGGTATCAACATTCTAATTATCAACCGCAGTCGTTCGTGAGTACATCAGAGTTCACTACGTTCTTATCCCAAATATTTTTGGCATCTCTTAAGAACAGTCTACTACCTTCTTATCCCAACTATTTTTGGCATCCCTCAAGACTTGGACTTTACGCTTATCTGCTACTGCCGCCTTCACTTCTGCGTCCGTCTTGTGGGTCGAGAAAATACCGCTATGCTGATTTATGTACTTCAGCAGAGGATCGCCCTTCATATCGTCCCTCTGCGCTTTTCCACCACCATAAGCAGCATCCCTTTCGTCGAGGATATGACATCGTCCCTCCAGCTCCCGTAGATAGGCATCCGCTGCAGCCTCCGAGGCTTCCTCTCCATCGTCAGACGCCTCCTCGGATCTGGTTGAGGTTCACGAGGAGAGGCTCAATTCATTGTGCAGAATCAAAATCGATTTCGATCGTGCGTAGACGATCAGCATTTTATTCATTTTCATATTGGTACAAGTCGATACACAACTATCGCCACGCCTCCTCTGTTCAAAAAAACGAAGATACACTGGATCTGCAGTCCCACTCCTACCATCTATCATCATCCGACTCCAAGCACATAGCATAAAGATGAAAATACACAGGCTCAGTCCCATCATCAGAGACATAGTCCCCCACTTCGACGGCTTCCTTTTGCGTCGTATGGAACATCTCGGGTGGTGGAGCGGGCGGCCCATCCTCCTCACCGCCCGATGGGGCGGCGGCTTGTTCATCCGACATTTGATCGGAACGGACTTGTAGGAGTTACGTTTTCAAAGCCGTGGGAAAACCAGCTAGGAAAACCAGCGTCCTTCTACGCGAGGCTCTTCACCAATCTGTCTTGCACTCACATGTTGTTCTAGAATGTTGAAGACTACATTTTTTTTCAACTAAAAAATCTACCAAGTGTACTAGAGCATACGAATGGTAAGGCTGAAGAAATGGTAGTAACTAACTTATAGAACATGTTGTGTAACTGTAATCCTCTGACGTTGTCAACACTATTTCAATCAATACCCTTGAATATATAGATACCCTCTCTTTTTTTCCTCAATACTCAATTTACAGCTCTTCGTCTCATCCATATTAAAGTCCTCTTTTTGTACTACCATACTATCTTTTCCGGTGTGTACTTTTGACGCTCGTTTTTTCCTTTTTTGTACTTCTCCTTTACAACAACAACTGACTTTTCTACTTGAATTTGAATGACTCGAAATAGTACTTGTTCGTTCTCTCACACAGAGACTTGGGCTTCGTTTAGCCCAGAAGACTTGTACCGATGAAACTATACGGGGATATATCAAAGACAGGAACGACTCCTCTTAGTAGTAGTAGTAGTTTACCCATTCGAGGGGTAATTTAAACTTTGTGCACAGGGGAAGATTGGTGGGGGTGGGATTGTCCTTTTTCACTGTCTTGGGGTCATTTTGTTCATGTTCTTGTTATTCTTTCATTCGTTTCTGTGTTTGCATTTGGACTCGTGCTTTCTCATGATGGATACCATTTTTGCTTTTGATCTCATTGTCTGTTTCATTTCATCAAAGTCCAACTCGAATTTGTAACATTTGCGACATTTTATTTTCTTTTGCTGTGCTGTGGTCCACGCCTCAGGTGGGACCACTATCTTCCAAAGCCTTGCATCACCTCCAATGACGTTTCTCTGCGTTCTCCTACAAAAAGTATGCTGCTCCGGTCGAACCTCGAATCTTAAATCGCCCACAGCTCGGCCTGAATGAGCCAGCTGCCTCTTCTTAATGCGACCGAGTATTATAAAATCCCTTCTCTTGTGGGCGAGGATGTGCTGTTCCATGCTGCCTATAGAGGTGGTCATCACCATCTTGCAATGTTTGCAGTATAACTTTTCCACTAGCTTTCGGTTCGCTCTCCTTCTAGGGCCTGCTTTCCTCGCGACTCTCATCCCGGAAGCGAGGATGCGTAGTAGGCGGTTTTTCCTCCGAGTTTGCTCCTTAGACTGCTCAGCGACTGCCAGCTCGCTCATCCTCTTTTCGAGAGCTGTGTGTGGTGGGACTAGGTCTGCGTGGTGATTGTCTGCATGTTTGAGGAACTGGTTGTGTGCTGTTCTGGGGCAATACCAGTCAAAGTCCCCTTCTGGTTTCCATCGACAAAGCGGACACTCCCATGCTGCTGTGGGCCTCATTGATTGATAGATGTCAAGCGGATCAACTGTCAACGCACGGGCAAACGCTACCGAAAATCCAGATGCGACCGTGAGACGCATCTCCGTGTCTGGGGCTAGGTAGCACTGTGTGGCTCTCTTGCTCGTGCCTTCGTTGTCGGTTATCGCTATGCTGGATGAGTGCCAGCCGCTTGATCTTGCAAGGTCGCCCTTCAATGCCGCTTTCTTTATGTCCTCCCTGGTTTCTTGTCCTTGTAGCTTAATCATATAGATCACACATGGCGCTTTCGATTTAACAACTAGCGCTACCGGCTGGGCGTTGGCCAGGAACTGCGGATGTATATTTCTGAATAGTAGCTGGATCTCACCTGATGATGCCGTTAAAGGGTCAATGCGAGTTCCGCCCGCAAGTGGGAGTAGCTGCTCACCCCCGTTGATTTCGACTGCGTCAAAGCTTTGTGCGGATGCGCCTATTACGTCGACAAGATGGCCTTGCGTGTCATATAATGCTTCTGCTCTTTCCCATTTCGAGTGATCTTCTTCTCTCTTCCATGTGCTCCGTCTCCCATGTTTCAACTGCATTGAAAGATATCGCGAGGCTACTTCTTCTGTTCCGTCGCACTCACCATCTCGACACCAATCCGCAATAGTGTCGCCGATGTATGCTTCTCTCTGAGCAGCGTACATGAAGGCCTTCCTCGTCAGATAGTGCTTCTTTCCCTCTTCAGTTCCATACTGGGCTACCAGGTCTTCGTGCGGTTCTGTGAGCTGCTTAACCATTCCTGGTATGAGGCCACATTTGTTCTTCATGTGATAGAGGAAGTCCTTTAGGATGTCCGGCACTTTCCGTTCAGCTGGTCCAACCGCGGAAGCATATCTTGGGCGAAATAAATGCGCCTCCTTGCCGTGGTCTGATCCCTCCTCAATATCAAAAACAAATCTTCCCACTAGTGCTTGCCTATCGATTCTGCTCCTTGATAGTCTCATTACGTGTGCCAGGTGGCGCGACTGTATGAATCTGATGAACGGTTCCAGGGGAGTGAGGCCGGCTTGTCTTCTGAGGACGTGCCTGCTAACCGATCCATCCCACTGCTTCCACTGTGGGATGCCCGCGAGTGACATCAGTTTTAGCATCTCCTCGCTGGTCATGTCTGCAGCCTCCACCTGTGAGCATGACCTTGATTGAAGTCCGTACGTCATCACCGTTCTGGACATGGCCATCACCAGTCCTCCCTTCTCCTTGAGCGAGATGCCTGCAGCTCCGCATAACTTGCCTTTTAACGCATGATGTGCTTTCCATGCTGCCCTGAGCTTGTTTTCCTTGTCCTGTCGGTCATCGGTATTCATTCCTAGGTTCCGTTCCTTGATGGAGAGCAGCGGCGCTAACTTCCTTTTGCTTTCATTTTCAGTCATGCCTGCCTCGTCCAGTGCTGTTGTCATTGCCTCAATATGGGTGCTGTCCTCTTCGGGTGCTCCTGCTTTGGGCTGGTATAGGATTGTTGTGTCGTCCGCGAAAAGTAAGCCGGGGAGTCTCCTGAAAACTAGATCGTGGGGAGGATCGCCCATGTTGGAGAACAGCAGGTGTTGCATCTTTCTATGTCTATCCCACAATGTGGATTGCTCTGTCGCTAACAGTGTTAGGGCGGAATCGTCTGTGGCACGTCGTGTCAGGATGGAGAGATAGTGTCGCCATACAAATGCATGCACCATGATGAAGATCGTGGGGCTTGATGGACATCCCTCTTTGGTTCCATGTTCTACTGTAAATTCTTCGTCGTCAAACCGGTGAATGGCCATTCTGTGCGAACAGTGTACAATGTTAGCTATCCTTGTGTCGTCCAACCTGAGCGCAGCTAGTACTCCCTTCAGCAGTCTCCAGTCCGTGGATGGAAATGCTTTTTTCAAGTCCACCATAAGCATGGTGGGCATAGCTCTGGGCGCTGTGACTGTCTGCTTCAAGTCTTCTTTTATTCTCGTCAGGATCAGCAGCGAGGAGAGAGTTCCGATATTTTTCCGAAATCCAAGCTGTTCGTCCGGTAGCAAACGAATTTCCTCTATGAAGGACAGTAGGCGACAAGAGGCGATTCTGGCCAGCAGTTTTACTAATATTGGTGATATGACAAGAAAGCGATAATTGTCGGCGCTGGTTATGTCTCCTTGTCCTTTATAGAGCGGGATGTCGCGACAGCGATGAGAGTCCTTGTCCAGGCTGTTTAGCGCTTCTCTACTAGATGCTATCCGGTCGAGCTCCTTTGCCAGCCATTTCTTGCCGTCCTCATCCAAATAAGTCAATATGCGGATGCATAGCCCGAATGCATCCTTGGCTCCGTCCTTGGACATGTGCGCCAGAGCTTCCTCGAGTTCCTTTAGCGTGATCGGGCTGTCAGCAGCATTCAAAACTTCGTCACTCACCTCTGGAGCCAGTCCGGGCAGGCATTCACTTATCGGTAGAAATTCTTGTTCTGGATGCTTCGGGTTGTTTCCAACTTCGTTGTATTTAGCTCGGGCAGCCGCTGGAGTAACGCCGGATCTAATCCTCTGACTGCGAGCCTGCTGCTCCTGGAAATATAACCAAATGTCCCTCCTTTTGGTTTTTTCCTCTGCTATGTCGTCGGGATCTAACTTGATGCGAGAGGCCGCAGCTGGAATGAGGAACATGTCGGATTTCATTTTTAAGAGGTTGTGGAAATGATTCAGGTTATATTCTGGCCCAATCTCGTGGCGTTCTCGCTGGAAAAGCTCGTTGAGCTGCTTAGTCGTGGTCTCGTGCGGCGACGGATCGAAGACTAGTCGCGACTTCCGCCTCTCTTCTCCTTCCCTTCTCAGAATTTTCCACGTCTTAATTTTGATATCCATCACCACTAGAGCGTGATCGAAAGGTGCAACTCTTCCTCTTGGATCGTTGATGTCGTGGCGGGAATATCTTCTAACAGATGGCAGCGACGGACCATCGACCAAAAAGAAATCAAGTTCTCTGGAAGTGTTCGTAGGCTGTAGGTATGTGCGTCTCTGGAATTGTGGATCGTCCTCTTGTGATGGATCTGGAATTTGCGAAGGGACGTGGACATAGTTATGAGTCTGGAGCTGTGCAAGGAGAGGACGGGCAGCAGTGGATGTAATTCCATGTCCGTATGGGCCAGCGCTGCTATATCGTGTTCGATCGGATGATGGCCCAACATTGGCGTTGAAGTCGCCTCCTACAACTTTGGTTTTCCATTTATCAGTGCGCCTTCTTCTGGTGTCGTTGAGGGAAACTGCTAGATTTCCCCTAAATCTTTCCCTGTCCGCTGCAGAGGACTGCTCGGTTGGTGCGTAAACCGCCGTCAAGACAAGTTCTGGAAGGTAGAGCGTTAAAACCCTGTGTCTGGCCCTCACCGCTCTTGCGGCTGATTCGGGAGTTGTGATGTGCGACAGCTGTGCAATCGCTGTTTCTCCTATCATTGCAATTCCGACCCCATTCGAAAACAGCAAAGTGAATCCGTCGCCCCATATCCATTCTGTTGGCCAGGTGCCTTCTATGTCCGACTCCTCCTCATCGTCGGGGTGTAGAAATGGGCCCTGAGCTTCACCAGATGCGGGATCAGGGTTGCCGCCTGGTCTCCTTGGTGAACCATCTTCTGACGCCACTGTTTCACTTCCTGCTTCTAGGTCTTCACAGGGATCGATTTCTTCGCTGCTATATCTTCGATTGGCATCATATTCGAACTCCGATAACAATAAAAAGGAGATGCCGTTTAGTCTGGCCCACGCAACGGCCCATGAGAACCTGTCCGAGTGTCGCCCGGCCGACCTCATGTTGAGTGTGGCGACTCTTACGTTCATCCGATCTGGAGTATTAAGTATGGTGATAATATCCGACGTTGGAGCAGCGGCATCAGAGTTAGGATCTGCTGTCGCTGACTCTTCTTCGACGATGAGTTCTTCTCTGCTTCCACCACTACTGCTGAAAGGCCCTCTGTTCCCATTCACTACATTGCTGCTGCAGTTGGCGACAGCAGGTGGCGCAGCTGCTGGGAGTTCTCCATCCTGTTGATTGTCGTCCTCCTTGCTGCTTCTTCTGTTTGGACTAGACAGGACGCGAACAGGGCTTGCAGGAGCAGATGGATTTGTCGCGACATCGTTGTGCATATTGATGCCCGTCCACGCTTCAGCCTCAATCTCGACTCTGGGGCTGTTTCGGTGCTGGCTCGGCTTTGCAGTTCTGGGGCTAGAAGTATCAATGTTCTTGCAGTCTCGGATGTCCTTATTGAATATCAAGTGGTCGATGACGCCAGGGCTGGCCCTACGCTGGCTTGAGGAGAGGGCTGGAAGAGGGTGGATGACGTGACAAGATGTTGATTTTTTGTCTTCCCCTGGCTTAGTTTTTCCACTACTACTACACACTTTATCTCTTTGACTGCTCTTTTCGCTGGGTAGTGACCGGGTGGCTGGATAAGCTCGCGCTTGCAGGGTGGCGGGTGCCTCTTCTAGCGATATCATTTCCTTTTCTTGATGCTTGTTGTGGATGAGTAGATCACAGCCTTCTCCTTGATTCGCAGATATTGTTCCTCCTTTAAAACCTCGGCATTGTTGGCTACCAGCAGAAACTGCACTGGTAGTCCTGTTCGGTTCGTAATTTTTACCCCTTGAGCTTGTTCTTTCCTTTCTTCCTCCAGATGCATTAGTTGATTTTAGCTTTCCACGTAGTTTGTGCTTCTTATCTGTAGTGCTTTTTGGTCCTCTAGTCGTTCTTCTGATCTTCCTGGCTTGTGAGACTGATTGTTCTTTGAAGTTCGATTTAGTGACTTCTTCTTGCCTAGTGCTGAATGTTGATGATGAAGCTCTGTTGTAAGTTGCAAGTTGTTCTGTAATGCACTCGCTGCTCGCTCCGCCCAGCTCTCTGTAGTTCCATTTCTTGTTAAATGATGAGCGGCTGCTGCTCTTATTCACGTCGACTGTCTTCTCCTCTAACTCGCCACTGCTGAGTGGCATGTCATTGATTCCCTTTCCTCCATTCAAATGGGTGCACCACTTCCTTTTTGCCACGTTTGCGGGTTCGGCTGACCGCTGGCAAATGCGCCTGATTTGTGGTTGGGCATTGATATTGAACTTGTCGAATAGAGTGTAAATGTTAAAATCGTGCTGACGTGTAGAGGAGCAGGAGTCGCAGTCTGAAGAGTTGAAGGCTGGAAAGCGGGATTTTGTGTTTCGCGGCTTGGTTGGCTGTAGATCCCGTGTGATAGTTGAGTCAATGTCGCTGCCTTCCTGGTCTCGTACCGTGTCAGCATCACTTTCCGCCTCATCCTGAAGAGGGATGAATCTATTGTGGAAGTTTAGTCGAGGGCTGCTGTTGCCTCGACGGAGAAGTCTATCCTGCTGGTTGCTAGGTCGGATTGGGCGCTTGGGTTTGTGCCAGATCTCAATCGGTGGAGATAGTTGGCTGCTCCTCTCTTCCGGTCCTTCGGGCGGGGTGGAGGCTCCTGTCGAGCATTTTGTTGAGGAGCTGATGACCGAGTTCCTCTCTTTACTTCGCCATTCTCTGACCCATTCAGCAATTCCACCATTAATGTCTGCTGCGTTCCCCTCTTCAAGTGTATCTGCTGGCAGTAGGGTCACTTTGTGTGTCTGATTGCTGTGTGATTCCGCTGTCTCTTCGTGTGTGTCGATTCTAATCAGCCCGCCTTCCCGCCTCTCAACTCTCCAGCAATTAATGTGGCTGCTCTCTACCCGACAGCTATTGAGTTTCACATTACATTCATCTGCTGTTAATAGTGAATCTCGAGGGCGAAAAGAATATTGGCATGATCCATAGCAAGAAGTGGAATTACCTCCATGGCCTTCGTCTTTGTTCGCAGCATATCCATAGCCATTTCTGCTCCGTGATCCCGCGTTGAAGGAAGAAGAGGCCCCATCTCGATAGTTTTGCAATCGGTGGCTAGAATGGTTGAGATGGTAGTTGTAGTTTTGGTTGGTATGGTAGTGAGGGTTGTGAAGCGGTTGATGACTCTGTCCAGCTCTACCATAGTTCCCGTGATTGTAGTTGTAGTTGTGGACATGGCGACCGTTCGGTTCGCGATGGACGTTGTGGTTGCGGGGCCTCATCTTGGAATGCCATGCATAGCGCTCTACTCCGTCTCCACCAGCGTATTTCTTATAGTAGTGAACAGTGCCGGCGGCATCAAGCTCTTCTTTCCATTCCGGAAGTGGTGCTGCGTTGTTGTTCGTGGCGTTTCCTACATGTTGTTTGGCTTCTTGACTAGTCCAGCCTGGTTGAGGTTGAGGGATCAACGAGTCGGAGTTGATGAAAGAAGCCGCTAGAGTGTTGATTAGCTTATCGACGGAGTCCTCAACTTTGACACTGGAGGATGACTGTGCATGCTCCTTGTTAGCGAAGTGCCCGACTGTTGCACCCTGCGGCCTGCTATTGGTCTGTG